GATACAGCGTAGGCAACATCAAGAATGGAGTCGAGAAAGTGCTCAGTCACCCAATCAGACGCGCATCACTTCAGAGGTTGGAGAAGATCTGATACGAAAATCCCATCCTCAAAGGGCAATCCAGCCTCCCCTAAAAAACAAGCAACACGAGGTTCCAAAAACGGGAAATATTGGGCAGAACAAAAGACCCCCTGGGCGAACAATGGTGCACACACCACCGCCTTCCTCGTGGAGGGGCAAAGGAATATTATTTTCATGCTGGCGGAGGAAGGAAAGTCCTACAAAGGCAAAAATAAGGCTTTGATCTTTGGGAAGAAGACGCATGTGCGCTGACGCATCCCCGCCAGCCATGGATGTCATGGCGCCGGCCTGAACGTTCAACCGTGCCAGTCGAGCCTGGCCTTTGGCTCCGAGGGCAGGGAAATAGAAAATGGTGTCGGCCAAAGCCATTATTCGCTGGAATACCCGCTTTTGGAAGCCCCCTTGATGACAAAGGTCTCGCCGTGGCGTTCGCTCGGTGGGCAACAATGGGGAACCGCACATGACCGAGGTGAGCATGGTGCGGAATAATCAATGTGGCTGGGCAGATGGGGCACGGCCAACCCGCCATTGGGACCCAGAAAAAAATATACAGCATAATAGTAAGAGCGTGCAGAGACCCAGTGGGCGGAGCTGAGACTTTTGAGAGACGACCTAGACCGGACACGACACCGGCGCCAAGCTGAGCGGGAAAGAGACGTCTTTCACTGGATGACGGATGACAGGTCTTGCTGGTGACCCTCTCCCCCTTGAGCGTCTGGTGCCCAGTTCCCTGACACTAGAGCACCGAGGGCAGGCGATGTGTCTGTCCATTGGCTCAGGAGGAGGAGACGGTGACTCCATCCACCTTCGTCCGGCAGGGAAACCACCAATGTGAATTCGTGCCCTCCCACCACAAACTCGCATCGAAACAAGCCAGAAGTCAGCCGTTTCCTCCTCGTTCTTCTCAATGTGATTGGAGTGCAGGATTTGTTCGGCTCTGAAACAAATTGATGGAGGACTGGACTGGACGATCGATAAACGCCGACCTACGCATGACCTCAGCGGTGTTCGAGTTCGAACTTGAGCCGCTTGACGCTGACAAGATCTGATGGTGCTGTCGCCTTGCCTGGTCTACACCCCGGGAGTAGGAATCGGATCACGGCAGCAGGCCCTTTTTTGTCCTTCTTTTTCTCGTATGCCTGCCCTTGATGGGTGTCGTAGGTCATTACGCAACACTCGGGGCCCTTGATCAGCCAGGTTTCCCCTCCCTTGATGCCCCTCCGCTCTCGTGTCTGCCGTCCATCGAGGACCCAACCACGCGCATTCCCCCACCGACTAAGCGCACTGACATTCTGGGCACATTATCGCTGGGCGCAAAAGGAAGAGGCAAGGCTTATTATCGAATCGCCCTTGCCCTTTCTACAACTAGACTTACGAGAGCTCTGGGCTGCCCGCTTCCAGGGGGCGGGCGCGCGCGAAGAGCGACCTCTTCCTCCGTACCGGGGCCAAGCACTTGGCTTACTGGCTGCGTATCATCCTAGTCAGTGGCTTCGAGCGGCGGTTTGAGAGCGTGCCGTATTTGCCTAGATGCAGCCTGGTCGTCAAGTGTCTTTTTCCCTCTTTCCTTTTTCCGTTTCCAGTATTATTACATGTACGCACTGGGTGAGGAAGAAAGCCTGGAATAATACGGGCTGGGTTCAGTGTAGACCTAGACGCGGGCATCGGTTCGGTTCTCAACCCAGTCAGCCAGTAGCACAAGCCCCGAAGCCCCTCCCTCCCAAAAGGATCAATGCACACCCCCTGATGATGCGCGCCACCAGTGAGAACCTGAAGTTCAAACCCACAGAACTTGGGTGATGCAGCAAGATCAGCACTACGAGGAACCTTTATCCGCCAACTTTTTGTCGCTACCCTCTCCAACTCGACTAGTTTGCCGCCGGGGGTTTTTTCTTCTTCTTTTCCTGCCCACGAGGCACCGAGGAATGGGCGGCAGGGCTCCGTAATGATAACGAGTTTTCAACGTGAGGTTGGGTGTGCGTGCAGTTTGTCATCCATTGATCCATTGGCAGAGCAGTCCGCGCAAATACCGAGAAAGTCGCGGGGGCCTTTGAAGTCGGTGGCGACTGTGTTCCAATACACCACCAAAATCCTGCCAAACTCAAGCACCACTGACACCGACTAAACTGACAACGTCAATAGACATGGTCTGGTCCGGGCCGGGGCCGGCTGCCAAAATAGCTAATTCACAGTGTAGTAATCCGACAAACGCCACAAAGAGGCCGAAATGGGGGCGAGGGGAAATTTTCCATGCTATTGTCCTCGCCATCAAGGCAGGCAAGCCCGGCCCCATTTTTATTAAGGACAAGGGTTGAGGCCACCAGAGAGGCCCCAGAAAACCGAAGGAAGGGAACAGAGAAGCGTGGAAGGCGTCGTAACGTTTCCCTTGGACGTCGTATACTCTCCGGTAGGATCTCTCGGGGTCTCCACTAGGAGGAGAAAAAGGGCGAAAGTGTGAACAATGCCAATGTGTTCCTTTCGGTGGTTAATTCTTTCCTTCCTTTTTCGGAAAGCCCCGTCACCTTTGTTCTCCCATGCCATGCCAAGTGCCACTGGCGAAATCCGGCCGTCATTGATGCGGAGGAAGAGGGAGGCGATTGTCGATATTCTAAGCCACAGGCCGAGCAAGACAGGTTTTTCGATCAAAATGGATACCGGCAGTTGCGTCTAGGACGGGAGGAAAAAAAAATATCAAACAGTTTGAGAAAAGAAGGAACAAACGGCCTATTTTCGTCACTCGAGACAGGGCTAGGCACAATAGCATCACTTCGATGACAGAACAACCATCACGAGTGAAGCCATGTCTCACCGGGGCTGGTGAGCACCGCTCGATTCGCGGATGAGGCCTCACAAAGGCCAGAAGAGGAGTTGATGTGCGAACTGGTCTTTCCATTGGACAGTTCGCGCACTGGCCAGTTAGGGGCAGCTGAGGATGCCAATTGGCAGGAACAACCATTGGGCCGACCATCCTTTGTCCTGTCCTCTCTCTCGTCAACCCTGGGCCCCTGTCAGCAGCGCCCAGTTCTGGCCAGTGCTTGCAGGAATTCCCAAGCGTCCACATTGGTCTTTGCTCGTGGATCATGGATCCCTCATCCCGTCCCCTATTTTTCGATCGCACACTATTCTTCTTTTGTTCGGGATTCGGTCTACGCGCCTCTCTTTTTTCCCGCCGGCCCTCCCCCGTGTGGCTGCTTATAGTTTCACTAACTCATGGAGGAGAGTCGTCGGCGGCGGCGAAAGGATACAAGGGAGCACTAGGGTATTCAGCGTGAAGTCACATCCACAGATCTATTATCCATCACTAGAGTTCATTGGATGGGCTCGCAGTCTCTGCTTGGAGCACAGTGTAGCAAACCCCAATGGAGTGGAAAGGTACATTCGCTTCGAGATATTACTGATTGCAGTGCAGAGAATGCAGAGAGTGCAGAGCGTGAAAGCAAGGCAAAAGTGAAAAAGAAGAAGCAAAAAGAAAAAGAAAATGGGAAAAGAAAAAGAAAAAAAGAAAACAAGGGAAGGAATGGGGGCCGCCAAGGAGCCGGCTCGCTTGTACCCACACGCCCTCTTTCTCGCCATTGCCACGCCCCCGGTTTTTGCCTCGTACCGTCGACCCCGGCCCCCTTCCATCAACCCAAAAACAAAGGCCTCTTTCTTCCCAGCTTTTCCCCCTTTAAGCCCTGTCATGTCGAAACACCCACCCCAATCCAGGCTTCCAGCTCGTCACCCTTGTCCCACCCCGCTTCCACTTCCCCCTTGATTTTACGACCGAGTTTCTGTCTCCACACCCCCATCTTCCCACTCACCCCTCACCCCCTTCTTCTCTTTGCTCCCCCCTGCGACCCTCCGTGGACGTACGCCGCCTTTCCCCGTCGATCTTGCTAATGCCTCAGAGTCGGACACACGCACCAAGATGGCGCAGCACGACTGGGTAAGTCAAGGCCCTTGAAGGGGGAGGGAGGGCAGAGGAAGCCAGACGCCTCTACCACCTGCTGGAAAAAGGCACGCCACCGACTCCTCCATATCCCGACGACGAAAGCCAACCATGTTCCCAAGTGGACCTTTCCCACCATCTCTCCTTCACCCAAGGGTCTCTCCTCGGACCATTCACAATTGAGAAGAGCCACCTCACGGTCTGTCGTCCCTTGTTCAACCCTCCGCTCGAACCCAATCCCTGTGCCATCGCCACTTGTTCCTGCGGCTTTGCTTGTTTGTCCCTGTCTTTCAATTTACTATTCTGGATTAGACTAGATCGTCCGCGCATTCATTTTTTTGGTCTTCCACACCCGCTCCACTTTGGCTGGACTGGTTCCACCCTGCGGAGTATGCCCATGCCCATGCTCACGCCCATGCCCATGCTCACGCCCAGGCCCCATCCCCTCTCTCTTCGCCTCCCCGGCCCTCTTCTTTGCGTGGACTGAGTCCCTCGGAGGAGAGAGACGTCTACTGCTGCCCTCCGGAAGGAAACTTTTCTCGCGCATCTGGTTCGCCGACGCTCGTTTGTCCTCCCAGTATAAGTTTCCCGGGCCATCCCATCTCTTGGCTCCTCGTTTCTTCTTTCTCTCCTCACCTCCAAAGCAGAGCTCTTCAGTTTGAGTCAGTCTCTTTCTTTCTTCTTTCACAAGAAATCCCTTTTTCTTCTTGGACAACGTCCACTACATTCCTTTTTTCAAAAGATTCCCAAGGCTAGGCCTGAGATCCCAACTTTTCAGCTCTTTGAAGCTCAATCCGCCTGCGGCGCAAACACTATCCTTTTCGAACCCTCGTGTTCTTCAACCAACTGACGACAAACCACCAAAAACGTCGATTCCAAACGACCTTTTTGCTTCGCTCCGCTTAGACATTCATTGAACAAATTCCCTCGTCCGGAACGTGTGGAATTTTGAACAACAAGAAAAACAACCAAGAAAACAAGTCCTCTCGACAAGATGCATTCCGCTTCCATCGTATCTGTTCTCGGCTTGGCCGTTGCTGCCAACGCCCACATGAAGATGAACACCCCCGCCCCCTGGGAGCCCATCTCCAACGCCCCCTCAGCGGTGACGGTTCCGACTTCCCTTGTAAGAGCGTCCCCTACGACTGGACCTCGGGCGTCAACGTCATCCAGAAGGGCCAGGCTTCCGATCTCAAGTTCACTGGCTCCGCTGTCCACGGCGGTGGTTCTTGCCAGCTCTCCCTCACCACCGACCTTGAGCCCACCAAGGACAGCGTCTGGAAGGTGATCAAGTCCTTCGAAGGTGGCTGCCCCGCTGCCGGTATCGCCGGCAACAACGGCGACAACGCCGCCGCCGCTGGTCCCACCGACTACACCTTCGAGATTCCTCCGACGTCCCTGCCGGAAACTACACCTTCTCCTGGTCGTGGTTCAACAAGATCGGCAACCGTGAGATGTACCAAAACTGTGCTCCCATCCAGGCCGTCGGCTCCGGTGGCTCCGAGTCTTTCTTCAACTCGCTCCCTGACATGTTTGTCGCTAACGTCGGCAATGGCTGCTCCACCAGGGAGGGTGATGATACGGCTTTCCCCAACCCCGGAAAGGTTGTCGAGCGTCTCGGTCTTGCCACCCTTTCCCCCAGTGCCATTCCCGCTTCTATCTGCCCTAACGCTGGATACGGCTCTGGCTCCGGTTCCGACTCCGGTTCCGGCTCCGGTGATGACACCCCGCTGATCCCACTCCCTCGGCTACTCTTCCCGGCGGTGTCTTCATCACCGTCCCTGCCAGCGGCGGTGCCACCAAGACTGCCGCTCCCGCTACTCCTGTCGAGGAGACTCCTGTTGAGGAGTCCCCTGTCGAGGACGACGAGGACGATGAGGATGAGGATGACAGCACTCCCGTTATCGATGTTCCCGTCAACAACGGCGAGAGCGGTTCCGGCTCTGGCTCCGACTCTGGCTCTGGCTCTGGCTCCGCTGGTGCCTTCGCTCAGGGTACCGCCTGCACCCAGGAGGGATTCTGGAACTGCATTGGCGGAAACTCGTGGCAGCGCTGCGCTAGCGGCTTCTGGTCTGCCGTCCAGCCCGTCGCTAGGGGTACCTCTTGCGCTGCTGGCGTCACCCAGAACATTCAGATCACCAAGCGTGATGGAACTCCTTTCCGCCTCAGCGCCAAGTTCCTCATGTAAATGTTTGAATATTACGGCCATATAGGATTGGGACTAGCTCCTTTTGAAAGGACTACGGTGGCTCAACCACGACATAGACTTCGGGTGTTTTCTTCTTGTATATAAACAGTTTATTTTGTACTTACAAACGATTGCGGATTGGATATCATGCCACATACACACAAGACAAGGACTCTTTGATCAAATTTTAGACCCTACACTGCAATTCATAGTGACGCGATAGTGTAAGACAATTATCGTTGGATGTTAGATAACCTTGGTTCACGCATGCGGAATTAGGTGTCATTCAATTCGCTTCAGGGTTGTTGGTGGCGTCTTGCACGTGAGCTTGATCTAGCCCCCACACTCCCTGACGCGATTCCCAAGACCCGGCTCCTCGGGTCCGGTCCAACGGCATGAGACCGGTCGGCAATTGATTTGAACGCGGAATTTCTCAGATAATAGCATTGTCCTCGGTGTTGGTTGGCTTTTATGTTGTCTCCAAATCTAGAAACAGCCAATTTTTCGGACCCCAAGGAATCTTGAGAATTAATGGGGCGCGTGGAATGGTCGCGAGGTTCAATATCGAATTATCGGCATCTTGGATGTGGAGATTACATATATCATGAAAAAAGCTTTCAACATTGCGGTTCTAACTTGGAAACAGCTCAGGATACAAATATGTTATACATTTCCCCCATCATCATGGTCTAGAGCTCGCGTCGTCTTCTTCGAGAAGCTCCGTTTTGAAAACCACCACTTCCTGCTTGAGCGACGTGGACTTGCCGGCATGACCAGCTCCGCGTACTCGATGCCAACGTGTCGCCCGCCGTCCTTTCCAATATACCGCCCGAAAGCGAACCTCGCTTCGGATACGGGCGTGCTGTCGCGCAACGCTGTGCTGGGCGCGATCATCTCAACGATTGCGGCGATGGAGGTTGGCATGCGCGGAAGGAAGAAGCCCATAGGGCTGCCGTATATATACGCGGCCAGGACAACATATATAGCCATTATAACGATGCTGATGAGGAACGCGGAGTTGGACATGAATATGCGGGTTTCGGTGACCGTTGCCGTACCCGCGATCTTGGGAGCATCTTCTTCGAGCGGCTCGTAGGGCACAACGCCGGAGCCGAGAAAGTAGGAAAATGACCGGCGCCAAACGTCCATGGTTGAAGATACCATGAGAGACTCCTCCGGGTTCGGCTCGTTAGGGTTGATGAAATCGTTGCCTATGTCGGCTTTCATGATTTCTGTGAGCCAGGACCCCGACATGCCATCCGAATGCCAATCTGCAGCGGTCGCGGGAAATGCGCGGACGCCTCCGCTACAACCTCGTCGGTGTGGTTTTTGGACTGGCTATACCCAAGATCGTCGGTGAAGTCGCCAGCTTGCTGATAGGATAGCACGCGTCCCTTTGCGTTCACGGTGACCTCAAAAGAGGCCGTCTGGAATTTTGCGTAGCAGACCTTCATCTGGAAATCAACTTCTCGAAAGGGGTATATCTCAACCGTCCCCAATACAATATGATGCCTCCGCGACACCAGATCCTGGCCGCCTCGACGCTCGCCGTCTCGTTTAAGATTCGCCCTGGCGCGAGGGTGGGGAAATCCACGCATCTTTCGTCAGTTATCCCGCGCTCCTTTTTGTAACTCGATACGTCAATCACAGTTGTGTTCAAAAGGGTTTCGTTGATCGGTTTCGCCAAGGTGACATCTCCGCAGGTGATGTCGAGGCCGTAACCCCTCGTGAGACCGGAAATGCTCTCGACTTCTGTCGTTTCGGTCGCCGAAAGCTCGAATGGTTGGAAATAATATTCCGCGGTAACCCATGGCGGCATTTCCGTTCCTAAAGTGAAGTTGGATTTGACAGAGATCATGTTATCACGTTGCCGAGCGTCATTTCGAGTGGTCGGTCTCAACGCGGCAAGATCAAACTTGGCAGAGTGTAGATTTTGCAGCTCGACGGGATAGGTGACCAGGACGGGCTTTTCATTGAAAATACCACCGAGGCCAACTGCGAGGACATTGGCAAGCAAGGCGATGAAGCAAACTACGCCAATGAGCACATGCCCAGCCTTGATAGCTCGCACGATGGATAGCTGAGGTGGAAGGGACGTGTAATTCAGGTCCATAGCTTGCTTTGCCCTCGACGCCTTGCCGTTTGGGCGTAAGTCTCGGAACGGTTGGAGAATACAGAGTACTCTGGTGACAAGGACCCAGAACGGTTCAATAAGTGTTGCAATCGCTGTAGGTATGTAATTCTCTAGAAGTTGGAGAATTTCGAAGCTATCAGTCGGTCGGGGAGACCTAAGAACATGAAGAGCATGAACATTAGCGCAAAGCGTTCGATCCCACGTCGTGCCTACTTCCGCCACTCATGATACTCACCTCCAAGAAGTTGTTCCTGCCTCTTGAGAAACACAAGGATACACACAGTAGCGATTAGCAGGAGAATAAAGATTGCGCCGGATGACCGACGAAGAACGGTAGGCTTGATCGGCTTGAAATCACCGCCTTGCTCGTCCAACACTTTGGCCGCCTTCTGCCCGATGGCGATGCTGCATGGCGCCTGGTCGCCAATTACTTCAATAGACATGGTCCCAAACGCGTGAGAGCAATCGCAAGTGAGGCGTAGGTTGGGATTAGAATCTCGCGAGGATTCGGGTTCAGCCCTTCGGGGCCCATCCCGCCTGGGAGAAACTGCATCGACAAGCTCAGGGCTGTTTCTCAAGACAGTAACCAGATCGGCCAAGGACCCGGGATCCGCGCAGAGATTGCTTTTCAACCGCGCGATAAAAAAGCAGAGCAGTATCGCACACAAGCCGGTAATGACAAGGAGGGCTTCTACTATAGCGGAGATGGTCCTGCTGACCAAAACACCATATAGGACAAAATCCACCGAACCTTCAAAGGGCTCCGTAGAAGCCGCTGCGCTCGTTGGTTCCGAGCTAGCAGAAAGCAAGCTATTAAAGGCAAGCGCGAAGCCGTACTTGTGAACAGCGCGAAGGCGCTCTTCCATTACCGAGGCGTCGAAATAGTCCTCGATGGGGCGCTCATGGTTCCCGATGACAAATCCGACGAGGGGGACAAAGGCCACTCCCATCTAGTGTCGTTGACCCGGTCATACTGGTCCGTGATGAGGTTATGCGAAAACTCTCTAGGTACATCCTGAACTTCGGAAACGCTGCTCCCGAGAACATGTTCGAAGCCGGTGGAATTGAATTCCGTAGGCGGCAGTTCCTCGGGGGCGAGAGCTCGATGACGGATCCGTTAAGCGGGTAAAACGTGTCTGTAGACACGGTCACGCGGACCTTTGCTTCCAGTAGCTCGGCTCACAAAACATGGCGGTGATCCGGGGCTTTTGACCGGGCCCTGGCTCATGCTAGCAAGGAACTGATGCGAGAATTGCTTAGGACACGTGGAGCGCGAGAGGGACTGCTCCGCATAGGCGCTGTTATGCCAGCCGAGATACTGCATCCGGTAGAGGGGCTTTGCGAGATTAGCGACGGTCTCAATGCTACTAGCATTGCAACCTTGGCCATTGAGGAAATGATAGTACGCCTGGTAAGCGGGCTGCTCATCCTGGACAAACTGAGCAGGCCAACACTTTATGTCTGTCCAGACCTTGGTCGTCGTTGAAGTCCAGTTCGCTTCGTCGGGGAAACCGCCGGAGGCGAGTTCGAAAGGAACAAGAGCATAGTCGGGTGTGGTGAAGGCAGGATACGGCTGGGACAGATACTTGACGGCATACATGCGTTGGAGAACGGAGCCGTCCAGGGCCGCAGACTGATTTTGTATGGCTAGCAACTGCGTGGACGCCACGAAACCGGAAGGCATCTGGAGTTCGACGGGGCCTGTACCGAAAATGGCACCTTGGAGGGGGTAATTGCCCAGAATATTAGTAGAAGCACAGTTCCTGATACTGAGACTGCCCAATGCCTAATGAAGAACGTCAGCCTGCACGAGTACCGAGCAAGATTTTGCGAACTGGCACGAACCCTCGTTTCGTGGCTTTAAAAGGAACCAGCGCAATGAAACCGTAAGGATAATCGAGGTTTAGGGCCTCCAGGGCCGGCACACCGCCATCCTTTGAGAGCTCCAACCAGGGCTGCATCCTCTTCACGTCTAGATCGACCCAATTCCACAGGATGCTGTACAGAACGGCTACTATTGTTGGAAAGAAGGCGTAAAGGAATTCGGTACTTGCTGAAATATCGTCGACTGACCGAGATAACGACAAGCCACCTTCACGGAGACTCTTCTGGGCTAGGAATTCGATAACTCCCGCTAAAGCAAAGGTCCATAGCGCTAGTGGTATAAGAACTCTTTTTTCATCGAGAGCGGCTTCCACCCATGCTTGCAGGCTGCCAAAAGCTCAGAATACGTATTAGTCCCCAAGAACCCGGAGAGGCTTGGCGCCCGGTATAAAGGTCACAACGTACTTGATGGCGAAGAGAGTGTCCCCTCGGAGTCCAGCCTCACCCTTATCCCGTAGTCTTTGCTCAGCTGCTTCTGGGGGATATCGTAAGCCCATGGATCTTCCTTGGCTTGTGAGCTAGATCGGGCCAGCCCGGAGGAGGGGATGCGTTGCGGTGGCCCATTGTCCTTCAGAGGACTCTCCGTATAGGAGTTCCGAGAGCGATCCGCGTTGAACATCGGTAGAACAGGGTGCTACAACATCGTCTTAGTCGAGAAGCACAAACAACGGAAGGTTTAACGGCCCGGACTACGGAGATGGAAGGCCGGCCTTTATGTATTTGGGCAAGCACTGAACGTTTGCCCTCTTCACCCCCGAAGTGGCCTCATTTATCCCGGCCCGAAAAGTAGAATATGGGGCATGCGAAACAAGGGCTGCATGAGCGAAGCAGTTGGTTCTTCTAAGAAAAACGCCATTTTGCAAGCAGGAACCCTTGACTGCGTTGCGGCCTGCCATGCGGTGGGCGCTTAAGTGTTGCAGCCGTTCACTTTTAGCGCCCGGCACCTTCAACCTTGTTGATGCCCCCGCCTATGAGAGAAGAGCGGCAAGCCGGGTAAAATTAGGCATGGTGATTGTCCTGAAGATGGATTTGCCGCATCGCGGTAAATCAAAAGTCACACGAAGACTCGCGACCAGCTTTGGGCATACAGATTCTACGTTTTGTTGGTGATATACGGCACATCTTGCTCTTTGCGTTTTTGCACAGACATGGGTCGCATTTAGAGAGGGCGAGGAAATAACCGATGCAGTTGGTTGTTCGATTCTTTGTGATTGGCCCGTCCTGCCGTCCTGCTCCGGCGGCAAATGTTCATAGGAAAGAGATAGTGCGTAAAACAGTGTTCTTAGGAAAAGAGCACAGTATGTGATATTGAAGACTCGCTCCTGCTTGACGACATCGCTGCGTCGATGACTAAGCACAGTGGACCCTCGCATCTCGAGCAAGCTCCAAAAAGATTCCAACCATCGTCATCGCAGCTCACCAAGCTCACCGTAACCCAAAAATTCGTGTTGACGACCGCGATATTACACAACACTATAGGTCTTTGACTCACCCATCATCCTAGTCGCATGCATCCGTTGAGATGATATCTCCATCGCGGCCTCCATTTTCCCGTAGATAGTCGCGAACAATTCCGACCGCCATTCGTGACTTGCTCGCTTACCGCATCTGGGCGCGCCTGCCGCTATGGCTCTCGACAATGCCAGCTCTACAGCAAGCCCACTCGAGCTCCGCCTCGCCTCCGCAACCGCCACGCCCATTGCCGAGTTATGTCCCCAGATAATCGATAGCGCGACGCGTTCCGTCCGCGGCGTCATCACCGTCGTCTGGCCCTACAGTTTAATCAAGAAATCCATCGGCTTCAACCTTGCCGAACCCGATTTTCGCCTCCGGAGACTAAAGGGCCAAGTTCGCGTCAATTTCGATGGTGCATGTGCAAAGGCGATTGCCGCTGCCGGACTGGGTGGCGGCGATGAGATCATCCTCAGTCTCGATGGCGTGGAATGGTTGGAGAATGATACGCCGGCCAGGATACCTGGCACCAGTTTAGAATGGCAAATAAAATTCTCTTCTAGAGTTTTATTGCAGGTACGGGCTCTTTAGGCTCCCTAACCCTATCCGGTTTCTAGCAATCGTATAGCCGCTGACCGACTCTTGTCTTGCTAGGTTAAGAAGGAACTGGCCGACGAGCCGACTATTATTCATGTAGATTCGACTTCGGAGGACGCGAACGAAGATGGGCCCCCTCTCCCGCACTCTCTGTGCAGGATATACCTGCGATAGAAGACTCTCCCGATACGCGCGTCCTCGATGTGACTCCCCAGAGACCGAAACGACGATATGACCTGGACGCGAACGGCGAGTTTGCGTCGCCAGCCTTCATCAAACGCGCTCGGGTTTCGTACGGCTCCTTATTCGAGGGCGACTTTATATATGACGAGGAAAAGTCGAATAAGAAGGGTCGCCGCCAGTCGGGGTTCGCAAGACATAGCAATGTATGGAGGTACAAGAGCGAGTCTCGATCGCCGTCCCCCGAGCCCGAGTCTGAGCAGGACCAAGCATCAGAGCCAGAGCCAGAGCCAGAGTTGCACTCAAGGTTAGAGCCGAAGCACGAACTAGACTTGGAACCGGAGCCGAAACTCGCGTCTCATGAAGCGCCAGAACGAGATGCCCACCTAGACAGCCATGAGCCCGAGCTCAGCACACCCGCCAAGCCACAAATGATGGACGAAGGTGTCCAGACTCTGCCTATGGAGATGGTTTCCTCCCCGGTCATTGCATCGAAATCGGTGCAGGTCTCCTATGAAAGCCATGTTGCAGCCGGTTCCGAGTTCGAGGTTGCGAAAGAGGCAATTACGACGACCAGTGTCACTAATGGTTCTGGGCAGCAAGGCATGCTATTACACGATCAGCCCTCACCCGTCGTGGTAAATAATGTCCGTGGTGGCCACCCATCCCCTCTCCTGGATCAAGCCCCGGTTAGAAATCCATTCGGACTAGACGTGGACGATATTTCTGCCGCACATCCACTACCCGCGTTCCCAGTAGAACATGGGGATGCTGGCCCCATGTATCATGAGAGCGAGTCCGCTTCAGTATCGCAAACTTTTGTGGAGCATGCCCTCCCTTGGGGCCAGGCATCAGAGTACCCACATCTACCTCCCCTAGCGAGATGGAACCGCCGTCATTACCTCACCAATCTGCCGTGCATTATCCAGATCTCTCTTACGGCTTACCTCCTGTTATCGATCCTCGACTCACGGCGGATCATGACCTCCCGCCGGCGCATGAACCTGCCCACCATCAGCATCCTCACATCGCCGCTGCTAGCCACCACCAGTCGGAGCCATACCTAATTTCGTCCGATGCCCCTTCTGCTGATGATGCTGGTGCGTTGGAAGCTCCTGGACAAGAAGAACCAGCCGAAGGCCAGGAAGCGCAAGGGGCACCCGTTAGCTTTGAGCAGAATATTAGGACCTTGGTGCGCGACCCAGACCAGCCGGACCGGCCGGATGAGCTTGTTGAGGACACCAAAGAGGAAGACGGTATTCCGCCGATAGCCGGCTACGACGACCCCAATGTGGAGAACCCGGAGAGCGAATCCGAAGTTGAAGCCGATCGGGAAGAAGAGGGCGGCGACTACGACGGGCGAAATTATGCCGATGTCCAGGATGATGAGGAAGGGGACGATGGCGAAGATCTGGGCGAGAAAGAGGATCCCGAGGATCCTGACGCTCAAATCTACGACGAGGACGAAGAACACTACGAAGAGGAGGAGGCCGAGGCCGAGGCTGAGGCGGATGAGGAAGAAGAAGAGGAAGAGGAGAGAAAACTAGGCCTCGGCGGAGCGGATGGCCACGAAGAATACGAGGGTGATGGCGATGGTGACTACCCACTTGAAAATGCAGAATATGGGGAAGGGGAATACGAGGAAGAGTACAGCGAGGAGTATGACGGTAGTGGAGGAGAGGGCGAGTATGGCGAGGAATATGACGAAAATGATGGAGAAGGTGAATACGACGAAGATGAAGAAAACGAGCCCGGGCCTATGATGCGACCGCCGGCTCAGCCATCAGCTCCCGTTTTTATCGACCTAATCTCCGATTCCGAAGACGATGAAGAGGCGGCTGCACCGGCAGCTGTAACCAGACAAGAGGATTCCGAAGAGGAAGAGGGTGAAGAGTACGGGGAAGAAGAAGAAGAAGCAGAAGTAGACGAGGAAGATGAGGATGAGGACGAGGGTGAGAGTATGAGGGAGCGCGAAGATATGGGAGTGCAGGCTGAAGGGGATGACGACGAAGAGGTTAGCGAAGAGGATGCCTCGGACAGTGAGGAGGAAGACTCAGAGAGCGAAGATGATGCGAGGGAGGGGGCCGGGGAGATGAGAACCGACGGCGGACCACCCCCGATCAGCTGACGGACGAGGATGGCAAGGAAGGCAGTGAGGAAGATGAAGCTTTCACGCAAGAATACGAGAGCGAGGCTGCACACACAAGCCCACAAAGGCGGTCTCCGCCGGTAGGTGGCACGACACCACCCTCTCTTGATATCGTGGGGAAGATGCCAGAGGGGCACCCGGAACCGATACCGTCCTCCCCAAAGGCCGTCGAGCTCCTTCCTTCTAGCCCCCCAGCCCGCGCAAGGAGACAGGCGCCGACACGACGTCCGAGCCCATACCACCACCACTACCTCCACAATCGGAAGGAAGCCCGGAAGTGGCACAAACCGTGGTCTCGGAAGAAGTGGTCTCGGTGGAAGAGATTGAAGAAGAGTCATCGGGTGCGGATACCCTCAAAAGCGTCGCTGAGGCCGCATTCACGGTGACGGTCGAAGAGCCGGAGGCTGAGGAGGAACCTGCACAGTCTCAGGAACCGCCTAGTGCAGATGAAGATATGGCGGACGCGCCGGGAGAGGTCTCCTAGAAATCACAGAAGTGGAAGAGGCGGTACAAGACGATGGGTCGGATGGGGACCACGCCATGACGGACGCGATGACGGACGCAGGCAGCAGCGGAGTCCCTTTCGAGGACCAGGTGGATCTCATCAAAGCGCCGCATGATCACGAGGACGAGGATGTGGCCATGACGGAGTCTCCCGAAGCAACGGCAGCGGTGCATGCGATGGATGAGCAGCTCCAAGCCGAGCTTGAGAAGCAGTACCAGGACGAGGTCTCTATTCTCGAAGCGGAAGATGAGCGGCTAGAGGAGGCGCAAACGGACGGTGTAGGGGAGGAGAATGAGACCGACCAACTCGCGCTCGATATAACACAGCCGATTGCCATTGATTTTGCGGTGCCTTCCAAAGCACGCGGCGATCGGCCTCACCTCGTTCTTCCCGAAACGCCTGCGCTGACCCAGGAACACGTCGATACCCTGGCCACTCAGCAGGTTGACGAGTTTGCGGCGGCGGCGGCCGCCGCCGTTAACAGTGCCCATGTACCGAAACTCGTACTTCCTACGCCGGATCAATCGCAGACGCGCGGCAACTCCCAAGTGTCTCAGCGAAGCAGCCAGACGGGGGATGGCTGCGGCTGACTCGCAAACCTTGGCTGCGGAGGCGGAGGTAGAGGCGGAGGCGGAGGCAAACACGGTCACAGCCACGGGTGAGGCCGAAGGGGAGAAATCGGTGGCCCAGACACCACCCCCATTAGAAGCCCAGCCGACCGCGGCAGCGAGCATCGAAGCGGCGGATTCGGCGCAAGAAGACTCCCAACAGCAGGCTGCGCCGGACGGATTTGCCATTACCGTCAAATCGCTGCGGAGCCGGGGCCACCGTCGCAACCTGTCGACGGAAAAGACGGAGCCGGCAATGGAGGACCCCAGCACTCAGCTCGCTAGGGCGTCGCTGGCGGCGCGACGATCTAACCTCGCCGAGGCCAGCCCGCCGCAGACAAGCAAAGCCACGAGGGCGCGGACGCGGAGCATCCAAATGAGCGAGACGCCGGAGCCAGCGACGGCCGCAGCAGCGGCGGCGGCGGCCGGGCCACAGTCGCCTCTGGCCACGCAATCGCAGCACTCAGAGGCCGGGGCGGACTCGGAGGAGAAGAGTACGATGACGGCGCTCAAGTTGCAGCTCAACAAAGCGCTGCGGCCGCGACTGCCGTACCTGACGGCGCTCAAGAGCCTGCGGCAAAACGCCAACCGGACGGTGGACGTGATTGGGGTGGCGACGGCGCGCCGCCGCACGCGCAACGACCGAAGCACGGCCCGCGCGACTTTTTGCTCGGCCTCAACCTGACGGACCAGACGGCGGGGCCGGCGCAGGTGGTGGCGGTACAGATCTTGCGGCCGCACATCGAATCGCTGCCGGTGGTGCGGGAGGGGGACGCGGTGCTCCTGCGAGGGTTCGCCGTCACGGCGCTGCGGGGCCGGGATTTCGGGCTGCGCAGCGGCGACGCCTCGAGCTGGGCCGTGTTTGAGCGGGACCGCGAAGACGGGCTGCCGCAGATCAAGGGTCCGCCGGTCGAGGTGTCGCCCGAGGAGGACGCGCAGGCCAACTTGCTGATTCGGTGGTACGCGGCGCTCGGGGCGAAGGCGAGGGAGAAGATTGCGCTGGCGAACCAGAGGATGGAGGAGGCTGGCGCGGCATCCTCGGCGCCATCGTCGCAGGGCGCGTGAGGGGTGATGGGTGATGTGTGAGGAATCCTGGGACGGGGGCTGGATAGACTAGGACGGCCAAAAAAAAGTATATGAGAGAGGGTGTGAACTCTGGCGTACGACGGTATGTAGGCATAGAAGTGCGGGGCATGAGGTATGAGGCATTGTCATGATGAAAGAATTACTTGTTTTTCCCTTTCATTTTTGGTCGCGCGCGGTCGAAGGGCTGATTATAGGTAGCAGGAGAGAGAGAGAGGAAATACCCCTTTGTTAGGCGGCCGTAGGATCACTGGTCTTTTACAAATATAATAAGTTTTCCCTTGATGTAATCTTACGAATTGGGAGAATATCTAGTGATGGCCGTCCTCTCGCGCGCGCGTCCGCCCTTTTGTTTGTGCTGATTGAAGCTAAGACTGTTACCTGCCTTCACCCCCGCTTCCGTTGTTTGCGAGATCCATCTCTGCGCATCGCCGGAATCGTGATAATATAAAAGTCTTCTCCGGACGGGTGCACCTGCGGGTTTGCCATCTGGGCAAGGAATCAACAATGGCCTTGGTTACACCTATAACAGCAGGGTACTGCGGTTAGATATACTTGTATAGGATGGTGATATCCATCCCATAGCTGGTTGTGGAGGAGTATATAGGAGATAACCGGTCCTCTCTTCTTTTGTCGCCTCTTTTTCTTTTTTATTCATGCATCTATGGATATATCTAACTGCCGCAAACGAAATCCTGGCATATCTTTTCTTCAATCCTAATGGCGCTTGCTAGCAGTGATAATGAACGCAAGGGAGCACCAAAGCAAGGTCGAGAATTCACCATTTAACTCTTACTCTACTAATACTTGGCCTGCCTGTTTCTTTCTTTGAGAAAGCCAAAGTATTAAGTTTCCATGGTTGGACATGGCTGAAACCCAACTCCAAAGGCGGGCACATCCCATCCCAGCGCCTCGCCTTTTTTTTTCTTTTAGCGCCTCGAGGACTCGATCGACCCCAGGCTCGATGACCGGTTCGCCCGGCATGTGGCTTGAGGCTGCTCCTTCTGGGACGAAAATCCGGGGAAGGTGCCCCGAATGCTGAAGCCACCGGCGATGGTGCTTGCCCCCTTGGCGGGAAGGGAAACAAGGGAAAAAGGGAAAAGAATTCGAACCACCGCTGCCGTTTGATGACGTTGGTGATCCCCGATCGAGAGACAGGAGAGAAGGGGAGGAAAGGATATGACTGGGCGAGTTACAGATGGGGGTTTACGGCTTTAGACTATTTACCCTTTGGCCCATGATTTGCATCTCCATTCACAAAAAAAAAAAAAAAAAGTTCCCTTGATACACATGTGCACTCTACCTTTTCATCTTCCGATTTGTCCTGATTCCTCTTCTTTGCATCAAGCGTTTCTCTGACATTCCCTTTTCCCCATTCTACCTTGGTCCACTACCCCTGTCGCCTTGAAAGAACATGAATGGTCTCACCAACGAACCGTGCCACCACAGCATGATTCTGGAGGGAGGGGGTGTGGTGCTCGTGTGGTGGTGTTGGTTTTTGTCCCTTTTCGATCTCGATCCTCGGGGAGGATCCAATTGAGGCGTCTCAGTCCTGATGACATGCGACCCTTTTCCGATTGAGGACTGTGCCATTGGCTCTGACGAAATAACCTCATCGGTCTAGCTTGGTATGATTTCCTATGACGCGGGGAGGCCAAAAAAAAAAAAAAAAAAAAAAGTCCATTCTCGCTTTTGGAAACAGGCTCGAGGGGCATGACTGCAACCCTTTTCTTGTCCCTTTTCCTTGTTGCACTTGTCCCTCTTTCTCGTCTTGGCTCCTCGCCCCTCCCTCCTCTCTCCCTTTTGCCCCCATTTCCGGGGCGTCGGGGAACGAGTCGTTGGATAAATTTTTGTTCTTTCTTTTTGGTTGCTGTCTTTCTGACGTTTTTCCTTTGCCCTCCGAGATGCCTCTTGTCGTCCTGAAATATAAGCCCCCACCATACATCTCTAGATACTTGGCTTGTCTTGTTGGTGCTGCGTAACTTGTTGCACCATGGCCCGGCCGCGCCCATCGTGTCCACCGTGTCCACCGTTTCCCTCTCCGGGCCCCACCAACCCTTCTGATCGTCTCCATCCGGCCGGCCAGGTCGGAAGCTGCACCAAGCGCCCCTCGTGCGTCTCTGCGTCTCTGCGCCTCCTGCCTATGTCCTGTCCGAGTTTTATGCGTCTTCGCTCGGCTGGACTGACCCCGCTAGCCACAGTTGATGTCTTGGCGAAGTCCCCTGCATCCCATTTCCAAGATGAAGAGCAGACAAGATCCGCTTCTCCAAGCCCAAGCTCCAGCTTGCCCCAATTCCAACCTGTGTTAGGGCCCACCTACAAGTAAAATATGGATCTGACTAAGAATCTTGATGAGGTACGAAGTAGTTGGAAAAGGAAAATTTCATAATCCCCGTGCAGTGAGCACTAGTATGTGCAGCAAAGACGAGGAGCGCTGGCATGATAGTCGATGCCTCTTCATTCCTGCCGAACAATAACAAAATAGCACTGGCTGGCATCCACACGAACAACAAGAAAAAGAAAAAGAAAAAAAAAAGAATAAGGAGAAAACAAAAAGACGAGCCGAGGCACCACATCCCGAAATTTGCTCGCTCCTTATTAGGTGCCTGGACGGGAACTGTGGGACTGCAGTTCACCCAGTAAAAACTCCGATGGTCGACGGACAGGGCACTAATCCTCATGCGCTCCCGTCCTCAGTCGTCAGCAAAAAAGGGGGACGGCCACTCGACGGCTCCGCTCTTCCAAGAGCCAAGTTATCGTCAAGCTCTGGCCGAAGCTCGGTCGCCGACCGGAGCCGCCATCTAAGGCCGAGCGACACACACAAACTGTTAGCATCTGCTGATGGGTGCATTTCTCTCACTAAATCCCAGTCAATTGTTGCCCGTCTTTTTGCAAAACGTCTTGTGACATCTCAGTTTTGCCCCCTTCTCTTTGGTGGATGGGGTGCGCGCTCGCCATCGAAAATGTTGCGTTGCCGTGGATTGGGGGCATTTGTGGAATATTTTCCCGATGGGGTTGGTGATATCTTTGCGAGGAGGGGAAGCGGAATTTGTATGGGCGCCCATTTGTACATTTGTCTTACTGTGGGAGGAGAGTGAAAGCGGGAAAGAGGAGTCTGTCTATCCACCCCACATCAAGGCCGGCTTTGTTTAATGTTCATTCTTCACATAGGGCCCTACTTATGTTTAGTGAAGAAGGCACGACTCTGTTTGCTTTCTTGAATCTCCCCCTGCCTTTTGTCCGGGGCATTCTTCCTCTTGTTCCTGCTCTTCTTCATCTTAGAAGCAATAATAGTGTGCTTTTGCTTTATATGTTGGCATAGTCAGATGGGGCGTCTGTTCCACAAAACTTACAGTTCCCTGTCCGTGAGGGGAGGGGTCCTTCTCCAACATTTCTTCCCCAATAACACAAAAAGAGGGACGGACGGAGAATGGAGCGGGAGGTGGTGGGATGTGGGATGCGCCAACACGAGAAGGGGAAAGGGAGAAAAAAAAAGAAATCCGGGGTTTGGAGGGGCAGACGTGCCCCTCAGGAAAAGAAGAGAAAATACTTTGCTGGGCTGCCGTGTCCCGTTTCCGTCAACCGGCAGGCGGGAGCTGGGCTCGGTGTTGGGAAGGAGGGGTGGAGCATCCCATTACACACCAAAGCATCCCATTACACACCAAAGCAAAGCAAAGTACACAAAAAGTCGGGGAGTGGAGGGGCGGGCTCCTTCATGTTCATTGGGAAGTAGAAAAGGAGGGGGAAAAAGGTGGGCGAACTGGGCCAAGAGGCGTCTTGAATGCCTTCTGTCAGCACGGTATTCATCAAAGGGAATTGCCTCAGGCCGAGCCAAGCCAAATGCGGTTGACGTTCATTACGGCATCAATCTCTGCACAAAAACCTGGGACCTCTGTGGCCTCCGTCGCGCCCCTCCTTCCCGGCGAAAAGGCGAGCGAGTCCACCGGGGTGGGGACAGCCTCGGCGACATGGATGTTCTTGGTCTCTGTCCCCAAAGAAAATCTTTGCCAAGACCAAGTTCCCTCGGCAAACCCGAATCGGATAAAGTGGCGGGTGTCTTCTTCGTCGGTGTCTTGCATCATTTTCTGCTCTCAGGGTTGGGAAAGCAGCCCCTCTCTCCGAACCCTTGTCATATTGTATGGCCTCGTGATGGAAAGAGTAGGGAGTAGGAGATTTGAAGGCCGCTCATGCCCCTAGCGAATCTTGAATCCTTCTCTCCGTATTATAGTATTGTTTGATAAACAAAGCAAGTGATACACGGTACAGTTGGAGTACTGCACGATACCTTCATTACCGAACCTCGAAGGATGGCATATCATATTCTGCCATTGTGATGTCCGCTTTCGTCGTTAGCACTGGGCTTGAGGCTGAGAGGCTGGCAGCTGGCTTTTTTGTTTTCTGTTCCCATACGGATTTTCCCCTCTCACTTTTTCTCTTCTTCCTACCCTTTTCGGACTTGTTCATTTCACAAACGTAATCCTTCACGTCTTGGACTCCGTTTTCCCCTTCGGCCAATCTTTCGACTCCCGGCACATCGCCGGTCTCGGGGTTAGGCCATCTCCCTCTTGACTTTTTTGAGGCTATCGTGAAGTGCCACTTTGTCCCGAAGATGTCACGAAGAGGGAGAAGTCGAGTAATATCATTGGGGGATCCGTATCTGGGGAACATTCACAAAAAGATGGGAGTTCTTGTAAGTTGGGTGACAGTCCCGTTGAGGGGATAGGCCCGATAATTACCGATCCTTGTTCGAGAGCCCTTCATCGCCTCCGCCTAGCGTATTGCGAATCAAGACCTTGGGCAAAAGCCGCTCATGGGATTAGTTGTGGTTGTCGCAAAGTGGAGTGTCGTCGATGCACTAGTTGCGCAGCTCAGCCATGGAATCCTCCTCTTGTGCTCGAAGCTACTGTTTCTGTTGGGCTGGAAGGTGTCGAGTCGAGGGGTCGCGTCTATTACTCCATAGTTTCGGATCAGGTGCATTGGGGGTGTGGACTGGACATGGTTATGCTCCCACCCCTACCGCGAAGATGATCCCTGTCATTCTTGCGAACCTCGAGCTGTTCCAACTATGACTTTTCGTCTTCTTCAAAAAAGGGGAGCATCGTGACAATCGAAAAACTCGCTATACATCCATGGGATTCGAAGTAATCAAAAGTGCAATGTCAAAACGTATTACGCTCCTAGTTGGGACGAGCTTTCGAAGAGAGAGACAGGAAGAAGGGGGAAGATGGGAAAGACAGAAAGAGATCCAGCCACCAGGTCTGTTTCTGGAACTGAGACCCCAAATAACTGCCCCGATCCGATCCGATCGGACGGACAAGTATAACTACAACTAGTGTACGAAGCAAAGGTGCTCGAGCTCAAGAAAGGGAGGGCTGCTCCCAACCCTGAAAGAGGGGTGCAAGGCGGCATTATTGATCCTGGAATGTCCAAGGAATCCCAGGAGATGAGGCTCTTTACTTTGTAGGCGGGGACTTTTCCAGCAGGGCAAACCACGTTGCTGCCACGTCTTCCCAACAAGCCAGGCAGTTTATGCCTTTGGCCCCGCTAGCGGCTACGAGTAATTGCTATAGTTTGGTCAACCTGAAAGCTCCTCTCATTCCCCGCCTCCCGAAGGTTTAGGAATAGCTTTAATACATGGGCGATGTATACGGAAGCTGACGCCCTCTTAGTTAGATGAAGCGCACTGGGCCAATGGCGCGAACGGGTGTGGTCTTAAGACACGTTCGGGGTCAGGGTTTTTGGGTGCCGATGTGTCAGCGGTGATGGGAGTGTCCATGCTTGTCAACCGGAGGTATCAAACCGTTCGAATACTAGAGAGGGGGTCCCATTCTATTCTGGTGAGGGGAGAAAGGGAAGGTGGAGGGAGGCGGAGGCGGAGGCCCATCCGGCGGTCCAAGGCCTTTCCGGTTTTCTCCATTGGACTCCATGCAAATTGATTTACTTGCATTTTGACTGGGTCGTGATGGTGGGGAAATTGAGGGTTTGTGAGAAATTTTTATGGGGTCTAGGAGGGCGTGTGGCCTCTTTTGGTCTCTCTCTCGCACGCACACATTCTGTCTCCTTTTAAAGGAGGTTGACGCGTTGGGGGTGGAGGGCGGCTAGCGGTGCGAATGGAGCAAAATAGTCAAAAAGGTGTGATCAATATGATAGTAGCATTTTAATGAGAGTGAAGCATGGGGTATTCCTATGTCGAGCCGTCGTGGAGCGTAGCGCACAGAAGCAGCAAGCTCGTCCTCCATAACACCAATCCAGCTTTCCAACTACATCGTAGTACCTTGCTCCACTCTCTATGGCCTCAAAGGTCCATCCATGTACCCGCTTGGTCCTCCCCTTTCTTACCCGTTTTTCTCTCTTCTCTTTTTTTTTTTTGGGGGTCCATGTTTGCTGTCTTGGCTGATGTTTTGGACTGGTGCAGCTAGGCTAGGATGACTTGGAAGTTGGATCGTGAAAGTCTTCGATGACTCAGTGAAAGCCCAGTCAGAGGAATGACCTTGTTTATCGTGGGTCCTAAAGAAGGAGGCATCCCAAAAGGTGATCCATCACGATCCATAACCACGCCGCCTTATGCACCATTAGTAGCTTGGTCTCACTCGCTTCGTCTGGGGTAGTCTCTCTTATTGTTGGAGATCAATAGCACACACACACACACACACACACACATCACACAATAATGTAGGGGCGCGGAAAAACAAAAGCCCAAGGGGGCAGCTTCAAGCGATATTAGGGCTTTCATATCTGACAGAGTGCAGCCCGGTTTAGTGAATTGCCCGCTGAGCTTGAAGAAAGCTGAGTGTCTGGCTTCCTGGGGGATGGTGGTGGGTAATTTCATATCCGGCTTCGTCGGGCTGCCTCGCAAAGGTGAGCGGCGAGCAAGGTCAGGACTCAGGGCGATTGACAAGCCATTCCAAGAGGGGACTAGACCATTCTCGGTGGACACCCAGACCGACCCAAGGAGATTTGCTGATATCATTGGATTGTCCAAGACTCGGGATCCACCTTGGTCGTATCCTCACTAGTCTCGTTGTGGGTCCGCTTGAGAAAAGCGCGGATGTGGAGGTGCAACATCCCAATCATACTCTCCCTATGCACTGTCCCTCTTTTGCGACGAGCCGCCTTGGGCAAGGCATGAGGAAAGCAACGAGGGCGAGAAAGGAAGAAAAGGGAAAGAAGAAGAAAAGGACCAATAAGAGGACCAAGAAAAGGAAAGGAAAAAGAAGAAAAGAGAAAGCTGGCGTTTTCTGGGGCATCACCAGCCGGACGCTATTGCCGTTTGATGAAATATGAAAACTTGTCCAAGGTCGGGGGCCCTTGATGCAAGTCAATTGGCTGGATTTTTGCGGGCTCGTTTGACAACCGGCTCGAGGATCGGAGATGCTACCGGGGAGGAAGGTACCCAGCAAAATAGGTAATGCATGCCAATTGTTTCGTGCGGTGTCCGCTTTTCGAGGCCCAAACCGCCACCAACATTCTGATGTGGAACCACCCTGAAGGGAGAAAGTTTGTTTGTAAAGAATTTTTACGACTTTCACTTTGAATTATTGGCGGCGCTACGGTAGTAGAGTACCCAGTAGCCTTGATGAGGCATGACGGGGTTCAGCCAGCAGGGTCACAGGGGCGATCTCGGATTTCGGGGTTGTGGTCAGCCTTTACTCACCCTTTGCTAAGTTTGGATTTGGCATAATAATAATAGGGAGTGTGACTTAATTTGGCTAGTTTTTTTCCGTCAGTCTCTTTTTCCTTCGTTTCCTTGCCATATTAGATCAAGACCCGTTTCTCAGCTTTCCCAGGCCCCAGACCAAGACAGGCAAGGAGCGGACCTGTGCCTGCCTCTTTTTGTTTTATTTCTTCTTCTTCCATTTGGTCAGCGCTGTAAGGCGTACTGATCTTTGTCAAGTTTCATTAGTGAAGCTCGTCAAGGACCTTCCGTGAGCGGTAGTAAGCCTTTGGTATTATGCGGCATGTGCCTTTGTGTGGAGTTGTCAAGCGTGTGAGGAGTGTTGATTGCTTCCGTGTGCGGAGGCAGTCAGGTGCGTGGTTGGCTACGAGGAGTGTCGATAATATGATTATCCATGCACAACCCAAATAGGAAGACGTTTCAACTCGTACTTGGTACGGTAGCACTACCTCATTATTAGGGCGCAGAGCATGCAGCTGAGTTGGGGGAGGCCTTACTCGTCTCCCCTCTGTCAGAATCGCCACCGTTTTGGGCGAATGGAGACCACCTGGGGGAACACCAAAGAAACAGCTAGATTGTGGACGATGCACACTCGATTTCTTTCGATTGCAGAATCATCGTTAATTTTGCGGACTCCTCGCCGTCGAATAAAGCTTTTCCGCTCACCACCAAACCTCTGCCGGAGACGCGTCGCGAATAATGTCCTGTGACTTGATGGTTCCCGTCGAGTTTCGTGCTCCTTCGGGGCCTGCTTATCTCCCCGGCCCGGGGGTGGAGACGGCTCGAGCCCACGCCCGAACTTGCGTTATACTTGTAACAGAATGGGAAGGGAAAGAAAAAAAAAAGAAAAGAGGATGGATCAATTGATCAAAGCAAGGTGGCCCTGACGGCAGGGAAACGTGGGAAATTTTTTATGGATGCGGCGTCCACTTTTAAACGCAAAACGTACTTGTACGTAGCTGCCGTCTAAAGTACAATTCGCGGGATGGGCTCCGCACCGGTTTGACGCTCCTGGAGGAGGCCAAAATTATGGGGAAGGCTCAATCGCATGTGTTTAGGTGGTTCTTATACCACCCAGTACCGGGCGCCGACAAAATGTGATTGCAACTAAATTGTCCTCCCCATTGATTATCGCGAGTAACCCTGATAGCCCCGATCTTTCGCCATGCATTGTGCTCGACACTAGCCTCCCTGAAGCGGGCACTTTGTCCTAGAGGCTGCCTAGATTAGATAGTTGACAGTTGAGGTTGGGGGGGAAGGGCGTCTGGATATGGCCAGTACATCAATGGGGCGGAATCGAGGGTTGCTTGAAGTCCTGTCTCAATCAATGATATCTCGTGCTCCCCTCAAGCTTCTCCTGCGAAGGGGTAGTGTTTCCCCTTCCGCTTTGCTTCTATTTACTCTCGGTTCGTTTTGCCCCCTTACGGCGGAGATACGGCGGGTATCGACCAGGCAGGTGCGAAAGACACTGTGTGCTTAGGTACTCAAGGTGGTGTTCTGGCTGGCCATGGAAGCAACCAAGAAGTTTTCTGCTGGCTCCCAGAATAATAATGCCCACAGGTCTGTGACACTGATCCTTCTCTCAGTGGCGCCAAGCCGCAAAAGATATGACCTGCGTGTGGGTATCCTGGGGGAGGTGAGTGGAAGAGAAGGGGGGCGTGTGCTAGTCGAATTTGTGGACAGTCCAACGCTACTTGGTCGACCGTACCTTGGGGTACCCAAAAGATACGGCAGTGTTTCTGCTGGCGCCCTTTCTCCAGATTCTCGTCATGGCTCGAGGGAGGAAGGAGGAAAGGAAAGGACTGGAAGGAAAAGAAGAGAAAAAAAGTCAGGTATAATAACCAACGCCCCCTCCCCCACCATCCATCGTTCCCTTCTTGGCCTCTTTTGGGGTTTTGAGGATCTTGGGCATGGACTCATCTAGACATTCAGCTTCCCCAGTCAACGGACGTTTCTTTCTTCCATTGCTTACTTACCCTTGAGCGTAGCTGAAGCTTCGTGCTCTGCCTTGCCCGTTCCATCCCAAACCTGTCTTAGTTCGACATCATCATACAGTCCTGTCTCGTCATTGTCGTGACTCGCGGTCGACAGACCACGCATAACTTACACCACTTGGCGCATCTTTTACCTTATTTCTTTTACACGCGAGCTGTCCAATGCTCGAGGTACTATTGCCTGTAATCCTCATCAACCAAAGGAGTAGCAGAAAAGCTTCCATGGGAAGCAAACTGTCAGTTAGGTGTCACCGCACCCTAAGATCACAACTTATACCTTGAGAAGGTCGCATCACGTTCCATCTTCGATGCCACGATAAAACTCGAAACCCCCATTTGAACCTCTCCACTCTATCATTGTTCTTTTCTTCACTCTTCGTTGCAATTTCGGCCTTTTTTCTTTGAAGGATCGCAGTCGATCGAATACACCCGAGTCCGGCCTCACCTTTTCAAATCTACCAAACACACCAAAAAAAAAAAGAAAGAGAGAGAGAGCGAAACGGAAGCTCTCCTCATCGCCCAACCCGAACTAATCCCGTCCCTTCTCCGCCCTCGCCGAGCCTACTTTGTTTTTCAAAGCTCCTCGAACCTAGTTGAGTCAACGAGGCTTCTTACACCTTGATCCGTAAACATCGCGAGCACCCACAAACACAAACACCATGGCGTCACAACATCCGACGCCCATTGCAATCAGCCCAGCGCCGCCGATGCTGGCGCCAGCAACTGCCAAGCCCGACGCTTCGAGACCCCCATCGCTACCATTAACCCGACGAAAACTACTCTCCAGAACAATCCGACGCCTCCTAAAAAGCGCTTGTCGGTGAGCTCCGAATCCTCCACCCCAGCCAAGATCACCAAGAGGCGCGCCGCGAGAGCCTGCGTGTCATGCCGTGCGCGCAAAGTCCGCTGTGATGTAGTGGAGGGCGCGCCTTGCGGCAATTGTCGGTGGGACAACGTCGAGTGCATTGTGCAGGAATCACGAAGGAGAAAGTAAGTCAAGCTGCTTCCATTTCCTACTCTTTTCCCCCTCCTCTGCTCTCCTTGTCCCCCTTGGCCTTTCTATGTCCCACAAGCATTCTCCCTGAAGCATTCTGCGGCTCCCACCACCCCTGTGGTTCCAAAACATTGCTCTGCTTGCCTAGTTTGGGCTTGAATCCGCGATTTGGCTGGAAAAAATGAACATGGCGTTTTTTGCCCTGGTCATTGTTTCTTGCACATGCTTGCTCGGTGCGCGCTTTTGACCGGGCTTGGTCCGCGTGGCTCCTGAGCTGGCATGGTACAACGAGGAACAATTGGCTACCTTCTCGTTTACGGCCGGGGCGAGGACGGGTGAGCGGAAGTCACGAGCCCTCCCGCCCCGGCTAGGGAGAAGGAATTACCACGTTCATTTCCAGTCATGACGCAACCTGCATGCCTCGACCAAATGTTCCTTGTTTCCATTTTGTGTGAATGAGACATTGGATCACTGCCCCAAAAGGAAAAGGAAAAGGAAAAGAAAAGAAAAGAAAAAAAGAACCGCCCCTTAGAAAAAAAAGCCTCGATCTCGAATTGTGCCATTTTGAGACGGGGCAAAGGCAGCCAAATTCGACAACGGAAAAACGCTCAATTGACATTTCCCATGTAACTAACGCCTCCACCCCCAATTTGTTAGGAAGAACATTCACCAGCTTACATCCAATGCTGTTGCGGCTCGGCACATGTCCGCGGCGGCCGAGGCCCATGGAAAGCCCACCATCGTACCGGGGGCCAATCCCATCCCTATCGCCAGCTCCACTGCACCTCTCTCCCTCTCAGACGGGGCCAGCTCCCTGAACCCCGACGCGGGAAATACTGGGCTGTTTATGGGCGCTGGCTTAGGAGGTGCTTCCCCTAATCTCCTTTGTAAGTTCACACACACTCATTTTCTCTCTTCCTTGTGAAATACGGTTCGTGGAGACATATGGGCCTGGGTCCCAGATCTCAGCACCCCTCCCTCCACCATGCTACCGAAATTTACCTCGTTTCATTGGCCTCAAGGAGGTGCTTGGCTTGATACTTGCGAGCGAGCATGATCAAACTTGGTGCCGCATCACCCACCGTCTTGACCCCCGCTATCACATGTCAACCATGAGGATACCCACGAACCCTCTCCGTCACCAATCCAGAAAAAAAGTCCTTGGCGAAGCATGGTGTGGGGAGGCAAGCCTTTGAAAACAGGAGAAGGGGCTTTTTTTCTTGAAAGGGAAAAAAAAAGTCTTAGCTGGAGAAATTGACTGGGTGGAGCATTGACGACAAGCCCTGGAATAAGTGTTCCACCGATCAGCTCTCGATCTAGCTGCAGGGCGTGTTGGGAATGCGTCTCGACGTCATTATCAGGCTTGAGGCAACAGCCTATTCGGGCCCATGTTGTTGGATCGTGTGCTGATAATTTGCAAATCATTTAGACCAACAGCCTGGGTATGGAAATATCACGGACGAGAACTCGCGTCGCCTCTTGACGACACTCCTCAATCAGGTGGCTCTCTTTGGCGGCAACAATCAGTTCCTTGGCACACCCGAAGAACCCGATGTCAGCACCCTCCTTCCGCCGTTTATTCGACCATTCCCGTCCAAGGTCTCGGCCCAGGATGTCAAGTTTTTGCGAGAGAAGGGCGCGCTCAGCTTGCCCAGCCCTCCTCTACAGAATGCGCTCCTTCAGGCGTACGTGGAATACGTGCACCCCTACATGCCCTTGTTGGACATGCAGGACTTTCTTGGAATGATCAATGCTCGGGACGGGTCTCGTGGCCAGTTGAGTCTGTTTCTCTACCAGGCTGTCATGTTTGCCGCCACCGCCTTTGTCGACATGAAGCAGCTCCGAGAAGCTGGGTACCCCACGCGGAAAGCTGCCCGCAAATCCTTCTTCCAAAAACGAGAGTAAGTTTTTTTGGTTTTGCACTTGTGCCTTCACTCCTCCCTCACCCATTTCTCTTGACCAATCTCTAACGAGGAATGTGGTTTTAGTTGCTGTACGACTTTGACTACGAGTCGGACCGAGTGATACTCGTCCAGGGCCTCTTGCTCAAGACGTTTTGGTATGAGAGCCCCGATGACCAGAAGGATACCTGGCACTGGATGGGTGTTGCGATTAGCTTGGCGCACACGATAGGCCTCCACCGTAATCCCACGAGTTCCAACATGCCTCCTCGGAAACAAAAGTTGTGGAAGCGCATCTGGTGGTCGTGCTTTATGCGCGATCGGCTCATTGCTCTTGGTATGAGGCGCCCCACCAGGATAAAGGATGAGGACTTTGACGTTCCAATGTTGGAGAAGGCCGACTTTGAAATCGAGCTCCTCGCCGAAGACAACGCGACGGTGTCTGCAGACTGCGCTGTGATGAGGGATCTCTCTGTCCAGCAGGACTTGGCTGAATTGTGCATCGCGAAAGCGCAACTGTGCATCCTCATCAGCCGCATGCTCCGAGCGCAATACTCTGTCCTCGCCCGGGACAAGGTGGCGCCGGAAAGCACGACCCATAGCACCATGATGTTGTTGCCTAACAAGGCAAACAATGTCGAGATGGTCAAGACGGTTGACCTGGACCTGATCTCTTGGGAGAGCGCCCTCCCGGCGGCCTGCCAATACCGGCCCTTGACGCCGCTCGACGTTCGCGATGGCAAGTCGACGGTCGCGGTACATCGCACGCTGCTTCACATGGTCTATCACACCACCGTCTCGGCCCTGCACCGACCTCAGTTCCTGCCCGCCTCGCCAGTCCATTCGCTCATGGCCTCGCGCCCCGTGCAGGAAATGGCGAGGATCCGGGTGCGAGACGCGGCAACCCGCATCACGCTGATGGCGGCGGACCTCCATCGCTACCGGCTCGAGCGGTACCTCCCGACGACTGGTGTCACCGTCGTCCTTCCTGCCATGATTATCCACCTTTTGGACATGAAAAACCCGGTACCCCAGACTCGGGAGCGAGCCATTCGGGGATTTAAGCAGTGCATGAAGGTGATGGAGAAGCTGCGGGACATTTATGCCGCCGCGGACTACGCTGCGGGCTTCCTCGATGCGGCCCTCCGCAAGGCGTCGATCGATTTGAGCGCGTCCACTCCTGCCGGCGTCGTACCTCCCAACTCCAAGTACGCCAACGCCACCGCCACCACTCAAGGGGTCTCGGCCCAGACCCCGCCTCCCGAAAACGCACCCTATATGACGACACCGGAGGCATCGTTGTATACGGCGAGCTACGCCCAGGAACAGCCGGCGGCGGCAGCCTTTGCCTCTCCCGCGGCAGTGACCGTTCCTATTGGTGTCTCGGCGGCGTCTCCCCTCATACGGAGAGGGACCTTGACCCGAACACGTACGAACTCACACCGAGTGCCAGCGGATCATCGGAAGAGATGAATCTGGAGTACGAGGTGCTTCAGGACGGAGGCGCCGATGGTGCGGGCGAGGGGAACTGGGGTGGTGACGTTGATATGGACCAGTGGCTCCAGTTCCCTCCCGAAGGCGTAAACAACTCGGATGATACCTTTATGGCAGGCATGTTTAACGATGACGGCGCTGCGCAGTTGTCGTCGGAGCAGACTCTAGCCTGGTCCACCGCCTTTTCTACGGAGAGCCAGCCCGTCGTTGCTGCTGCGGATGTGGCAGTCCAGCTGTAAATGAAGGGACCCGACGGGTCGGAACATGTCACCAACCCCCAACCCAACCCAACCTTTTTCATACCTCTCGATATAATATCTATTCCTTTTTCCTCTCTTTCCCCGGTTCCGTACGAACCTCCTGGTTTCTAGTGTTCGATCCCTCACTCGATGGGTTATTTTCCTTAACAACATTTCCTTGTCGTTTCTCTTAACGCATTTATTTGGGATATCTCGGAGGACAAGGCGAATCAAAAAGCCACCAAAAGTTTGGGTGTACCGTTTGTTCTTTGATTTTCTTTTCCCTTTGCTTTTTCTTCTTTGGGAAATCATTATCATATCCATGGAGTCGAGAGGAATAATTAGGAATGGACATGCTTTCCACATGATTCTTATATGCTTTTACTTTTCCTTCTGGAACCTTGAAAGTGCGTGCAGGAGACATGGGTGGAGGTGGTCGGTCTGGTTCGGTGATATTGACCAGCGCGATTCATCAGTCATCAAATCCCACCTCGGTATTAGATGTTCCCAACGAATTCGTTGATCAATATACAAGTCGAAGATCTATATTGGCACCGTTCTACCCTTGCAGAGTATCACGTGTAAGCTGTAGGTCGGCGGGCGGAACTTGTGAGCGATACATTTCATACAGGTCAAGACAAGTGATGATGCGAGTTTCTGCCTACGATGTTGTAATGGGTCATTGCTCTATTACCCACATGTAGACCCGGTATTCAATATCCTTGATAGGTTTAATAATGTGCACATGGGGCGCATGGGATCAGTCGCGGGCTCTCGCCCCTTGCCCTTGGCGAGGATCGGCCTTATTCAGCCGTCAGGTAACGATGAAATAAAACCGCCGCCACATGTCAAATTTCAGCCGGTCTAGGGGAAGGGAAGGGAAAGCATTGGCTGGCTTGGGCAAAAGCGGATGTGGTCTCCCGAGAAACAATGCTGAAGCCGCCTGGCAACGCGATGGCGTTCGGCGCCGATCGCCCGCCAGATCAGCCAGGGTGAGAGGGTTCGTTTATGGTGGTGGGCATTGATACAGTACGTGCACTACTAAACATATTGATCAAGCACAAATCAGGGCCTGGATGGAGCTAATACTGGAAGAATAGAATATTGAGATGTCGCTAGCCCGGCTGGTTCTTGTGCCTGGGGGAAAGGGAGCTGATCCTTCTTTTCCCAAATGGCAAGCTGGATTGGAAAGGCTAGGCTGGTTTGGCTGGCAATTTTGACACTAATAAAAGCATCGGCTGGCTGGGGGAGCTAGGAAGGAGAAAATGGATCCCTTGGACATTCCGTCAAAAGCATTCCTTGCTAAATACTTGTTGTAATGTTGGGGACATGGACATAATAGTCCCTTTATGAACGGGCCCCATTCAATGGGGCAATAATACACTGCTACTACTTGGTACAAATTCGAAGTGTGTCAAGGGGATATTGTTACGCGGACGAAGAAGGCCGAGGAGGGTCTCTCCTGCCTCGCACCCCACCACCCAGACGAAGTGTGGTGGAGAAAGACAAGAGACTGGCTTGACTGGATCCATCTCTCAATCTCCGTCCCATTGATATTCGCGGCGGAGAACATTCTCAAACTTCATGCAAGGGTTTCAATCTTCTTTCATATGTATGAACGTATTAACCAGCGTCCCGGAACGGCAAGGGCCTTCCTTGCATGTAAATGCACTGTGTTCACCATGGACCAACGGCTTTGGACAGCACTGGCAATGTACATCAAGTATTATTTTATTTCTTTTACCATTGTGTCATCGTGCTTCTAGCTAGTTTTTTTTTGGAGGGTCAATACGAAGAGCGTAGAGATAGAAACGAAACTGGAGCTATCAGTTGGATTTGAGCCATTGCGCCGCCAAGCCAAGGATCGGTGTACTTGGCAACTAGAAGCACCGCGCAACGCTATCGAGGCTGGCTTGATTGGCATTCCTGGCCGCCACGATCGACCAGCGAGGTGGGTTTTTCTTTTTGCTTGGTTCTGGCTCTCTCACGTTGGCGAATTATTTCCTTTTGTCAAGTCTTCTTTCGTTTCCTTCACTGCCTTGCTGCGTGTGCTGTGCCTCGAATCCTACATTGCCTCAGGCGCCGAACGAAGGGAGAGGAATAGCGCGCGCCTGGTGCCTATTGATATTGATCCATTGGTACGGTGGCTTGTAGTTGGCCGGTCGCAGGCTCCGGATGGGCCTGCTCGTTGGGTCTATGGTTTGTCTTGTCGTGACTTGACTGTTTCTTTTGGCGGGTTCCAGGTGAGTTGTGTACTGTGCGAAGAACGGGACTGGGAGCGTGGCCGAGACGCGGGCCAAATTATCGTCGCAACGTGTGTGTGTCTGGTCCTTGACGTGCCACACATACACACGCACCCACACGCACCCATACACGTCCACGCCCACACCCCATCTTGCACATCTCCCGTTTGGTCGGTCCACCACCACCACTACGTTTCCCATTCTACCTGCGGCGGGTGGTTTTTTATCTTATTTTAAATTCCTTCCCCTTCCCCGTCTGCCCTCCCTTTTCGAATTGAAGAGAAACAACCGCTTGCTGCACCTGCCCGGATGGATGCCGTGGTAAAAGGGGACACGACTTGTCCGAGACACCTCTTTTTTTGTCCGCTGTGCCACGTCCATGGGCTCCGGCCATCAAACGAAATTGAAATTTCGAGCCGCCCGCTAGTATTGACTTTGCCTTTGCGGAGAGAAAACAGGGAACATTGAACACGGGGCAGGGATCCTCCACGACCTGGCAACCGCCTCATTTTAACTGAACCTCGAGCATCTCCATCTTCGATCTTTTTTTCTTCTTTTTTCCTCTAGTTTCTTTTTTCGTTTAAGGATCCTCCCTTGTTGCTTTCTTTTTCCTTTGCCTCTTGTCCATCCAACCTCTTTATACCATTAGGCAGTTCAGAGACCACCCCTCTCCTGAACGAGACATTCTTCATCGCTCTTCGCTCCACTCCCCACGCAAACAAAGCTCCCGCCCTCCCGCCCCCGTCAAGCCGCCCCCTCGAGACCAAACACCATCGTCGCCCACATCTTCGCACATGTTCCAGTCGCTTCTCCGATGATGCCGTTCTCTATAGCCAACGACTTCTCGACGACCATGGGCACACATCCGATTGTCGACGCTGCCTCTCCTCCGGGGTCTTAAAAAACAATCTCGCCCGACCGAGATTCGCGATATGCTTCGCGTCAAACTCACGCCTGCCGTGAGAGCGATACTAACCTAGCAACACACAGCACACAGCTAGTCGAACCCCGATACCCGGATCTCCGCGTCTCTTCACAGCAAGAGTCTACCCTTTTTCTTCTCTTTTGTTTCCTACATTTCCTTAATCTCTATCGAATACACACAAACACACACTCTCTCACCTTCTCTTTAAGTCAGACACTTCCCAACACTCAGCGAGGCTCGCCCTCGTTGAATCATCTTCAGCCATGGCGGATCCCCTTTCCCTGGACTATTTCCTACCGCGGGACAGCAGCTACGACCGATCCCTCGACGCCAATTTTCACCTCAATCCCCCACCCGCCCCCGGCCCACCGACGACCTCATAGCCGACTTGGCACCGGATTGTGCTGTCGTTTCCCTGCGAGACCCCTCCGACGCCCTCCGACGATGCCTGGACGGTTCTGCCCCTTCGGAGAAGGCATTCGTCATGCGGACCGCCGTAGCCTCGCAAACCATATACGAATGGCTCCATGAGCTTCTGGACTGGCCCTGGCCTGTAGGCAGCGCCGCCTCGGGATTCCTGCTCTCCGTCACGGAGAGCCGCAGGACGGTTGGAGGCACCGAATTTTTCGACAGCATACCCATTTCCGAAATTTCGCGATACGACACGAGGATAGAGGAAATAAGCGTGGACATGGACCATCTGGGAATCGAGGAGATCAAGGCACACATTCTTCATAACCACATCATGCCCCTCTCGCGCCCGGGCACGCCCATGTCCGACTCGTCCCGCCTCACGGCCTCGGCCCTCGCCTATATCCGCATGGAGGACATCACCGCCGTCGTCACCGCCGTCATCCTGCAGGCCCTTCCCAACCTGTCCAAGCTCTCGCGCTTGCTCAACGTGTGGAACATTCGCATCTCCGTTCTCCGCCACGTCCCCGACTTTTTGTCGGCCGTCGACGACGCCGAGGTCGCCCTGCAATCGGCCTGGCGAGCCTTGTCGATCTCCTCGCAGACGGTCGCGGGGAGGACCTGAGCTCTCTGGGCGGCGATCTCGGCACCTTTACGACGCTGACCAAGAAGGATTCGCAAATCATGCGCCTGGTTCTGGAGAAGAAGGTGACGACCCCGGCCGGATCCTCGATTACATGCTGGATTGCTTGGAGGGGCTCGACGATACCCTGCCCGACGAGTGGCTGGACCGCATGGAATCCGTTGAGCGGGGATATAGTGACTGGGTCGCCGCGTGTGATACCAAAATCCGCGAAGCTGAATGGGCTAGAAGCGCGGTTGAGCAGCGGAGAAGATCCCTCATACTCGCAAAGGAACACGGTGCGGCGGCCCAGTCGGCGTCTTTCAAGAATGAGGATGTCGTTCCTCGCGCACCGCTCTCGGCCGACGAGCTTGAACCCGAGCCTGAGCCCGAGTCCGAATCCGAATCTGAATCCGAACCCAAGCCCGAGCCCACACTGCAAGACGCCGCATCTGCGCCGAGCGTGCAAGCAACTACTGTTGAACGTGCTCCCGAGCATGATCGCCCGTCACTCTCCTCCTCACCATCCAGCCAGAAGAACGAGCCTGAGATTGTTGTCTCCGACGGAGAAAGCGAATCGGAACCCGAATCCGAGACCTCTGGTGTATTGATAAATCCAGCCCCCGACGGAGGTTATCCAGGATGGCTCCTCGGATGAGCCATCGACGACATCTTCGACGAGGGGAACGGATGTCGAGAGTGAGGATGACGGAGAGTTGCCGCCTCTCCCTAGTGCTATTATGCTCACCCTCCGGCAACGGCAAGGCGCCGCTTTTGCCACTCCCAGGCACCGGCGCGGGGATGCGAAACTCGCCCCTCATCGTGGCGCCGGACGAAGGCGAGGTCTCGTACGACGAGGATACGGTGAGCATCTCTAGCTCTCCACTCCTACGGGGCAAGCCGCGGGCCTCGTCGGTCACCTTTAGCGAGACCCTCCCGATCCCCTCAATCGAAGAGGACGAAGGCGAGGATGAAGAGGATGAGGACGACGACGAGGACTTGCGTCCCAGCACCCCATTCACGGAATCGTTCCTGGAAGACGTGGACGTAGAGGAGTCGCCTAGCGTTGCCGGAACCCCGAGCAAGCGTCGGACGGCGGCGGACGATCAGCTCCAGCAGCAGATTAGTGATATCCTCGACAGCATCCCCGCCAAGTTTACGCTCAACTCGGAGCCTTCGCCGGTCAACCTCAACCCGCCCGACTTCAAGATGCCGCGGATGAAGAAAACGGCGACGACGCGAGATCCCTCCGAGACTCGCTGCGGAGTAGCATGTCGGTGGCATCGTCCCGGGCCTCGACGCCAGGCTTCACCCTTGCGCCGGCCTTTGGCAAGAACCCGCGGCCGCGGCAGAAGAGCACGCAGCAGGACATCAAGGTGTATCACCTCTCGCGCGCGACGGGCGAGGCCCCGATCAAGCTCTTTATCCGGTGCGTGGGCGAGAACGGCGAGCGCGTCATGGTACGGGTGGGCGGTGGCTGGGCGGATCTCGGCGAGTACCTCAAGGAGTACGCCTCGCACCACGGGCGGAGGTCCAAGGCCGCCAACAACGACAAGATCGAGATCCGGGACGCTCCCCGGGCCGGCTCGGCCAGCAGGAGCATGATTGGGTCCAGCCCGCCGAGCCGGCCGGCGTCGGCCATGGAGTACTCGCCGCTGACACCGCTGCACGTGAAAAAGACTAGAAAGAGCTTTGGAGCGGCCAGCGACACGGCGGCGTCGGTCGCGCGCCGCCCGCCTCTCCCGCACACTCCGCTCCCCGCGGCGATATCGGGGCCGTCGTCGTCGTCGGGCCCGCGAGAGCACACGCCTTCGTCGGGGCCTCGACGCGGTCGAGATCCAGCTCGCGGCTCAGCTGGGGCGAGGCGGATAGCCCGATGCTGGGGCTCGCGGGGCCGACGAGCAGACCGGTGGAGATGAGCGACGAGAGCCGGGCGTGGGTGGAGAGCGTCAAGGAAAAGGTGCGCATCGCGAGCGGCGAGCGAAAGGCGTCGGCCGGGCTCGAAGGGCGCGAGAAGCTCTTTGGGGAGATGGGTAAGGTGGGCGGGACGAAGCGGTTGTTCCGGAAGGGCCAGAACGGCTAGGAGGGTTCTTTTTCTTGGGGCGGCTGACCTGGGGGTGTACCGAAACGACGATGGCGGGTGGGAAGAAGAAGAGCCCGGCCAAACCGACTTAAACCCATACACCCTTTGCCCACCAAGCAGCATCCACCTACCCCCATCCTATACCTCTCTCCTTTTTCATCATTCTCTTTTTCCTTCTTACTCATACTCATACACCGTCTTCCATTTTTCTTTGTGCTTTCTCTTAACACTGGCGTCTCCGAGGAGGAAATACCCGCATCGTTCTCTTTTTTCTCTTTTTTTCTGGGGGACAACAGGCAGCTAGAACCATGCATGGAACGGCCGCGGCATCTCGGGGCGGGGTCTATTCCTCATATTACATTTTGCGTGTCTTTTCTTTTTTCTTCTTTTCCTTTTACGGCATCTTCTCTTTTCGAGGAGAGAGGCAAAGACAAAAGCTTCACTCATGTCCTTGGCATCACCAGCGCACAACGCAAACGTTCGCCCATTTTACACCAACCACACCAACCACACACTCATTCAGACCATTTTCTTCCTCCTTCTCCGTCGCTCTACAGCTCTCATACTCGCCCTTTGGCCCTTTTCTACTTTTTGTTGTTATCCCCCTTGAGCTACACATAGTCTATTGGGGGAGGGGACCTCGCTCGATGTTTCCGCCTCGAGGACTCCCAAAACTGTCGATCTTTTGCTGTTGATTCTGTTTCGTTTGTTAGAAAGGTAGATGGCATCGATGAATACCCAGTTTCATATTTTTATTATTATTTTTATCTTATTTTTCGCGTGCTCTTGTTGCTCTTGGCCACCGTTAGTTCTTTGGGTGGCCATGCCCTTAATCACGTCTCAATCATGTAGAGCCCATGATGAAATCTATTGAATCTATGCTGTGTTGTTAATTGATAATACTGTCTCTGGAATTATCAAAAAAAAATAGATAAGAAAAATAATTTGGACCGCAGGGAATTGCACAAGATTCAGACGAAGAAAAATAACGAAGGGAAAAAAAGAAGATTCTCGACAAGGACAGGATTTGAACCTATGCGGCCGAAGCCATGTGATTTCTAGTCACACCCATTAACCACTCTGGCACCTTGCCTCTTTTTGTTCTTGGTTGGGGGTAGATCGCATAAGTCACTTGATATTGCTCGACAGAAATGTTGTGTTGCGGGGTCTTCTGGGCATGAAAAGTGGAGGAGAGAGTGCCAATAGCGTGGGTGGAATTTTACGTGCAGCGGCCAAGGGTTCCTCCCTCCCATTCCTTGCTTGTGCCTCTCTCCATCCATTGTTTTACCACAAGTATCCATAGATCTTTGCAGCTCTTGACAAACCAAATTGCTGGTAGTTGGTATCATTCGGACGCTTCCTTGGATATTCAGACAATGTCGAGATTGACCAATCTGCTTCATGTCTATTTGACTGTCTTCCTCTGCTAAATCTCCCCCTTCCCCTAAAACGGACACCAGATCCAAGCAAACGAAATGTTCACCCCAGTACCTGTCACCTTGGCACCCACCAACGTTACCTTTTGCCCCGTCCGTCCTGGGGGAGCCAATTTGAGATGGCTTGCGGACCTGAGAATCTCAACAAGATAGGAGAGATCCTAGCGTTAGGGCGCATGGTTTAGTGGTATAATTCCTCTTTAGCATAGAGGCGGTCCCTGGTTCGATTCCTGGTGTGTCCAACTTTTTGAGCCCTCGAGAAGTTCTTTTTTTCTCCCTTGCGTGTTTTTTTCCCATTTTTATTTTATTTTATATTTTATATTTCTTTTCTTGGTCTTCTTCCCTCTATTCTCCTTTTCCTTCCTGATAGACAGGAGGACACTACTCGAGGTCAAACAGATCTTCACAATTGAACATAGCACAATCGTGTGCGCCAGCCGCGCGGCTATGTTGTAGGAGAAACACGAGGTAGAAAATCTCCAGCGTGTAGATACTCAAAGGCATAATCTATTAATGAGCTGATTCCTTGCCCGCCCTCAAACGCCATGCGCCATAAGCTGGTATATACGTATATATATCCATGACAGGCCTTGGGCCAGCATGGAGGGAAGAAAAAGAAAAAAACAAAAGAGCAAGAGGAAAAATGATGGACCAAGAGGGCAACAGCCACCAATCCTCCCCGTTCTCGCTGTTGTTGCATCTCGCGTCGGAAAGAAAACAAGAAAAAGGCATGAAATGAACCCTAGAGGGCCACCCGCCAGGTTCTCGCCCTAGAGCACAATGAGCAGGATGAGAAGCAGGATAAGCACAAAAATGAGGACGGCGATGCAGCAGCTACTCAGACTGTCCTCATTTTTGCGCATCACGTACTGCAGCTTCTGCATGCCCATCTGAAGGCGCCCGCCCACCCGATCCGCCATCTCGTCCACCACGTCGAGCATGCCGCTCTGCTCCTCGAGCTCGCGGCCCATGTCGTCCGCCTGCCGCCTTAGGTTGCCCACCGTCTGGAACACGCCGTCCAGGTGCGTGTCCTGCTCGCGGAGCATGTGCAGCTGCTGCCTCTGCTCGAACTCGGCGTAGTGGTCGTCGTCGCCGCCGTCGTGGTCCTCCCCTTCGTCACCCAGCGCGAACTGGCTGGGATCCGGCAGGTCGTCGCCGCCCGCGTGCGCCTTGGCCCTCGCCTTGCCGCCAGCGCCGGCGCCGGCGCCCGGTCCCTTGGCCATCTCCTCGCGCATGTCGTCAATCTCGCCGCGCACTTCCTGCACCGCCCGCCGCCGCTTGCGCACCTCGGCTTCGCTTAGGCCGAAGCGATCCGGCGAGGACTCGGCCGCGGAGACGGCGTCGGAGAGGTCGGCTACATCTTCGCCTAGCGACTCGAGCGCGGATTCGAGGTCTTGGAGGGCTGATTTGAGTTCGGGCGACGAGCCGCCTGCGAGGGATCGGATGCGTAGGTAGGATGTGAAGAGTTGTCGGGTGGAGGAGAGTTGGGAGAGGACGTCTCTGTTGGGTGGGAAGTGGTGATTAGCTTGGAGACGTTAAGATGCAAACCCAAAAAAGAAGAAAAAAAAAAGAAAAAAAAGAAAAAAAAAAAAAAGAGAGAGATTGCGCTTTCTATTCTTTTCTTCTTTCGCTTATCTGAGGCGGTGCTGGAGGGATACGGGTATCTCGGTTCCCTGGCAGTGATCATCAGGAACAAGGGGCGGGAGAGCTGGGCAAAACGTACTGCTGGACCTGGAGGAAGGGATCCTCCTCGTTGGTCGAGGACATCATTTGTGGGCCGTCTCTACGTCTTGGACTCTGCCAAACTTGACATCGGGCTCGCTTCGACAGGTAAAAGAGAAGAAAGGAGGAGGATGGATTTCGTTGAACGAGGAAAGGAACGACGGGTGTTGGCGATGTGCCGAGCGAGAAAAGGGACCGCGCAATACCACCGTGACGTCCCCCGACCGGACCTCCATTCAAAGGCTGCCTGCCTCCTTGAAGCTGATCGGTAATACATCGGGACACATGTCTTGATTAGATAAGCACCACTTTGGCTATGGAGCTTGGAGTGGGTGTCTCCCCCACACTTTCACATGTGTTCTAACTAATAATATAATAGCACACTCGATCAATTGCAGAGATCAATTGATCCATAGATCAATGGATGGTTCAGTCTCTCAATGGCCGCATGTAAACCTCGCCGTACTTGGAAAGCAGTGATCAAATTGCTGAGTATTTCTTCCCGCCCCATTTCATCGAATATATCTACAGACGGGGTAAGAATGTCCGCTTGGCTTTGACCAGGGGTGTAAAGAATGACTGCACACACAAAGCGCTTCCTCATACCAATTCCAGTGGTCCGCTGATTTACCCACCTCCCCACAAACGGAGCCATTGATCAACCTCGGAGATTATCTCCCCCGCGAGTGCGCACTCCACCACTCGCTGCCTCTTCGTAGCATAGAGTTCGCTAAAGATAGACTGAAAAAATCAACCATAAAATTCGAGCCTTTACTTTTCCAACCAGCGCCGGTGACTGTATAGGGCCTGTGAGTGGGAGCAGAGCACAATCTGCTTTGGCCCTCTTGCTCCCTAGCATCGACGTTGACACGGAGCCGAGTCTACTCGCTCGCACTGCAGCAAGGAGAGCTGAACAGGCGAAATGGGTGGTGCCACTTGCAGTAGGCGCCTGCCCCTCACCTTCACCCTCACCAGAAAATGTCAATTCACCCCGCCAAAAATGCCCCGCAGCAAGGGGAAAAAAAAAAAAGGACCTCGACAAAGTGTTGCAGTCCGTCTTCACTAACAAGAGCACACAAATACTAACACACTCAATCGCGCCCTCTCTCCTTCACACGCGCAGCGCATACACCATTGCTAACGCTCCCCCTCGTAACCCCGGGATCTTTTCCTTTTCCCTTTCGAAACGGCTCATCCTCTGGGGGAATCGAGGTCGAGTCCGCCATCATGGTACCTGAAAAGCCATTGCCGTACTCGGACGAGTTTACCTCGCCGGAAGAGTACACCGACGCTCTCCTCTCCTTCGCCACCACCTCGGACCTCTTCCAGATTCTCTGCGGCGGCGTGCACATCCTCGACTTCTTCACCACCGGCGACCCGGGCATCTTCGCCACCATCTTCGACGAGGACTGGCGCGAGTTCCTGGCCGCCTGCGACATCATGGACCTACTCGACCTCCTCATGAGAGACGACCTCTCTGGCGACTTGACCAAGGGGGTTGCGCCCGCCCCCGGCGCTGGTCGACTACATCACCCAGATTCGCAGGTTCTCCCTCGACCGCGCCTTCACCCCGCGCAAGCAGAAGCTCCCCGTGTTGCCGCGCAAGATTGCCCTTGGCATGAAGACGAAAAAGGTCCACGAGGTGACCAATTTCGCAGACTATGTCGACAGGCTCGTGGAGGGCATATGCGCCGAGGCGTCCACCGACGACAAGGACGGCGGAGAGGAAATCACCCACCTCGTCGATTTTGGCAGCGGCCAAAACTACCTCGGCAGGGCCCTCGCCTGCCCGCCCTACAACAGGCACGTCGTCGCCGTCGAGGGCCGCGAGCACAACATCTCCGGCGCCAAGTCCCTTGACCTGATGGCAGGCATCGTCAAGAGGCCCGGCGTCATCCGCAACAAGAAACTCTACCAGCACATGGTCGATAGCCAGACCCCGAAGAGCTTCTTTCCGCCAAGGCCAAGAGGAGATTGGCCAAGGGCATCACCGCCCCCAGCGGGCCGTCGCCGACCTTCGCCCCCGAGAAGAGATTGGCGTCGAGGCGTCGTACGAGTTTGAGGAAGGGAGGGGCTCTATTCAGTACGTCGTCGGCACTTTGGAGAGTGGAGACCTCTCCCATGTCGTCTACAAGATACGGAATGTCAGGCCCGACCAGCCGGAACCCACACCCGAGAACACGGAGGTAGCCGTGGTGGCGGCAGATGCCCAACATGAGGCCGAGGCCGGGACCGGGACAGGGACCGAGACTGGGACCGAGGTCGAGGCGCGCGCAAACAACGACCCAGACTCGCAGGAAACCCAGAACCAGAGGCTGATGGCCATCTCCATCCACTCCTGCGGCAACCTCTCCAACTTTGGCATCCGCTCCCTGATCCTGAACCCCACCATCCGCGCCGTCGCCATCGTCGGCTGCTGCTACAACCTCCTCACCGAGAGGCTCGGCCCCCACCTACAACTACCCCTACATGCGCCCCAGCCTGCAGCCCGTCAACGGCCGCGTCGCCCGCGAGTCCGCCAAGTACGACCCGGAAGGCTTCCCCATGAGCGACGCCTTTGTCCACCACGCCGGGGGCGAAGGCGTGCGCTTCAACATCACCGCCCGCATGATGGCGTGCCAGTCCCCCAAAACTGGACCAAGGACGACAGCGACGACTTCTTCACCCGCCACTACTACCGCGCCGTCCTGCAAAGATCTTTCTCGACCGCGGCGTCGTCGGCAAGGTGCGCCACAGCGACGGCGAGCCCGTTCCCGCCGAGGAGCTGGAGCAGCGAGGTGCCGGCCCCGAGAGCCCCTTCGACATGAGCACGAACCCCGTCATCCTCGGTTCCCTCCGCAGGGGCTCCTATGACTCGTTCAAGGGCTACGTGCGGGCCGCCGTCCTCAAGCTCACCACCAACACGAGCTACAAGCAGTACGCCGAGGTGGTGGAGCGCAAGATGGGCAACATGACGGACGAGGAGATTGACGGCTACGAGGCGGTGTATGGGTCCCGGAAAAAGGAAATCGCTGTCGTGTGGAGCCTTATGGCTTTCAGCGCTGCCGTCGTCGAAGCCATGATCGTTACCGATCGCTGGCTGTTCCTCAAGGAGCACTCCGACCTCGTCAAGCACTGCTGGGTGGAATCCGTCTTTGACTACAAGCAATCACCCCGCAACCTCGTCATTGTCGGCATCAAGAAGTAGCTCGCCCGCGTCCAAGTCTTCTTTCACCCATGCTGTCTTCCTCCCCGGGGCCGCGTTGTCCGCCCATCTCGTGGACATCCTGCTCCGGTGACATTCCTCGCCAGCCACAATTCACCAACGCCTGTCGCATCGACGCCGGACACCAGAAGTGAGCCGTATTCAACCGCTTAGCTCTTAGGCATACGACCCGACAGAGCGGCCGAACCCAATACGCTCCTCCCTTTCCCCAAAGCAGGCCAACCGCTCACTAATAGCCGACGGGGTGGTTTTTTTTTTTTCTTTTCTTTTTCCCTTTCCTTTCCCCTCTAGCCGGCTCAATGCGTCCCGTGTTCTACCCCACATCCGGGCCCTGATAAGCGATCACGATCCAATAGCGCAGTGAATACAAATCAAAGAAACGAGCCGTGGGTGCTGCCACGAGGAGACCTGCGAGTGGTGCCTGATACGTAGAACCCGCGCTGGACGGATACACTTGCCCATCTCGGCCGTGGGGGCTAGATGGCGGTAGTTTCTAATATGGTGACCGAAGGCCAACTTGACGATGAGCGGAAGCTTCGTCTTCAGTCTTCAGTTATTCGCGCGTGGCTTTGGGAAATCTTCATGCATGCCCAGGGGGAGGGCTTATCATGGAAAACTTGGAAAGCCCGTTTTCCTGTCATCCCCTTCCTTTTTTTTTTTAATCCTCCGAATTTGGTAACAGATAAGATGGGCTTGTCAAAGATTCTAGCGACAACGAGCGCCCCGCTACAGAGTCCGGCGCAAGGTGCTTCACAGGAGCTGCAGCAGCGAGCAGCACTAGCAAGATGCAGCTCCGTCAATTGTCGGCAGTGTACAGGAATTCGCACTAAGCCTCTCCCCCTCCTACTATATTCGTCGATCCACCCCACTGCCTGCTTGAGCTGCCAATCTGTGTGCCAACTGCGGGTCTGGCCCGGTGGATTTGGGCGGTGTGTTCTACCTTGATTGAAGTAGATGTTTCCGAGTTGACCTGGAAGAGGGGAGAGGAAGCGATCAGACTTGATGAATGGTTGTGGGGAGAGGGGAAGTGAGGGTATTTTCGGTATCTCCACGGGCCTGTGTACTGAGGGGATTATGCTGTCTTAGATTATGGTACGGTTAGAGTTGGTGCGATGGGGCAATTTCGCCTAGCATGGAGAATTTGGTGGCCTCGGGCTCCTTTGGGAAGGCCAAACAGCTTGGCGGCGTTGAGCGCATGTACAAGTAGCTACCAGACACTGTATCCACCTAGACGGGTCTTCCCAAGCAGACCTGACTGCCGGATGGCGATGTCCGGAGCGGGGAAAAGAAGGAAAAGGCAATCCGGCGTGACCAAAAGCACTATTTTCCAGTTCCTACCGTGTCCGGCATCTATTACTCGAGAACTTTCGAAGGAATTCGGACCCTCTTCTCTTGCCCAAAAGGTGGAGTTGATGGGGACGCCTACGACGACGATACCGCAGGAGCTCGCTGCTGTGGTACGGTACGCACCTGGGCTGCGGACATGGGTGCAGAAGTGGCGCATCGCCTGGTCCGCCCATTCTGCTTGGAAGCAAAGGAGTCCAGCCAGACGTGTGCCTAAAAATAAGGATTCCTGCTTGAGATACCCTCATAATGCAACTGGTGCAACAGGTGGGCCATCGTCCATGTCTTCATTCAATCGGGGTTTTATTGGAAGTTGCCGGAGGAGAAAGTGATCATAATCTGTTAGCCCTTGGTATGAGGACTATCGGACCGGATCGGATTTCCCTGCGCCCAGATTGGGCGGCAATACGGCCATCATGCTTGATGCCGGTCTAGAGTTCTCGGTGCCAACTCTCCGATGTGTTGAGGATGTGCGGTACATCCATCGGGACGGGGCTCCTTTCGCGGTCGCCATGGAGGATCCTCAAGGAAGCTGGATCTCGCGAGCTTCAATCACTTGACAGCGTTTCCCCTACGAAACTCAATCGTAACGCCCGAGAGCCAGCTGGCTTTGAAGGATGACACAACAAGGGTGGAGTGAGAGGTAAATTCGGTAGACCCTTGGGATCGAATCAATTGAGGGCCCTCTGAGCCAATTTGAGTGGGTTCGACTCAGATCCCGGTTTCCGGGGTTCTCCAGGCCGGACAAAAAAAAAAAAAGACAAGAAAACAAAATACGGGACAAGAAGCAGCATGGGAGGAAGCAGAAACAGAGTGTGGTACGTGCCACAGGGCTTGACCGGGGTCTCAACGTTGACACTGGGGCTGGCCAGGGCCACACGTCATCAATTGATCAATTTTGTCAAGCCTCACGATTTGGTTGAGCCGGGGTCTTCCCGCCTTTTGCTTCTGGCTTGGTCCTCCCGTCGTGCCTTTTCGGACTTTGTTGGCCAAGCAGAAAGCAGAAGTCACGGAACCCTGCAGGAGAAAAATTACGAAGAACGGTGGATCGCGGTCAGGAAGTCTCAAAGGCCAGTGCGTCCTTGCAGGGAGGCGCATCAGTGTTCGCCTTCCCCTGTCCAGCCCAATAACACCTCCATTTCGTTCGCTGGGTTCTGGGGTGTCTGTGTGCTTCGGTCGCCGATAATCGTACTTGTAGATTGGTGCTGGCTCCGTCGGAGTGAGGGTTTCGTCAACAGCCCCCTCCCTTGGCTCTCCTTTCCCATGTCTGGCTTGCACAAAGTTCAGCGTTAAATCACGACATTTTGCCGTCATCTTTCACCTACTTGCATTTGAGTTGGTAGTAGACGTGACCTACCGCAGAGATCACCTAATTGGTATAGTCTCTGAGACACTGGATCCTGCTGCTCGCTGCTGTGGCACCAAAATAATGATGGGCCAGCAGCATTCCACGATGCAAGGCCTTGTTGCTTGTGCCAAAGCCCACTTCCGAGCTCCCCTCAAACGCGCCAGTTGTATCATGAATGGGCCCAAAGGCGAAGTGGGACCACGTGAGATTGCTCGTTCTTCAACAGAGGTTCCTTCCGTGCCCATCCACTTTGATAGGCCTGTCGAAGGGCGCTCAATTGAGAGCGTGAATGTCGATCTCATTGCACAAGCAAGATATTGTATGCTTTGCCGTGCTCGTGACGGGATATGTACGGACACATTGAGATTTGCTGTGCCATCTATGCCGTATCAAGCGTCTCGCTCGACAGGATACCCGACCCAAGCCCAAAAGGTCGGTTGTTCTCAAACCCCCTTCTCCAAGTTCCTTCGGCCAGAGGACGACCCCCTCCCCCGCAAAGGAAGCAATCAACGCTAGCTTCGAAGCTACTGTAAAGTGCGTCATGCCGTAGTATTCTTGGCAGCAAACCTCTGACTCGAGGGGAGCAGAAAGAATTGGAAAAGGCACAGGCTCGAGGATGGAGGATGGAGCCCGAAGGGAAGAATCGAGAGAGGCCCCGGTGCGGTGCCATGCTGCAGGCCGGTTCTAGTGTGCGCCATGCGATGACAGCAGGCCCAGACCAATAATTCGATCAATGCTTCACCCGAGTCCCTGGCGCAGCGATCTCCGTCTTTGGTTGTACCAGACCTCTAGCGTGTCTGATCAGTGGCCTCGATGCCTCGCATGTGGGAAACTGCAGCTCCCACTACCCACCACCAGACCGACTTGACCACTTCACCCACGTACCTTGCCCCGCCAGAAACTAGCAACCACCCCACCCGCCAGTTCCCACCCGCCAGTTCCCACCCGCCAGTTCCCAGTCCCGCTCCGTAACCAGACCGGCCTGGAAACCGTGCTTGCGCTGTGCTGTTCTGCACTATGCTGTGCCCCCGCCCCCTTCTCTCCTCCTTCCTTCATCAAATGCTCTCATCCACTTTTGCGCCCTGTTGGAGCTAAAAGTCAAAGTACAAGTAGCACCACGCTTCGGAAGACGAGCAACGAGCACGGATGACCCCTGCCTAGTTTGAACTCGTTGTCTGACCTTGGAAGGCGGGACCTTCTCCCCCACTATAAGGATTGGGTGGGCCGTTATCTGGGCGAGGCTGCAAGTCCAATGGCTGACCAGCCAGCTGTTGCATGCTCTACGAATGCGGAAAGTGCGTGGAATTGAGGGCCCCCTTCCCATTGACGACCGCTCTTTGTTCTTGGCTCTTGGCCCGGTACCACCACCCTAGTCTAGGCCCATCCTGATAAGTCCAAGGGTACAAAAGGCGCGTGTAATACACAGCATATCTGTCGAGTAATAAGATTGGAATCGTCGCCTCGTATCCCCAGTCGATAATCCGGGCTCTTCTCCAACTTTCCATTTTCTAGCCCAGCATTGAACCCTTCTACTAGTAGCGCCGTCTTTTTCTCGTTTTTTCCATCCATCCTTTTCCAATTCTCTCGTCAATATATTCCATATTCCCTGCCTTTGACCGCGCCTTTCAGCATCTCCGTGGCCCCTTCTTAGTAGTAGGAAAGGCCCAATCTTGGTTTTATTCATTGGTAGCCCATCCCGTCCCATCTCACCACCTTACCACCTTACCACTCTACCACCTCGCCATTGTTAGCGAACCTTATGTCATAGTGTCCATAGTGTTTTTCCCCTCCTTCGCCTTGCTTCGGCTTTTCGAGGGTTTGCGAGTCATCATCACTAGCACCAACTCCTTCTACCACGGCTCCATTTTTTTCTATTTCCTCTTAGCAAATTTGGCTGGTGTTTCTTTCGTTATCGACAATCGCGATTATCCCGTCTTCCCTTATCGGGGCCCGCTTGCAATCGGATCTGACCTTACAATCCCAAGGGCGAATTGCTAAGAAGAGTAGAATCTTGACTCCTTATCTCGGAACCCCACCAAGCCATTCTGTTTCCGCCGGTCCGATTTTTCTTCCCTTTTTTAGGAATCGTCCTCTTCCTAGCCGGCCCCCTTCCGAGTTAAGCTAGGGTGAACTTCATGTTCGCTGTCCACGGCTACGCTACCAACCTCGCGGCCATTGTTTCAAGCACCACTTTTATAGCAGCCCCAGTTGAACCTTGGGAATCTCAACCGAGGTAGTACGTTGATAGAGGTTTGAGGTTGTTCAGATATGAATGCTCAAATATCCTTTCTTGTACGTCCCCCAATTGTTTCCTTGGTCACTAAGAAGCAAGGATGGCGAGTCGCCGCACTAGTCGAGCCAAAGCCTGAGAGGATGCTAACAAGACAAATGCAGGAGGGGACTTTTACCCTGATCCACGTCCCTCTCAAAACCTACCCGCATCTCCTTCAGCCCATAATCCGAACTCTACTACCGCAAACCCAATCGCTCAAGGGCTCCATCACTCCTCCCGATCGAGAGCGCGATGGCCTCACCACCGACGACCAACACAGCTTTCTCAACGTGAGCGTAACTCCTCTCGAGTGTTCGATTGTGTGCCATAGCTCCTGGGCCGCAAACGTGTTTGACCCCGTTATCAAGGCCTTACCGAAAGATGTCGCCAAAACCATTTCTGTGTCTACTGACGAGTATCTCGTCATCTCCGTCATCAGTGCCGGTATGGATGCGGCGAGCCGCGTCATGGAGCTCACCTCGCCGCTCGCCTTGGCAGGGATCCCCATTTTCTTTATAACCACATACTACTCCGATTTTATCCTTGTCCCCAAAAGGCCCAGGCGTCGGTGACTCAAGCGTTGGTCGCCCACGGTTTCCAGCTCGCTCAGAACGACCCCAACTACAAGTTCAAGGGCCACGAAAACCCTACCGTTGCCCCGCCGCAGGTCACCTCGTCTGTCTCCGAGCTCCAGACCCGGACGTTTGACCTCCTTCGAAAGAACAGCGTGGTACCGTACATGCAGGAGGACCTGCATCTCGTGCAGTGCTCGGGCCGAGAGATATCCCACCTCAACCAAGAGTTCTCCCACCACTCTTCTCGCAGACTTGGAAATGGAAACAGCCGCCCTTCGTGGCTGGATCATGTAGACACCAAACTATATACCGCCATGGTCTCGGCTTTCGTATCGCAACCGAAATTTCTTTCCGTCACCTTGGCAAAGGAAGAGCCACCATCGCTTCTCCTTGACAAATCCCTACTCGATATATTCGGCGATTCCCTAGTTGGAGATACAGAGGGCGAGCTCATGCCAATCTTTCTCGACCTTTCCGGTCTGTCCTACGAGGCCACTGGTATCGTCTGCGGCGTAGCTGGAAAGCTGGTGGCCGACATGGAAACACAAGGAAGCTCGGAGCTGTCGTATCTCTCCACCGCCCGCGCAGGTGCCGTGATCCTGTCCACTGAACAGGCTGCCCGTGCGCTCACTATTCTGAAGCCTATGCTGGAAAACTGAGTTGGCAGAAATTACATTCTGAGAGGAGAGTGGAGTTGTAGCAAAGCAAAGCATCAAGGGGCGGCTGTTGGTGGTGTCTCGGCCTGGGCCTCCAGGCTTGGAGGATTGCATCAATGCATATAAGGGTATCGGTTATGGAAAAGGCAGGGACAAAGCCCGGTGTTCGGTCTTGGTTATTTCGGCAATTGTACCTGTGATACCCCGTGGCAGAAAGTGGCAAGTTGTGAAAAGGTGTAAGAGCGCCAAAATTTTGTTGAGGGTGGGAGAAAAATCAGAAAAGAATGGGGACGGGGAAAAAGGTTAATGGGAAGCAGAACAGATACAGATGTATGTCAGTCTCGCGACGCTTTTCCGCATTTGGCGTTGGTCATATTTCAATGATGGACTTTACTTTTTGTGCAACTGGTTGCGATCCTCTTCGAGCTCCCCTTGTTTAATGGGGATGCCTGGTCCGTCTGAAGATGAAGGGGCGAGCTGTGACAGTGAAGTAGTGCGAGGGAACGGAAGATCTCGCCGCACAGGCCGCGTGAGAGCGAGTGAGGCCGAGCCCACTCTACTTGCCCTCGCTGTCTAGCCTTCACTTGCTCTTTTTCTTTTTGTCGTCAGCGGCGTCCTTGACGTAGCCAGCCTTCACGAAGCCGTCTCTCGCGGTTTGGTTGATGAGGGCGAAGCGCCGCGGTCCGAGCTTGAGGCCCCCATACCAGCGGGAGACGACGACCATGACGTCCCACAAGTCCATGGCCTGCATGAGGTGGAGAAGGCGGCTCCCAGCGGCGGCCTCGCCGTCGTCGTCGCAGTCCTGGAAAGAGGTGCCACCGGGGCCGCGGATGCGCCAGGCCGTCATGTTATGCGTGGCCTGGCGGACGCGGCGATCCGTAGCGAGGAGGTGCTGGACGTAGGAGGCGGCCTGGGCGGGCGAGGAGACGGGCGCGACGCGCGCGAGAAAAGTGGAGCGCTGCTCCGTAAAGGGGGCGGAGAGCGTCCACGGCGGAGGGGGCAGGGACGCGTAGTCGACCTCGGCCTCGACATCGGCGACAGCGCCGCCACCACCACCACCACCACCGGCGGCGGCGGGCGGATACTCGGCCGCGGGCTCGACGTCGAGCGGTTCCGCGGCCATTAGGACCGAGAGCTCCTCCACGGCGTCGAACAGACACGGCATCCCCGGCTGAAACACGGTGGCGACGGCGTGCCGAAACAGGCGCAGCTCCGCGGCGGCCGTGGCGCGCGAGGCCTGGCCGGTGCTAAACGTGGAGTGTACCTCGGGCGGCGCGAGGGGGTAGCTCGCGGGCACGACGAGGCGTAGCGAGGAGCGGGCGGTGTCGCCGGGTAAATGGAGGATGAACGAGGTCGGCGGGTCGTCGGCGTCTGCCCCTCCTCCTCCTCCTCCTTCGGCGGGCACGAGGGTCTCGGGCCCGTAGATGGAGTTGAGGGCCTCGACCTCGTCTTGGATCTCGGCGGACATGGCTTGGGGGGTTTAAGGTAGGGCAGGCGCTGCGGGCAGGGTGAGTGAGTTTGACCTTTCGAGATGTAAATGTTTAGATATGTGTGTGCGCGGGGAGAAGAGAGGTTGGATCAAACAGTGGTGTAGAGGTCTTTGGTTTCCTCGTTTGTATGCGCCAATCATTCTCAATACGCAAATATGGCTTTCGCGGAGACGGGCACTGAATGGCTGAAAATTGACGGCCCAGGCGAACGAATGAGGGCTTAAACGCCGCCAACGAAAGAATGGAGTTCGGCAGTGTTCCGTCATCGTAATCAGATCGAGGTGCAGGAAATCCTTCGTACTGTCGGCTCACGCAATTTGTCGAGGTGCTGAAAGCAACCCATTATTAATCACTGGCTCCACTTTAGACCTTGCTTTGCTTTCCCTAAAGATTTTCCCAGAAGCACCGAACCAAGTTGTTCTTGTTTTCATCTCTGTTCACAAGGCAAAGAATGACTTTTTTCAACATTCGCGACTCAGATTCAGATCTACATAAAGCCTATCTGCGTACTTGTATACAAATGGGGAAGAAGAGGGGTTAAAAAGTTGAGAAGAAAATGGAAAGCTATAAATATGAAGAGAATCAGAAAAAGCCAAGTTAATGGCAAGGTACCTCAGTCCTACAAGTAGGGCTGGGACCTTGAGAAACAAGAAACAGACAAGTCGGCAAATCGTGACATCTCAGAGGAGCAAGGTAAGATGCCAAACCCCTATAATCCGGGAAAGAAAGAAATGGAGATGTCAACTGGCCGACCTGCCCCGTGATAATGCGTTCACGTAACGACATGTCGTTTATGGAACACACTTAGTCCTCGGGCTCACCGATGACGATGATGGGCTCGGGCTCCTCCTCATCTTCCTCATCTTCCTCATCGTCGTCCTTCTTGGGAGTCTCCTTCTTGGGGGTCTCCTTCTTGGGGGTCTCCTTCTTGGGGGCCTCCTCCTCATCGTCGTCGTCCTTCTTGGGGGTCTCCTTCTTGGGAGTCTCCTTCTTGGGGGCCTCCTCCTCCTCATCCTCATCATCGTCCTTCTTAGGGGTCTCCTTCTTGGGGGTCTCCTTCTTGGGGGTCTCCTTCTTGGGGGCCTCCTCTTCCTCATCATCGTCATCCTTCTTGGGGTCTCCTTCTTAGGGGTCTCCTTCTTGGGGGCCTCCTCCTCCTCATCTTCCTCGTCGTCCTTCTTGGGGGTCTCCTTCTTGGGAGTCTCCTTCTTAGGAGTCTCCTTCTTGGGGGCCTCCTCCTCATCGTCGTCGTCCTTCTTGGGGGTTTCCTTCTTGGGGGTCTCCTTCTTGGGGGCCTCCTCTTCGTCGTCGTCGTCCTTCTTGGGAGTCTCCTTCTTGGGGTTTCCTTCTTGGGGGCCTCCTCTTCGTCGTCGTCGTCCTTCTTGGGGGTTTCCTTCTTGGGGGTCTCCTTCTTGGGGGCCTCCTCTTCGTCGTCGTCGTCCTTCTTGGGAGTCTCCTTCTTGGGGTTTCCTTCTTGGGGGCCTCCTCTTCGTCGTCGTCGTCCTTCTTGGGGGTTTCCTTCTTGGGGTTTCCTTCTTGGGGGCCTCCTCTTCGTCGTCGTCGTCCTTCTTGGGAGTCTCCTTCTTGGGGTTTCCTTCTTGGGGGCCTCCTCTTCGTCGTCGTCGTCCTTCTTGGGAGTCTCCTTCTTGGGGGTTTCCTTCTTAGGGGTCTCCTTCTTGGGGGCCTCCTCCTCATCGTCTTCGTCGTCGTCCTTCTTGGGAGTCTCCTTCTTAGGGGTTTCCTTCTTGGGGGCCTCCTCCTCGTCGTCGTCGTCCTTCTTGGGGTTTCCTTCTTGGGAGTCTCCTTCTTGGGGGCTTCCTCCTCATCATCATCATCCTTCTTGGGGGTCTCCTTCTTGGGAGTCTCCTTCTTAGGAGCCTCCTCTTCCTCATCATCGTCATCCTTCTTAGGAGTCTCCTTCTTGGGGGTCTCCTTCTTGGGGGCCTCCTCTTCCTCATCATCGTCATCCTTCTTAGGGGTCTCCTTCTTGGGAGTCTCCTTCTTAGGAGCCTCCTCCTCCTCATCATCATCATCCTTCTTGGGGTCTCCTTCTTGGGGTCTCCTTCTTGGGGGCCTCCTCTTCCTCATCATCGTCATCCTTCTTAGGGGTCTCCTTCTTGGGAGTCTCCTTCTTAGGAGCCTCCTCTTCCTCATCATCGTCATCCTTCTTGGGAGTCTCCTTCTTGGGGGTCTCCTTCTTAGGAGCCTCCTCCTCCTCGTCATCATCATCCTTCTTGGGGGTCTCCTTCTTGGGAGTCTCCTTCTTGGGGGCTTCCTCCTCGTCGTCGTCCTCGTCGTCATCCTTCTTAGGTGTCTCCTTCTTGGGAGGAGCCTCCTTTACGGGAACGGGGGCGGGCTTCTCTTCCTCGTCCTCTTCCTGGCGGCGGAGGACGCTGCGGGGTGAGCCTTTCCAGAGTTGGGCTTGCCAATGAGGAACTTGTTCTCGGGCTTTGCCTTTCGGTCTTTGCCCTTGCCCTTGCTAGGGCTCTTGGGCTTGGAGCCCTTCTTCTCCTTGTGGTCCTAGCGGGAGTCGACGGCCAGCGCCTCAGGTTAGCTCGCAAACGACTTCTTACCGCTGCTTCTCTTGGCACGGTGAGGGGCAGAGCTGGATGGGAGGGCAGGGAAGGAGAGATAAGATGGAAACGCTGTTGGGTGTCCAGAGATGCGCGCATAGATGTTGAGCAAAGACAGGGGCAATGCAAGGGTTAACTTACATCGCCGGCAGGGTGGGTCAAGACGATGTCGATGGCCTCGCGGCCTTCGATATTGACGGCATCGTTCTGCAGCACAAGAAAGACGTTAGATAATCATGATTTCTTTTCGAGGGAGGCTCAAACACCCCCTTCGGAGGACTTTGTAGACACGTACAAAGGCAACGCCTCGCTCACGGATGTTAGCAACTCCGTTCTGCGCCGACTCCGGGATCGCTCGTCCCAAAACGTTGGGAGCGAGGAGGAGGGCGGCAACCAAAACTTGGACGCCATGGCGAAATAAAGTAGCGTGAGGCCGGGAAAGGATTGAAAAAGACTGTAAAGTCCAAAGGAAGGTGGTAGAGAAAGGAGTGTAAGAGCGTCAAGCCGAAGTCAAAGACTTTTCCTTCTGTTCCGTACCCTGAGAATTCCCCGCTAGCGGTGGCTGGAGAAGAAGAGAAGAAGGTGGAGGTGAGGCCAAGGAAAGGAAGAAATCTCACAAGGACCTTCGCCGCGACTTTTATAGTCCCGGGGCCCAGCCGGAGAGATGTCTAGAAGACCCCATACCTCACGGTAATTGCGATGCACAAAGTTTCGTTTCGTTTGGCTTCGAGAATGTATCGAGGGCTCCCATTGTCGGGAAAACTTGAATTACGACGCCATGCGGAGGTTCAATATAGGGTCAATATGGAAGAAGAGAAGCTAGGTGAGGGTAGGTGGCCGAAGGTGTAAATTGGAGAGTGGGAGGGGACATGGACCGGGAACGAACCACTCCTCCCCGCTCCCCACCCCCTCCCCTTCCCCTTCCTCCTCCAAAAGAAGCGAATCGACAATGACAAGGGAATGGAGAGGTAGCCTTGTTCCATGAACCGCGCGGCAGGGGAGAAGATGCACCCATTGATGCGGGATTGATGCCGATGCATCATAGATGGAGTCTTTCTATGCAGAACAAAGTTGCTCACTTAGCTAGGATGAGGCCCCCAACCTTGACTAGCTTCCAGGGAACGGCACATCAATTCTATCGATGGGGTTTGGTAAGTGGAAGGAGGGGAAGAGTGCACGAGCTTTTGTGCGTGTCGAATCATCCCAACTCCTTGTCGATGCCATTTGACCTGATCCATAGATGTGTAGTGCATCTCAAGCTACTGAATATCATATGCGGGTGTGTGGGTTGAAGAATGGAAGGGGAAGGAAACGAGGACGAGGCGAGGAAGGAACGCACGGGGTTACGCCGAGCGAGGAACCTTACCCTTCCCCTCCTGTCCCTGTCCTGCGTAACTTGAAGATATTCGATGAACACTGCGATCGCCAAAGACCACAGGTAGAAATCAGAGTTGCGTGACGATGGAAGATGGGGCAAGGCAAGTAGAATATCGTTCAACCAGGCAAGGCCCGAGGCAAGGCCGGGTAGAGGGAAGAGCAAAGTCCCCCTTTTCCCCCATTAGCACGTCGGGATATCACTACCCAACAGAAATTTACCCTGGCGCCTTCCCTTCTCCGAGTCGAGTTGTGGGTGCGGGCCAGTAAAAACCCGTTCATCCCATCTACGAATGTGGCAAGTGACACCGAGAAAAGGGTCCGTTAACACCGTGCATCCGCGTCTGGACGTCAGACAATGCGCTCTCTCCTCTCTCTCCCTCCCTCTCTCTCACGCACCTCGTACGCGTCCGCATACGCAGGCACGCACATCTTCTACAGACAGATTCACCCACGGCCGGCACCCACGATGCAGTACCCGCAGGAAGTGGGCAACCCTCATCCGTGGCACATCGCTCGAGGTCGAGCGGAGCAAGGCTACGAGAGACCGAAGCAAGCCTCGGGGTGAGCGTGAATGGCGTGCAGAGCCACGGGTTCGAGTGTGGGCCAATCATGAGCCCGCGGCTGATTTCCAAGGCGGCAGCGGGATTGATGTTCAATGTGGGGAACAGACAACCATAACTTGCATTTGCTGTATAGCAAGCAGAACAAGAGGGGGCAAAAGGCTCGAATTGGACTAAGAGGTATATTACAATCGAGCGCAAGGGGACGGCACCGTCACGCCACGGCCTGGCTGCAAGGGGCAATACAGGGCAATACAGGGCCAGGCACACTCGGCGAGTGAGACGTCGAAGGGGAAATGGAGGAGGTGGGGTAATATCTGGCAGTTGCCAGGAACAAGATATTGACCCAGCACATGGAGGCGGGACGTGGAGTGGCTCGCGCGTCCATCTCATCTATCCATTGATCCATCCCTCCATCACCACCCGTGTCTACCTGTATGTCTCCATCCCATCATTCCATCATTCCATCCCGCCACCTAGCACCTAGCACCTAGCACCCAGCACCCAGCACCCAGCACCCAGAGCCTAGCACATACCAACCCCCATCTGACCTTTTCTCTCGGTACCGTACCGCACCATACCATGCCGTCTATGTCCCGTACCTCTGAAGCAATTGTGACAGGAATGGCGTTCTCACGTCCAACGATAGATGGAATATCGTGTAACCCCGATTCAACATCACGCAAGAGTGGAGAGGAGATTTTGCATTATGCAAAAAGAAATAAATCAAGATGACGAGGCGATTGACGAATTTTCGAGGCAGATGGGCTATTAGGGTCCTTCCCTCCCCTCCCTTCCTCCACCTCCCACTCCCCCGCCGCTCCGGTCTCCTCAAAGCCGGTGGGGGTTCTACATGGGGACGTGGGCGCGTGGCTCCTCGGCCACAACCCTGGATATTGCAATTAAAAGAGCCAGTAGAAGGATGGGCGGGCGGGAATATTGCACGAAAAATAAGAGGGAAAATTGTCAACAAGCCTCGTCTTCTTGAAGGGGGCCAGACCATGACGGAAGACGAGTGGAGGGGCCGGGTGGACAAAGGCCTCGTCGCAAGACAAGGGAGCAAGGGTCCGTCAGTTGATGATGCGTGCCCATATCCGTTCTTAGAGTATACACGTATTATCGTGTATACCCGAAAATCGGGTTCCTCTGGCTGGGGATATATTCTCTTGTTGGCGTATAGGCTCGCCAAGTTGAAATTGCGCTTTCCCGTTTTTTCCGGTTTAGGACAAGCCTCATCCAACCCGGCTTTTTTCCCCATCGAAATCGCAAATCAGATGAGCCGCGCGATGGGGTTCCCGCAAAGACAAGGACCCCGTCACGGGGTTAAAGCAGGATACAAGGATACGGGGTATGAGTAGGATGTGAAATGGGTCACAGGTGCGTATACGTATGTGTGCGTGTGTAATATCCGTTTTTGCGTGCTGATTGTGGCTCCAAGGCAGATCGTGACACGACGCGCTCAGCAAGTTTTTCTTGACTAGACCCTTTGGATCGTGTAAGTCATCAAGTTTCTACATGTACCCATAGGCTTGAGCCTAGCGAACCCCCTCAGTCAAGGGACCTGCCCACCAAGAAAACTACTATAAGGCCACTGCTAAGAGCGTGTCCAACACGAGCAAGCCGAAGCAGAGTACCCAAGGGGTGAAATGCCACCGATGAGGTCTGATTCTACCCAGCCCTCCCCGCAACCGGAAGTCTAAGCAGGGGGTATGGACGGGGCAACCTATCATCACTTGTGTAAGGGAGCTTAAAGAGTGGAGTGTAGGCGAAAGGGAGCATCACAACTGACCGAGGTAACCATGAGCCACGCCAATGCTAAAAGGGCCCAATGATATTATAAGGAGAATGAGAGAAGGAGAAATAAGAAGAAGAAACAAAAAGGGTGGAGAAGAGGAGAGATGGAAGAAGGCCATTCAAAGTGCGACCCTATTGGACCCGCAGGAAGGTAAATAAGGGAGCATTGCCGGCTACTACACAATGGTCGGGTTGATTGGGTGAAGACCATTAATATCCTAGGAGATGGGTCGGGATATTTGCTGCGAAGTATTATTTGCCCCAGTCCTCACTCATGTCGAGAATGGAGAAAAGGGACGATGGGAAACCGGAAAAAGAGGAAAAATTGGAAGTCAAGTAGAAGAAAAGTCGGCCAATGGTTTGAAGAGTGCAAGGCTCAATTAGTCGGAAATAATAAATAACCAAATAAATAAATAATAATGACAGCAACATATAAATATGATAGGTAAAGGGGAAAAAGACCTGGGGGTAATACCTGTTCTAAAGAGGCCTGGTTAGGGTCCATGAGATAATACATATCACTAGTTGCTGAGATGGAATCAATGGAACTAGCGATCCAGCGTTCTCATATTGATGTGATGGTAACGAGAGAGATACTTGACGGACCTCTCTTGACAAAGCTCGCCTCACGTAGGGGACAGAAGAACGAGACCTCTCATGGACATGTAGCTTTTGGAGATTCGTCTCACCATCTAGCCAAAATGTCCAACGTGAGGGAGTGAGGTTCAGGCAAGCAACGCGGGATGTGGAACTTTAAGCTTGCTCGGTAATAGCAAGGGAACATGGGTCCCCAGACTATCGCCAGGTGGCATCCATCCCCCGGAAGAGATCCATGCAAAGGTTCAATGTTGCCAAGCTTGGCGAGGAAGCAAAGGCCGGGGGACCTTTGGCCTCCACACAGGTCATTGACGGTAGAGGAGACGCGTGCGGCCAATCCGAGGAAATAGCGAGCCTGGCAGACCTTCTTCGAGACTGGATGCCAATGAAGAAATGCGCGGATACCTCAATGCTGTCTATGGGCTGCAGCGCCTTGTAGATTCCGTGCAGAGGGAAAAGGGTACCTGCTCACGAGCCGGGGAGGGGCCACCGGTCTTCGTTGGCTGTCCGGGTGAATGCAACATATCAATTGACGCCTTTTAGCCTCGTCAAGTATGACTCGAGGCATTGCATTCCCCCAAGAGGAATGCGTCTCCGCAGGCTCTATTTCCTTTCGGATGAAATGCCCCTCCACCTCCGAGACTGGAGTGACAAACAACGCCGGTGGGCCAAGGGGGGACGCGGAGACTGCGGGGACGAGGCACGCCACAAAGCATCGTGAGTTTTTGACCAGAGCGGTGGAGAAGGGGGAGACGGTGAGGATGAGTACGTGTGCCGCTCCCTGCCATCTCTGTTTCTCACCTTTACTTGTGGGTCAGGGTGGATGGCGAGTTTTCGTCAAGGATAGACAGAACCAAAATAGCTGGCTGTAACATCATTTCAATGTTTCCCAAAGAACGCCTCTCCCGCCTTCCCCAGCTTTTCGAAATTCTAGGTAGAGACACCATATTCGTGTATCATTGCATCTAAACCGCCTGTTGATAGTCAAGAATTAGTTCGTCAGCCATTGACGGCGTTCGAGATGCCGGAAATGCAATTGATCAATGACAATACCGGGCTGACGACAACTCCCATCGCGGTCAACCAAGATTTGGGGAAAAGACCCAGAAGGAAAAGACCACTTTTCTTTTAGGTCTCTACATTAAATCCGTGGATTCTTCGGCGCGAAGGGCGTGTATTATGTCCATGTTTGTTTAGTGCCAGAGAAAGAGGACGCAACCCACGGTTCATGATGCAACTCCCGCCCACCTCCCTTGAGCAAGTAAGCCTTAGCGCATGCGATGTAGCAGCGAGATAATTGTCTCTTCTAGGCATGCTATCAGGAGACGGAAGAAGAAGAGAGAGAAAAATACAGGTAGTGAGTGCACAGGACCATACATGTAAACTCAGTCTCATCCTGGTGCGTATCGACCTGAGCACTTTTGACCCACGAGCGAGGCCACCACTTTGAACTGAGTATATCCTGCGGGGTCATGTTTGAGGGGAGGGAGGGGAAGGGCGTAGAGAGAGGGCATAGTTGGTTGATTCATCGTGGCCATTGAGGCCGTAGCGTCGTGAAGCCGGAAGTCGCTATTATCCTCGAATGCTATCTATCAAAAGCCAACACGAACTTGGGGGATACATGCAGTGCCCTCAAACATTCGGCGTAAAGCCCCGGCCATTGGAGCGGCAGCACCGGCGGGCCCATCTACGCCATCTTCACGACGAATCAACGCGCTTCCTCTTTACTCACCGTATTGTACCTGTACGGCCACAAGTAATGCCGAAGAGAGGGGCTATTCCCTCTGCCTTCATCCTGAGCACATTCCTTGTAAGTGGTCAGAGAAAGGAAGGAGGGGGATTGGGGGTTCCGAGATTGGCCCTGGAAAATTCGACAGGGGTCGCCATTGTAATGAAATTCTTCATTGCAAAAAAGGCACGAAGCTTTCTCCAATTGCCAAAGGCAGTCATGGGTGCGGCAGGACCGCCACAGGGGACGACGACCAATGCCGCGGCTGCGAGAGTGTCGAGGTAACTCAATCTTTCCTCCTCCTCCCCCGCCCTCCTCCGGGAACCATCAGTGCGAGCTGTATATTAAGCGGATATTGCGACCCACTCATCGCCGGGCATAGGGCATGAAAATGGGCGAAGACGCCCCCGTACATCGCCAAACGGGGTTGTCGAGGGTTTGGAACATTTCGAGCGTTGATGGCGCAAAGGCTTCCCTTCCTTCCCGTTGGCCCTCTGGGACGTGGGCGAAGGGAGGGGCCTTTGATAGTTCATGCTTGGGCAACACCGGCATCTTTCTTCACCCTGGTGTGGGGGAGCGCGCCCAAAAGTCTTTAAGCATTCCTCATTTCGCTTGGCGTGCACAGCACTGCCCGTCACTTCCGTCACTTTCGCCTTCCAAGGCCGTCTCCGCTTGATGTCCTCAGGCGCGGAAGAAAGGAGCTAGGTGCGAGCAAGGTCAACACTCGTAGGAGAGAGAAAGGGGGGCGGGCGACGTAAGAGCGTTGCAAACCTCATCGAGACGCTGGCAGGGTTCCTGTGCGAGTCGATTGATCATGGAGCGCATAAAATGTTTCCTAGAGATAGCCGAACAGAACGTCTGAACTCGCTCTTTCCTACTCCAGACTAGATAAGTTGGCTTACCCATCCCACCGCGATGCCCTCGGACCAAGAAAAAGCCAAGGACCCTGAGGGAGTCGATTATGCATGCTATCACTGTCGATCCCTCCCTCTCTCTCTCCTTCTCTGTCTCTGTCTTCTTCCTATACCTGGAAAACCGACGTCTAGACGGGAAAACATGCAGACCGGGCAGGGACACCCCAAAGTAGGCGCCCCGTGATTGCTGCCCATGGTTCTCTCAGCCGGTGGCAAACTATCCAGTTTATCCGACGGCGGGCCCTTGATAGTATAGCATATGCCCTTGATGAGACCGCAACCGTGCAGATGCCATATGCCGTTGAACTAATGGCGGATGCATGTATAAGGGACAGCAAAGGCGGAGGAGGGAGCACAGATGGGAACGAGGCAGAGATGAACAGGGCAAAAAGAGCGCACGGAAAGAGAGTAGGAAGGAAGAAAAAGGACATGGAGATCGACTCGCGCTTGCTGTCCCCCTCCTTGGCAAATGCCAGGAATCGCATATATGTGTGTGTCATGATGCGGCGCCTACACAGGACTGGTGGCGTGGTTGCCCAACATCAGGGTCTTGACGGCGTATATTGCCCTCACATCAAAAGGGCCCTTTCTATCCCGGTCAAAAGTCGTTGTCGTAGTATACAATGCATTGGCGCAAATTACACACGCATTCGCCCACAAAAGAGAGGGGAGGGGAAGGGGAAGGAGGGAAGGAACGAAGTGTCCGGTGCTGCGGGAGGCGACCGAGAGGAATCTATGAATCACGCCCTGGCTCTCCTTGTCCTCCCCAAAAATGCTGTGTGCGAGCACCTTTTTCTTTGAAGACGGCGGTTGGTTCCGCGGCCCGGAGGGAGGCAGGCTGCAAAGGCCGCAAGGAACGTTTGCGGTGGCGGACAAAACTGCCGGCCCCGGCCATGGCCCCAGTAGAGAGACCAAAGGCAAACGATGGTGGCTCGTCGGCCCTCTTGATGAGAACCTGCCTGTGGAGGGACCTTTGCAAAAAAAAAAAAAAGAACAAAAAGGGGGAGAAAAGAAAAACAGGACTTATCCTTACATGAGCCAAGCTCACACCTAAAAAGTGGTCTGAGGACCTTCTGGAAGTTTGCCAAGTGCATCAATTCACCTGAACCGGGAGATGTGGTTGCCAAGGACACCCGGGGTATCCTATGCTCAGTATGGCTATCAGGATGGGTTGCCACTTGCGGTTGCTCACCCCCTCACTCTGCTCCTCCTTCCCCTCACTCAGGCTCCTCGACGATGGAGACGTTCGGCGTGAGTGCAGGCCAGCTTGAAAGAACCATATTATACGTGATTCGTCTAGATTGTCCGAAAGAAAACGGTCCCTAGCCTTCCAAGGCTTGGTGGCATAGTTTGGCTACCGATGTTGGGCAGCCCTCGGCCTTGCACCTGGTATCGTAGGTGCCGTGTCGCTGAAAAGCCTCCCTCGGCGCTCTTGTAGATCTCCCGTATGGCTCTTTCTGGTGACCCTCCGGATTAGGGGCCACCCTGGCGGCCGTGAGTGAGTACGTATGGCTTGAAAGAAAGCCTCAGTAGCTAGAGAGGATTCATGAGTGTCATCCGTGGCCAGAAGAGATGTAGAAAGAGTGTCATGCACTTGACAGCAGGAGATCAGGGACACGATGACAGTACAGTCCGCCAAGTTTTTGCATTTCTTCAGATAATAATATACACTATCCCCACAAATCATCTCCCACCACCCCGCCCCCAAGACCGCCATCGGCGAATCGTAACTCGGAGAATCCAACTAGGCAACATGACAAGACATCCCAAGACCATTAACAGCTTCTCAAAAAGTGGAGAGGGGTAGGTAGTAGGGGATAAGCTAAAGGAAAAAAGGGGTAACCAGAGTGTGTGAGACCGAAAAGCTGGAGAATCCGCAACCGAGAACAAGGAAATCTATCATTCGTGCAATGCTATATGCGAAAATCTCGAGGCGATCCGACCAAACGACTGAGCCCACGTCATTATAGCCTGCACGGGGGCGAGGATAACGACCAAAGGCTCTTGGAATGGGGTAAAACGACAAACGACAGCACACCGCGGGAGGCGATGCGAGAAGCCGAGGTTTGATAATAATAAAAAATAACAACAGGTAAGAAACAGGACGGAAAGATAAGACAGGTGCTGGTACAGTGGCTTCTGGTCGAATTCAGGCATGTCTCCTGGTTCCTGCCGTTTATCGGTATGGGATCTAGATTAGGTCGTACGTTCTTTGGTTATGCTTGCCATATTCCGAGAACTGTTGGAACATCATAAAGCGTTGGGTGAATGGCGGAGTATTGAACACTGGTCTCACAAAGAAAATGTCGGCTCCCAGGCGCCATTTTCTGCCCTCTGCCATCGCGTGACCGGCATCAAGGGCGCTTCTTCTCGTTTAAAGGGGATGTTGAGCGCCGCCGGCTGCTGACCCATCATCTCCTGTTGCTGCTCAAGCTCGTCGCTGCCACCCTCGACCGACACACCGACGCCAACCTTGGCTTGCTGCTATAAGAGGGCACAGCCGTTAGTAAAAGTGACAAGACGAGGCAGACATTAGTGCTCCATAAAAAAGAAATCAACTTACCGAGAAGTGATCAACCTCGGCCGCAAAGGTCATCATGACCGGGGAGCGACACGCTTCTCGACCAAGAGACCAATCTTGCCCTTGGAGTCGAACTGGGCGCGGAAGGTGGACATCCTGAAGTCATACTTGACACCAACGGTGGTGGTTCCCTCCTTGGAGATGCCGCCGCCGAGAGGACCGCCTTGGCTAGGGACGAGGGCCAACGACATGTCAACACCAGCCTGCACCCTGTCGGAGATTCGGCGCCAGTAGGTAGTGGAGAGAGCGCCCTGAGTCTGGAGCTGGGCGGTGGCAACCCAGTCGTCCGACTTGTAGCGCGCGCAAAGAGAGAGGGCGGTCTCGGGAGGCTGGGTAAGAACACCACGCTGCCATACGGTCTCGAAACCAAGACCGAGCTTGGAAGTCACGGACTGGATGTAACTACCGACGTAGATGCCGGTGAGACCGCCGTTGAGATACGAGGGTTCAACATCTTAAGAGAGGCAGTGAAGTCATCGCCGGTATACTCGTTCTCGATCTGGGCCATATTGTTTCCATCGTTGGAGAGCTGGAGTTGGGTCTTGCTGACGAGCTTGTCGGCCCATCGGAAGTTGAAGCGGCTCGACAAGGACCCTTCGTTATCGAGCTGGGCTTGAAGGAAGACCTGGAAGCGCGTGGGGAGTTAGCAAAGAAAGAGGGATCAGGGACACGTCAGAAAAGGCCCGGATTGTACGTACGTTGTTGGTACCGTAGAGGGCAGCAAAGTTGTAGGGGCTCAGGCGCTCGCTCATGGCAAACTGGTGCGAGACCTGGAAGAGGGGGAGACGCTGAACATCTTGGTCAAGTCGGCCTTGATGCCAGTGAACATGTAGCCCTGGAGAAGAACATCGCGCTGTACTTCCTTGGCCAAGTTCTCGACGGTGCCAGGGTTGCTGAGGCCGAGCTTAGCTCGTCGTTCCGAAAAGGAGTTGAGCGCGTCGGCAACAGTGGCCGCCAGGGGGTTTGTGATGAGGGTATCCCTCAAAGACTCTAACGTCGTCGCCATGATGGCAAACTGCGGCAAAAGCACGATGGGATAGGCGTTGGGGGAAGCGAAGGAGATGAAAGATGCAAAGGGGGCAGGTTCAGAGAGGCGTAGTTCGAGGGCCGATTCAAGGGCCGAACGCGCACGATTACCACCGTACAAGGAAGTGAAATCGCAAGTGATAAGAGGAGGAAAGGAAATCGCCTGCTCCAATCTGCCGTTGCTCCGATGGTTCCTGGTGGAGGCAGATGTAGCTCGCAGACCGGGTGATGGTGTTGTCCTTTGGAGCAGAGAAATTTGAACCTGGGAAAATTATTTCCTCTTGCCTGTCAAAAAAGCCTTCGGGCTGCTCCACAGAACCAGCGCGAATTGGAATTGGAGCACAAGCCACATCAGATTTTGAAAAGTGGCTTGACGCGAGAGGCGATACGTCATCTTCATTGGACAGCAACACAGTGGATCACTATCTACCGAAGATTCTCCGATTCGGTAATATCCCTTTCCTAATCCGGGACGTGAGGTACGCTGGAGCGTGCCCAGTGCCGGAACGAGTCGGGAGCCGAAGAAGAAGGAGGGTGGCAGTCTTCGAATCTTGGGTGCACTCGTGCACATGATTGAGCTGTCCGACGCACCAGCTTGGCTCCCGTTCACCCACGGAGCGAAGCTACACTAGGGTTTTGGCTGTCAATGCCGAGCTCTTGCACCGGCGTAGCGCCTCGAGAGTTTTGGCCATTCTTGTTGATTTGAATACAGCCCCTTCTTCCAAGTGGATAAACCACATAACTACCCAAGAGAAGCTATTTCACCTAGACTGCTGCCGTGGTGTTTGACTAGAAGTGTAACACCGACTCACCAAGGCCGTATACTCCTTGATGTGTAATTTGCATCGGTCGGGCGCGGGCTGGTGCGGGCTGTGGCTGGCTTCCAAGCTGGCCGTTTTGGAAGTGACTTGAGGTGATTGATTCCCTTATCAACCTTGGAGCCATTGACACTGAGTTAACTCGATAGACCTAAATAAAGCAAACCTTATCTTTCACATCTACGCCTTTGTATTTACCGCTCTATACATGTAGTCTTTATCAATTTCACAGCTTACCATACATGTACCATCAATACCACAAACCTGTTTAATGATCCCCGGCAGCCTTAGATTCTCTGTAGGTGAGCCTCTCCCCTCTTTAACCTTCGTAACCCCCATCTTGTTTTCCGACAACCACAACGACCACTCCCAGACTGACTGCGTGGGCCAGTCTCCCGCTAGCTCTGATAACAGAGGAAGCGATTCACCTCCTGATTTGATCCTTGATCCTTTTATTGCGGCCTCTTGTTTATGCCATTTCTTGGAAAGCATCATATGAGTGAGGTTAGTTCTACTTGACATTACCAATCTCGTCTTTTCTCCTGCTCGGCGCCCATCGACTTGGGCATGAACGCAGGTTTTTTTGGTCCTTTTCTATCGCTTCGGTTGACTCCTCATCCCTCACGGCATCGCAACCCACGCACTAGGGGACTAAGAACCCCTGGACCTTTTTCTGGTGTCTAACTGGGCCTAGACACTCTAGTGTAACCGACAGGTTTTGCTTTTCTTTTCACGCGGAACATAGGACGTAAAATCAAGAGCCCCCATGGTCTCCATGACTGGCTGGATCTGAGGCCTCGTTTAAACTGGTGCACTTCCGACTCAACCCGAGGGCTCGGTGAATATAAATCTCGCGTTCCGTGGTGACTCGGTCCGAACCTCAACCTTCCAGGAAGCACTACAAAGCACATGCTGGATTAATTGATATCCTGCGTAATTTGTCCAGTCCTCCCTCCAACCCAAACCAAACATCCGCTCAACACGCCATCTCGGGACATACAAGACCCAGCCGTGACAAACATCGATATTTGCCAACGAATCCAGACTCACTATCGAGCAAGGATACAAGAGGTGCCAAGCAACCTATTGCGACTTCCTGACCAGTTCGCCCTTTGCTTCCTCCCTACTCAAAAATATCCCTAGCTAGCAGAACCTGCCCTCAACTTTCAAGGGAGTCTGCCGCCCCTCCCCACAAACCTTCGTTTACTGCATTGCTTGTATTGTCACCTTCGATAGGCGATAGGGCAGTTGCAACATTGAACACAGTGACAACCGCTTTTCTAGAAGAGGCCTTGGTTGCGTCACTGGACCCCGCGTCAGACCTCGCCAATTTCCTCGTCCTAATCGCCACTACCTAATACCCCTTCTTCAAAAGAAGGAGCCACTACCATCGGCCTTCCCGTCACAAACTCGCAACCCGTGATTGGAATATTCTGCATCACCTACCTAGTCGGCGATAATACCCAACACTAAAGCCTCCAGACCTGACAAGCGGGGAGTATTTGATAAGTTCAAACAGGTCACAGTTGCTTGCCTCAATCCTCGATTGACCTGACCTTGCATCCGTGCACACTGCGGTCATCAAGCGATCAGTTGGGGACCTGAAGGGTTCATCAATCGGGAATAATTTTGGCGGCCTGATCGAGCCCCCTTCCCCCACGCAGCTCCCAGAAAAAGAGCTCCCAGCTCAGCCCAGCGCATCAATTCCCAGCTCAGCCCAGCCCAGCCAGCCCAGCGCAACACAACGCAGTCCAAACCGGCTAGCTCCCAGTGCTCCTTCCTGCTTGCCACCTTCACCTCTTGGTTCCCGGATAGAACTCGTGGTCTGATCCTGTCTTTTCCGACATTCCGCATCAAGTACATTCTTGATCCCGCTCGCCCGATTTCCCGTTTCCTGATCGGTCGCTGGCTCCCCATCAGTCTCCAACACGATCGACTGGATTTCTGTGGGCTTCGCTTGCTCTGACGACCTGCTGCCGCAGTTCCACAATCCAAAGGGTCCAGAACACTTTCCCGAAGCCGTTTCCACCGAGCCGACTGTCCGTTAATCAATCCAACCCACTTCTCAGTCTCAGTTTGCGTGCCGTGCTTTACGGCCCCATCCTCCAGTCATATAGGTCTCCATTTATCGCCAAACATGGACACGTTATTGTGAGTCTTCGTTTTTTTCTTCCTCTCGCCAGTGTCTGGGCTTTGTGCCCATTGTTTCCATCCCTCCCAAACAACCCAATTCTTGTTCGAATTTCTTTCCATTTGCTATTTTTCTGAGTCAATGGGGTATCCTCCTTGACCTGAAGCTCTTTCCTCCATAATCTGTCTCTTCCGACCCTCGTTTTTTATGCTCTTCACCAAATATTCCTAGTTTCGCACTTCCCTAGCCCCGGATCCAAAATAATCTCCACACGTCCCCCTACCTTAAACGCTGTCTACCTCGGTCTGAGCTCTTTGTTCTTGAGAGGAAGAAAGAAGACAACATCCTCCGCTCCCCCCTCCCTGGCCCGTCCTCCCCGCTGCCCCCACAGTAATCCCCAGTCATGTACCCATCCACAACTGGCGGCGAGGATAGACGGGACAGTATTCAGAGTCGTTTTCGGGCTAGCCTTGGATCTCCACCTCTGGATACGGAGTTGGCTGTCGTCGACGATGACGATGCCGACAACGTTTCCTGTTCCAGCCGTGCCAGTGCCAGTGCCAGTGCCAATACCAATGCCAACTCCAACCCCCTCTAGCCTCTAATGGTCCTCACAATGCTTCAACCTTCCTCTCGCCCCTTGTATGCCCACGGCCTGAGCTTGGTGTCGTGCATGACTATGACCATACCGTATCTCTCCTTGAAACTGACGACGATAGAACTGCCCAAATCGCCGCCAATGCTCCCCGTTACCGTCGGAAGAGCTCAACCTTCATAGATGCCATCCATGACACCCCCGAGGAGCAAGACAGGGCGCCTGCCCAGCTCTACAGCACAATGTCTGGCCGACTTTTCCACTCTGGCCGCATTGCGATTGTAATGGTTGGCTTGCCTGCCCGCGGCAAGACGTAAGTTGCCCTAGATATAAATTCGGATCCTTACCATCTCCCGCCCGCCGGCCTGGTGTGACGGCCTGGCCTTTCCTGGCTTCATCCTTATCCCCATGTCCCTCTATGCTCTGTGACAGGCGTCTCCCACAAAGACCGCTAACAAACCAAACCCACCTACAGCCACATTTGCGTATCACTGTCACGTTACCTCCAATGGTAAGTTTTGGGCCCTGCGTTGACCCTGCATTTGCCTTGCGAGCCCTACATGTATATTCCGGTGCGTGTTCGCGTAATCTGACTTCTGCGTCTGTGGTAGGCTTGGCGTCAAGACCCGAATTTTTCATCTTGGAGATTATCGAAGGGCAACTGTCGGCAACCATGGTGCCGTCCCCGAGGACTATTTCTTCCCAAACGCATCACCCGCATCCGTGATTTTGCGGCAAAAGATTCTCAAAAAGTGTCGCGAAGACATCTATGCCTGGCTCAATCACGAAAATGGTCAAGTCGCCATCTACGATGCCGTGAATCCCACGGCTGCAGGCCGCCGATCCCTCGCTAAGGAGTTTCTTCGCCATGATGTTCAGGTAGGCAGGCGCATTTGCCGGCAAGCACCCCTAAATGAAACTCTTGACTAACTGCCTGCCATCGAAGACTCTCTTCATCGAGTCGTTTGTTGACGATGACCGTATTCTCAAGGAGAACGCCCGGAACGTAAAAATCTCATCGCCTGACGTTAGTCTTCCCCTTGGACTTTTTCCCTCCCTAGTTATATCACCTGGCACTTACACACCAGACTATGTAGTTTGAGGGAATGAATCCCGACGAGGCTGCTAGGCTGTACTTGAAGCGGATCGAAGCAAAGATTCCTGTTTTCGATACCATGGATGAGACCGAGCTCAATTTCATCAAAATGATCAATGCCGGCGCCAAGTTCTTTTACAACAACGTCAGCTTCAACTACCTCTCACACCGCATCGTCTTCTACCTGACAAACTTGCACATCAAGTCTCGGGCAACGTACTTTGTCCGAGCTGGTGTCACTACTGAAGAGGATTCCTACAAGGCTGACGCTCCGCTTTCGGAAGAGGGATTCACGTATGCGCGGCGAATGTCGGACACCCTCCTGAAGCATCGCGAAGAGAAGCGCAGAAAGCTCATTGAAGAGGGTGGCCCCGATGTCCCCGTGAAGCCACTGTCTGTATGGTCCTCCACTCGACTTAGAACCATCCAGACCGCGGAGTACCTCAAGGGCAAGGGATACAAGGTTCGACAGCGCTCCCAAATGAGCCAAATCAACCCCGGAGTCTGTGAGCGCCTTTCTGAGCGCACAATCCGTCGACGGTATCCGGAAGAGATTGAGAAGCATGAAAGGGACCCGTATCATCATCGGTACCCTCGAGCCGAGGTAAGCGTGCCGCATCCCCCTCTAACCTTCAACTTCAGTCAGCTGGACATCTTGGTAAACATCCTCCCACCTCAAGATTACCAAACTGACCATACGTTTATTCTTCAGTCTTATCATGACTTGGCTGTGCGCCTCGAACCCATCATTCTAGAACTCGAGCGCGAACAAAATGACCTTTGATTATTGCCCACGAATCGGTCCTCAGAGTTCTTTACGCATACCTGATGCATTGTTCGACAACAGATATCCCGTCGCTAAAGTTCCCTCGCGACGAAATCATTGAAATTATCCCAGCAGCCTACCAGAACGAGTCTAACCGCATCCACATCCCCGGTATCGATCCTCGTATTATTCCTGGCTCACCTCAAGATATTCGCATCCCGGTACCGCCGGGTATCGGCAGCGGACAGATGAGCCCGATTCCGGGGCTATCCTCCCCAGTGGAGACCGCCGAGAAGAACTTTGAGAAGCTGGTGTTTGAGAAACACAAGCCCTTAGGAACTCCCCGCCTTCGGATAAAACAACAAAGGCGCCAGAAATCGTAGCGGACAAGATACACGATGATGATTAAAGATAGTGGATGGCTTCGTAGTCGGGACGGAATATCAATGTCTAGCATTGGCCTCTCTTTTTTCTCGTTACCGGATGGCTACGGTTTTATAGACGTGGACGGTTTGGCCTGGACATCGCTCATTTGCCGGAGTCGTGACGGGAATTGCTTTACAGATCCGGATGAAGGTGCTAAGGTGCGACCTAATTTTGAGAAGGTCATGTCGGGTTTTTGAACGTGAATATGGATAGTGAACGATATCATAATCAAGCAATCAATACATGTACCATTGTGTTTCGAGCAAGTATAGCTCTCTTACTCCGACTCCTTGTTTAATGACTAAAGGCTTCAATGTTTTCGAATACAAAATCTAGTAGCGCAGTAAAAGGCAGACATCTGCTCAATATGTGCAGCAGCGGGTATCGTGTGTGTGATAATTCTTTTGCTTTTGCATGTTCATCAATGCATCCAGCCTGGCATCCAATTCTCCCAACCTACCCCTGGGCCCGGTAACTGAGAGTATGATAAAACTCACAAGGTGCCACGCCGACAGCCCAAACCCAAATGAAAAGCACCGTTATCCCCTTATCCCCTATAGTTGATCGCCCCTGGCTCCTGATGCAAAACCCAAATAGACAAGAGAGAAAAAAGACTCCCTGGAACGAGACAAGCACAAACAAAAGAACGTCCATTTTCGCAGATACGCGACAAACTAGAACAGAAAAAGGCAAAAGAAGAGAGAATCGGGGACTAGAGTTGGTCCCTGACGTGAGGGTCCCGAAAGAAAGTGGGGGTTCGCTTGTGAGAAAGTAGACGCCGTCATCTCTACATGACGGTACATTCTCGCTCCGGATCGTCACTCTTGGCCTTTTCTCTTCGTTCGATAGCCTTTGTCTTTCCGCGCCGGTGTTTTGAGGCGGGCGCCGGGATGTGATTGGCAGCAGTGGCGGTTGGTGCAGACAAATCCTCAATGGGGGCAACGTGATCGAGGGCGGAGCCATCCTCGCTACCATCCGGAGGTGCGGCTCCATTAGCGGCCGGAGCGGCGAGTGGAGCGCTAGTAGGATCGCGAAGCGGTTCCTTGCTCGACCGGAGGAGACCGAGGTGACGGATGGTAGAGCTGATGCGATTGTCCCCCTGCTGGCTCGGCGTTCTGGACTTGCTGCCGCGCGAGAAACGCGCCGCCGCTCGTGAAAGTCGGGTGGCTGTCGACTCCTCGCTTGACGCGCCCGCCGGCGGAGACTGGCTACCTGCGGTGCTGAGAACGGGCAAGGAGTCACCAAAGGAGTCGCTGAACACAGCGCTTTGGCGGCGGCTGTTGTCGAGGGAACTAGTGCCGAACAACCCCTCGTCCCCAGAGGTGCCAAAGGATCGAGTGAGATCGAGTTCTGTTGAGAGCCGGATGCTAGGTTGATTTGTGGTCGAGAATGAGGCCGGCGTCGCGCTGACGGAGTTTCTAGGTGAGCCACCGAGGCTTGTTGGAGCGGTGCTTGACGCTCCGTCGGTCGCCGCGCCGAGATCAGTGTATGAAGGCGGCTCGGTGTTGGTACCGTCGGTGGAGGCCGGGACTTCGACTGTCGGGACGATTTGGTAGAAGAGAAGGTAGGGCATCTCTTCTTCAAGTGTCTTGCGGATATCGTCGACATATGTGACCCGGCCATCAACCGAGAGGTCGTCAAACTTGACCCACTGAGCCTCTTCGTAATCTGGAGGGGGATCGGGGTCACATCGCCGGTTCTCGGTTAGGAGTTTGGGGTCGACTCTGGCAAGAGCAATATAGTGTCCGCTATGAAGCGAATCGCCGCGGTGACATACGACCGACTGAAGCACAAGCTTGTAACCAGTGCTCAGGCCGTGGGGATCTTCCTCAACGCTTTCGTCGCTGGCGAGCATAAAGTTCGGCAGCCGTAGCACGTCGGGAATGTCAATGTGGGTGTTTTGCCGTATTGGGAACCCGTCCTGTGTCATCGCATATCGCTTCAAACAAATTCCGAGAACAGGGCGTTGTCGTATGTTCTTTTCAAGATCGTCGATTGACTCGGGCTCGTTGATTTCTTTTGGCGCAGAGGGTGTATGCCACGCTATATATAGGAAGAAGGTTAGATTTCAAGATCTGGAGATTTACGGGTTAGGTGGGGATGCGTACGCATGAGTCGGAAAAATTGCCAGGCGGGGATCGTTACGGCTTTGACCACAACTGACCCCTTTGTCGTGGTCCGCTGCAGAGGCGAAAGGTTGCTATCGCTTGTGGCGCGCCCGTATTCGTCGAGAATAACGCGTTGGATCACAGTTGCAGCTCGCGGTCGCAGCGGCGGTGGTGCAGATGATGACGATGCTTGGCTTTCGTTGGTGAGTGTGTGTGGAATGGAAGCTCTTTGAGGGGAGGCAAGCGGCTGTGGCGTGGCCTCGGCCTCGATATCCGTTGGAGTCGTCGTTATTGCGGTATCCAGGTCATTGACGGGGGAAACTTGTCCTAGACAAGAGGCGGGCATCCGTATTCTTGGCCTCCGCGCGGCGGCCTTTTCATCCAGGCTATCTCGAAAGACATCGACTTGAGCATTGAAGTATTCTTCGAGGCAATCTTCTAACTTGATTCCCTTTCCATCAGGGTCGGGTGGAACGGCCAAATTCAGGAGGCGCTCGTAGATGATCTTGTGATCATCTTCATCGGTCTTGCCTTGGTGGAAAAGGTCGACCTTGAGGGATAGGAGCGGGAGTTCGAGGGTTTCGGTGATGAAATTGAAGGCTTCCGATGTGTCCTGCTGCTCTAGAAATTTTGCGTCCGTCCATCCACACTCTGCAAGGGTGTTTTGTATTAATTCAGTCTGTTGAATTTTAGGCGTGATTAGTATCGTACTATCATTGCATGTACTCTCCGGTCGCCGCCCATGACCGGATCCCGTCGCCAGGCTTGCCGGGACTGAACTTACCGTGTCGGTCTGGATCAGCTCCCCAGACCTCAGCAGATTGACCCATAGGCGGAGAAGGGTGGCTAGTTTTTGTCGGGGTTCGTTGTCAAACTCGACTCTCTTTAACATTCGTTCAAAGGCGTCGAATCGTGAAAACATGGCAAAAAGGAGGGCATCGAGGTAACAGGTTACGTTTCCGCGATTCACTGCGCCAAGCATCATGACGTTCGGGCTGTACCGAACAATCTTTCCCGCGGCGGCTTTTTGCTGGAAGTCGATGAATCGCGCGGCCCTGTCAACATCTCCATCGGCGAATTTTGTGGCGAGGGTGTTTCGAATGTATTCTGGGGCGGCACCTGTAATATTTATCTCGGCGAGCTTTGCTGCAACTTTTTCAATCTGTCCGAAGGGTTAGCAACCTCGAGGCGTGGGTCTTGACATTAATATGTGGATGAAGTGTAATACCTTCTGCCCTTCCTGATCTTTTAGGTGGTCATCTTTTGTAATGTGCTTGGAGGTATCAGGTTTGAAGAGAGAGAAGAAGAGCTCGGCAGAACGAGGTCGGATCTAGACGTTGATAGCTTTCACATTAGCAAGGTTTGATTGGGCCTCGGGATGGGGGAGGAGATAGCGACAGAGGTGAGGTTCTACTATACCTTTCCCAGGCCATGCTGGTCAGAGTCCCCATTCTTTTCCCTCCGGGATATGGATCCGTTCTTATCCCGTAGGTTTAATAATTTCCTTGGGTGCATGGTGGTTGAGATGGTAAACTGGCGAGGACAGGATGATGAGAAGAGGTGGGAGTCAACATCCAAGCAGATCTTCGTTTTTGGAGCTTCAACGCTATATCAGCTCAAGTGCCATTCTCGAAAGAATTGTCGTCTAGTCTCGGGAGATGTGTTGCGATTGTTGTCGGCGAAGGGATTCTTTGCGCCAAGCGGTATACGGTCAAAGGACAAAGACAACACCGATGCTGACGATGGCTAGGCTGATTTCGGTAGGTTTAGTTCCACGACAGGCTGACACGGTGGAGAAGGAATTGGGGTGTTTAGCTGATGACAGCGAGCCTCGTCGTCGTCTGGGTCTGTCTTGGATCTGGAAGGATGAAGGGACTAGAGCTCGGGCAAGGGTTTCGATGTCGATTGGGGGTCCCTTGTCGCAAAGGAGGGGCTCGAGCTGTTACCCAAATGCGGAAGACGAAACAGGTGGGGACTCCCGAGGCGCACTGAGCTAGGGAGGTGGGTTGCTGGGTTGTAAGATGCGGGCGAACTTGAGAAATCAATCAACGAGCCTGCCTTGAACGAGGTCAAGGCTGCGATTATTATTCCCTCCGTGGGGCAAATGCCTGAGAAAAGAATGACGACCTGTTGAGGAAATCAAATGAGTTTTGCCAAAGTCGGATGGATCACCCGGTCGGGTAGCGTCACTAATTTGAATGAATTAATCGTGGCGACTATGGGCGACGGTTATTAGACTCGCACCTCATTCGGTCACCTCTGAAAAGCAAAGGGTCGATGAATTGATCGGCCTGGATCGGTCGATGTAACGGGGGCCAATTGTCTTGGAAAATTCGGTGGATAAATTTAGAAATTCGGGTGCCTGGTCAGCACCAAAAGCTGCCCGCTCTGTTTCGTTCGACTGGGCTGGAGGAAACGCGGCGGCCGGGCTTTGGTCTGGCCTGGTTTGGCTTGGCCTGGCCTGGCGCTTGGCCCGCGATTGGATCAAGTGCTTGAACTTGGCCTGAGTTGAGGTAGGACTCGGGCGGGGCTGTTCCACGCCCAACTGTGCGCCGGAAGGACCCTGAAGAACCAGAGGGCAGGATGGCAGTGGACGAAGCTAAAGATAGCAAAAGAATCCCAGGGACAGCAGCACAGGGTGAGAGGCCAGAGAGACGAGTGTTCACGAATGGCTTGGGCGTTGGCGAAGGACGAGGTGCGGCTTTTGTTTTTCGTCAGGAGTGACCATCACTGGAATCAAATGTCTTTGGCTAGCGAGGGCCAGCAAGGGCCGAAGAAAAGAAATTTATAACAGACTCGAGACGATGGCAGGAGCGGCTATTGACTTTCCTTTTCCCTCCAGTCCATTTTGAGGTCAAAGTGGGCGAATGCCCGCCCCCACCCCCAACCTCAGCTTGTCTTCTTCTCGAACCACTGTCACCTGGTGTGCAGCCAGCTTGCATGAGGGGTCTTTTTTCCCACGCCAACGGGAAGCGGTCTCTAGCAAGGGTCCGAGTCCGGTCTAACGCACCGAAGGACCCTCTGTCGGACTTGTTGCACCGGCCATGGTAATCAAGTATTCCGGTTGTGCCTTGCTTCGGACTTTAAGCATTGCCCACAGCTCTCTTCGTCGAATACCTCTGGTATGAAGGTTTACTCATCAGAAACTAGCATCTTCCCCGCCATTCAGCTCTCGGAGCGAATTTCAAAACCACTCTTAGCCCTTTTCAATACCGAGAAATCCTGTGGGCAAGACCTATCCATCGTCCTCGTTTAGCGTTCTTCACCTTGTGAAGCGCTGTTTGTGGGGAAAATAAAAGAAGCCTCATTCTGTTTCGCTTTCTTTCTTTCTTCTTCTTCTCCAGCTTTTCATCTTTGTTCTCTTTGCCTCCCTGCTCGCGGCATCGTATCCCTTGCACCCTTTCGTGGCCGCCTGACAGCCATGTTGCGCTTCGACTTGGCTGCTGACGACAACTTTCCCACCTTACGTTTAGTTCCTATCTAAGAAGCTTCCATCGGTTGGGATCCGGCTCCCTAAACCGCTGCCTAATAAACCCTACAGGTGAAATTGCTGAGAATGCTGCAGTCATACGCATTCGCTTGTGTTTTTTATTCCCTGAAATGTCCTGTCAGGTGTGATCAACACGGGGCTTCTCGACTCGTCGATGCCACTCGGCTATTGCAACCGAGCATTCCAAGAGGTATCAGTCAGTGTCAACAGTGCATACGCGGAGGATTGTCTCGAGATGGAAATGCTCAGAATGATCAATAGATCCCAAGGGGTGTCCATGATTACGTCGACTTATTGACCGCTCTATTGACACATGTAATATCTCGTCGCCTTCCCGCCCTGCTTGGTTAATAATTTCCTCTAAGCGCTCTGCCCATACTATAGTTGACAAAGGCTCGTGAACAACCAGGATTTGACGCCAAGAACAATAGAGACAATGACGCTCTGTCTTAGGGAAGTTTGGTCATGGAACACAGGTCTGGCAGCTGCGCCACATGAAAACTGCGCCATCGTTATATCACGTGACCACGTGGCTTGTGTACTCTCCTGCATTCTGATCGCTTTTTTCGACTAATCACCCGCGAAAATTTGTCCCAGTAGTACGCCAAAGGTTGATAGAGCTCTACCGATTGAGTAGAAGCACAAGTACTGCTCGAATTCACCATGTCGGCGCTTCGGGAAGGGCCTCGCGTTGCGCGCCAGATATCTCAACGCACTTCGCGACTACCATTGGTTTCGACATGTGCACGCAAGTTCACTTCTTCGTCCGCGACTTGGTCGTCGGTTGAGGCCAACCTTGCCGATCTCGAAACCACCACAACGAACGTGCCCCCTCCGGACGAGAAGGTGATTGAAGCTTTCAACAACGTCGAGAGGGTGCCGGACGTCGCCTCCCGGAAACAGGTTCGTCAAATTCCGTCTTCTTGCCTCGGGGCCCCCCAGCCCTGGAGATGAGACGCTAACCTTTTGGATCTAGGTATCAATACCATCCTCCCAAGTACGATCGTGGGCCGCTTCACCCCGTCCAAGGCCCTGCCCGATCCGATCCCGTTGCGCGAAACTTCATGCCGGGTCCCTTCAACCTCCCTCGCCTGAAGCAGACCTACGACCACACAATCTCCTCTGATCTTTTGACCCTCGCGTACCTCCATAAGCCTCCTGGCACACCCAAGGCTCCTGAGCGAGAACGTCTACGAAAGTGGGTTGGTGACTCGCCTTACTTCGAGAACCGTCCCCTTCGCGGCCCTCGAGGCGCTGCGAATCTACCTCTCCTCGAGAAGGAAATCAACTTCAACAACATTCCTCAAATTCATGCCGTACATCTGAACTGCTTCGTCCCCAAAGCGATCAAGGATTACGATCTCCTCTACGTGGCCAGAGCCGTTCTTCAGTCTATCAGCGGCCGCGTCCCGAGGGTAACATGGATCAAGACGGGCGTTGCTCAATGGAAGACCAAGGATGGTGACAACTCAGGCTGCAAAGTCACTATTTTTGGTGACCAGGCGATTGAGTTTGTTGATAAGCTCGTCAATCTCGTTCTCCCCAAAATCAAGGACTGGCCCGGCCTAAAAGGTATGGATGGCAAACACACAAGGGCGATTTCATGTCATTTCAGAAAGCTAATAGTTCCGTCTCCAGCTGGTTTCGATGGCAGCGGTAACCTCAGTCTCGGATTTTCCCCAACCGAAATGGCTCTGTTCCCCGAAATTGAGTCTAGCTTCGATATGTACCCTCAAAAGGTCAGTCTTCTTTTTTTTTTTTTTAATATCTCGCTGTTCTGCTTTCCAGTTATAAAAGCGCCACTTGATGTTTAGGCCAACAAGTCTAACTTGTGTTCAAACAGACTATCCCCGGTTGCCATTTCGTCCTCGAGACAACGGCAACTTCAGACCGCCAGGCCCAGTTACTTCTCCGCGCTCTCGGTGTCCCCTTTAAAGACGAATAAGGCCTGGTTGGTGTTTTGGAAAGACCATAGTGTGGTGAGAGAGACCTCGGTGCAAGAGTTACGAGGCAGGTTCCAAAGAGAGAGCCGGCCTGTATAAACAGCATGTACTATATCCTAGACTTTGTATGAATGAAGCTAAAAGAGACCCATTTTTGTGTAAAATCTTCAATATTGAACAGGGCGTGCCTCGGCACGTATATTGGATTGTTATATCTTTACGCCCGGTTTCCCCCGAACCTCCTCCCCAAGCCTCTATGTTCCGTGAATGATAATGCCTTTATCTAGAACTCTGCTAGATCCAAAACTCCAAAACGCCATACAAGCCTCTTGTGCTTGGCTAGTCCCTTGCCCCGTTTTCCCCTGATCAACCCTATCATGACGTTCCGGCAATCTCTTTTAGGGAGTTCATGACAACATCGACCGCATCCATATTCATAGAATCAACGGTGCCGTGAGTATATCCCCTCTTCTCTAGCTCTCCAGTGCACAGATCCATGGCGGCCTGATAGTTCCGGGTCGCAGAGCTAAGGGCATAGATAGCCTTGCGTCTGACCGCCGTATCTTCCTTGTCGTCTAGGATGATGTCAATGATCTTGGGGATGCCATTCATGGCAAGAAATTTCTCCTGGCTTTTGATGTTGTTTTGGACCGCTGTCCCGATGCACCACGCCGCCATTCTCCGGATATCGGCCTCTCCATGTCCCAAGCAGCTAATCAGGGTGTCCAGAGACCGAGATTGGCAATGTTGTTGGCATTGTCGAGGTTCTCGATGAGCTGCTCAAAGTTGTCAAAGGCGACAAGCTTCGATTCCAAGGTCACCTCGGGGTCCTCCGACGTGATCGCTTCCATGGCGGTCTTCATGAGCTCGGCCTCGCTTGGCCCGCCGAATAGAGCCGCCAATAGGCTCGGGTCGAGGGGCGTTCGTGTCTCGGGCGGGGTGCCGTCGGGCGCGCTCTGGTTCTGGATGCTCCATTTCAGGAGGTTGCTAAGCCTAGGATCTTGCGCCATTGTGCTCTTTGTTCGGAATCCTGTTCCTTGTTTCGTTTGGTTCCTCTAGTTTTTTTTTTTTCTTTTCTTTTTTTTTTTTTTTTTTGGGCGAGGGCTTCAGCTGCGATTTAACTAGAAGGGAAGCGTTTGTGCTGAAAGAGTTGCGACTGGGTTATGTTGAAGCTCGTGGGGAGAAAGATTTCACACGAAGTTCTAAACTTTAGCCCCTCCAAACTTTTTATTTTACATATATATGCGCGCCAGACATCCCGCTTCCGGAAGCTTCTCCATCTAACTCGAAAAAGCGACCCTCTTTGAGTTAGGTTCCATGCAGTTCCCAGTGTAAGTCACGTGGTCTGACGTTGGGCGGGCAGCTTGAACCCTTCCACATTCTGACCTGAGCTTCTCTTGATTACTTCGGAGAACGCTGAATACCTGCCATGGCTGAAGGAGCGCTCAGTCAGCCCTTCCAGTCAGTGACCTGACGAGTTTATACAATATTGAGGTCAGTCCTATTTTACCCCGGCTCGTCATCGCCACATCCGAATTGAAGAGTTGTGTGTAATATGCGCCCAGCGAATATGGCACTACGAAGAGATCAACTTGGAATGATGTCAAAATATGACCAGCTCGTCTCCTCATATCCTCGGTGGCTAAATCGTGCTTCACTTGTATCCGAGAGCTGTGCCGCCCCTTTCTCTCTCTCTCTCCAAAAAAAGGGGTTCTTGTGGTTCTCTGAGATCGAGCTGTTGGATGCATGGGCCATGCCAAAAGGCCTAAGAAAGGCCAAGTTCCACTTGACCGTCCAATAATTCATTGTGTCCAAATGTCCGTGAACTGCTCTGCCCCACCTCAACATTGCCCCTCCTTGTACATGGAGAGCTAGTCTAAATTTTAAATTCATACTGTGTATAAAGTTCCCCGCCTTCCATTCGTGACGAAGCGGGAGGATAGAGCGATTCGAGAAAGAGGTGATAACAACCTGCGGGCTTCTGCTCCTGTGGCTATGCCACACGACGATGATTGTTTGTCGATGACATTTTCTATTAAGAGCCAGCCTTGCTCATTGGTATTATTTGGCTGGAGTGTTGGATTTTGGCTTACCCGGAGGCAACGACCATGCTTCTCCAGAAATGGGACCCCTTGTCGGCGAATCCCTGTCTTGCTAATCAGCTTTTTGTTGAGCGGTATCGAAGCACTACCTTCCCTCCGTCCCGCTGGCAAGGAGGAGCGAAATGAGACGAGGTTGGTGAAGGCAGGTGCCCTGGCCTTGTCTGCACGCAGCGCAGCTTGAACCGCATTTCCTTTTCCCTTGATTCCAGACCGAGCGGGTGGTGCACATGGAAACCAGAAAATACAGGTGCCTGCTTGGCGGGAGATCCGGGGTTATCGAAGCGTTCGATTTTCTATGTTCCGAGAAAAAGCACAAAAGAATCTAGCGGGGCTCGGCGCCATCGTCCCCAGCCCCAAGCATGATTACGGGCGAATCTACTAAGAAACCAAAAAAGTTCTTTAAAAATCGTAGCGCAGAACGGCCCCAGGGAGAGGCCCGGCATGGCCATGGCGATCTGGAGCCGCGCAAGTAGCGCTGGTGTGCGTGGCGCGAGACAATAAAAGAGTGGTGATGACCTATAGCATGACACCACTCGATGCTTTGTCAATGGTTGGGAGCTCGGCTGAACGATGACGCAGTTTCACGTCTGACAAGCCGCCGGGCATCCGTCTGGTAGACGAGTCTGAGACTGGGATGTAATCGAGCGCTGATAGAGGCTCGTTGAGCCACTTTCGAGCTTTGCCTTGGAATGAGTAGCGCAAAGACCACCCCTTTTTCCTCCTTCGGCGAATTGCTAGGCCCCCAAAATGTTGCCTGCGGCAAGCCTCATGCGCTCTGAAATAGCGGCCTCGCCGAGGTGTGCGAGCCGCGTGGCGGCTCCGCTCATGGCGAGCAGGTGTTTGCAATGCCATGGACACCCACCAAACTTGAGAGCGTGGCTCCCCATCACCGCCCCCAGAAGTCAATTACGAAGTGGCAACGCCCAAAAGGCCAGAGGCAGACTTGACATTGAAAGATCAGCCCCAGCCACCTCATCCATGCCAGCACCTCTGCCGAATGCAAATTCAAGTTCGTTGGCCCTTTAACCCTGTTGGACATGCTCGAACCGCCTGTGTGGGAGTAGATTTCCTTGAGGGCTGTACAGCGCGGGCTGGCACTGTGCACTAAGCTTCCCGAGTACCAGAGGCCGAGTACCTCCCCGTTTTGGGCTTCTGGGAAGCTGGTCGGGAGTTTAGGGGCAGATTTACCTGGTCACAGCTTCCTCCAGGCTTCCGAATTCTATCCTCCAGGCATCCCAAATTCCTTCCCTTCCAAGGGTATGGCGGATGCAAAGTACCGCTACTCGCGCACAACTCTTGCCCCCTCGTTGAGCCCCTCCCTGCTTGTCTTCCGCCAACGTTTTCCACGCCAATCCTCCTATCAAAAGAGAAAGGAGTGACCTTGATAGGCCCAGGCCGCTCGTACCTGTACTGCTCGGACAGCAAAGCCCACACCCACATTCGCACACAACACTTTCCTCCATTTAGGACATCTACACCACTGAAATGCTACCTTCGTCGGCCCTCCAGTCTTGAGTTACCCCCACCACCCAAATAAATTCTAGTCTCCTCTACTTCCCCCTTCTATCCTCGACAGACTCCCCCAATCTAGAAAGCCTCCGCCTCTTCCTCACCTCTTCACGAACACACCCCCAAGCCGCCCTGCTCTCACGATCTGGATCGCGCGAGCTCCTCTTGATTCCAGTCTCTTCTATCTCTCTCATCACCTCTTATCCACAGTAAACCGTCACAATGGAAGGTAAGTCAACCTCAAAATCTTTTCCCGCCCGACTCAGTCCACAACTCCTACCGCCCTGGCATCGGCCTGGGCCTTACGTCAACATCTGGCGAGAGGGATGGATATGGCCATGCTTTGTTCATCGCCATCATCATCATCACCATCGTAATGCATCGTGCTGATGTGTATTGTGATTCTCTCCACAGACGAAGTTGCCGCTCTCGTTATCGACAATGGGTAAGCTTCCACCCCCGCCCGTCTCTCTCACCGACCTCTGGCAGAGCTTCCCCCTTTCGAGGCTTTCTCGCCCAAACCCATCGAGAAACTCGCGAAACCCATTGCGATATCCGCATATTGGGCCCAATTCCCATCAGATGCATCGAGAATGCATAGCTTTCATGCACCATTTGCTTTTCATAGCTAACTCTGGTGGCAGCTCCGGCATGTGCAAGGCCGGTTTCGCCGGTGATGACGCTCCTCGTGCTGTGTTCCGTAAGTTTATACCCCGCTCTTTTGTACCTGATATGCGATTCCCGTTTCGCACCGGCAAGAATTCGACTATCCTTTGAACATGAGATGGCTAACCGTTTTTTGCTAGCTTCCATCGTCGGTCGTCCCCGCCACCATGGGTATGTCGCCTCATTTTAGCATTTTCCCCCATTCTGCCCCAAGCGACGTCTCTCGGTAGAGAAGACCGACCGCCGGGCAGTCCCAGCACTCGCGATGATCCGGACTTGTCCTAACATGTTATCCACGAATTGCAGTATCATGATCGGCATGGGCCAGAAGGATTCTTATGTTGGTGACGAGGCTCAGTCGAAGCGTGGTATCCTCACCCTCCGCTACCCCATCGAGCACGGTGTCGTTACCAACTGGGATGACATGGAGAAGATCTGGCATCACACTTTCTACAATGAGCTTCGTGTCGCCCCCGAGGAGCACCCCGTCCTCCTGACTGAGGCCCCCATCAACCCCAAGTCCAACCGTGAGAAGATGACCCAGATCGTTTTCGAGACCTTCAACGCCCCCGCGTTCTACGTCTCCATCCAGGCCGTCCTCTCTCTCTACGCCTCCGGTCGTACCACCGGTATCGTGCTCGACTCTGGTGATGGTGTCACTCACGTCGTCCCCATCTACGAGGGTTTCGCCCTTCCCCACGCCATTGCCCGTATCGACATGGCCGGTCGTGATTTGACCGACTACCTCATGAAGATCTTGGCCGAGCGCGGTTACTCTTTCTCCACCACTGCCGAGCGTGAAATCGTCCGTGACATCAAGGAGAAGCTCTGCTACGTCGCTCTTGACTTCGAGCAGGAGATCCAGACTGCTGCTCAGAGCTCAAGCCTGGAGAAGTCGTACGAGCTTCCCGATGGTCAGGTCATCACCATTGGCAACGAGCGATTCCGTGCTCCTGAGGCCCTCTTCCAGCCTTCCGTGCTCGGTCTCGAGAGCGGTGGCATCCACGTCACCACTTGGCAGTCGATCATGAAGTGCGATGTTGACGTCCGAAAGGATCTTTATGGCAACATTGTCATGGTATGTCTTAATCACCTACCAACCCTATTCCTACTCGACGCGGATAAGCTTCGATCTCGGGGGTGTTCTGTTGTCCCCCGTGTTCCTGTCTCTCCTCTGCCGTGTCCCACTTGTCTTCGTGCTTGCGCTAATAGCTTTGCTTTCTCCAACAGTCTGGTGGTACCACCATGTACCCCGGTCTCTCCGACCGTATGCAGAAGGAGATCACTGCTCTTGCTCCTTCTTCCATGAAGGTCAAGATCATTGCTCCTCCCGAGCGAAAGTACTCCGTCTGGATCGGTGGATCTATCCTTGCTTCCCTGTCCACCTTCCAACAGATGTGGATCTCCAAGCAGGAGTACGACGAGAGCGGCCCCTCGATCGTCCACCGCAAGTGCTTCTAAGGTTAGAAGATATCGTTGATGAAAAATTTCAGTTTAGACAGAGCATGGGTACAGGGGCTAATATAATTTTGTGTCGTATATATGCAGCGCTTTTGGTCCCACGTCATATCCACACTCTCGTCACGAACCCACGCCGCCTTTCGGAGGTTGCGACCAACACACAACTACTTCAGCCGGTGCCCACGTATTCCTGTCGAGTCTCATAGTTAACGTCCAAAAGTCTTTTCATTGGGCCTGGTCGAGGGGTTGGGCCTTACCAAGCGTTTTCTTGTTCAAAAATTCACGAAGGCCTCTCATTTCGTTTTATCCACAGCCAGGGAGGGGATGCGCAGGTGCGCAGTTAGGAATGGACTCTTCTAAACACAGAAAACAACTGCGGTTCATACAATACTACACATTTGCTTCACCCTCTTTTACAAGAAGCTCCAAGGGGGCGCGTGTATGACCTGATCGTAGCTTTAACTGGTTCGCAAAATTTGTTCTTCAGCGAGAAATGCCAATCTTGATGGAGCCCCGGACTGTGTGTCCAGTTCGCTTGCTACAGCCGTGATGCGATTTTCCAAGTGTGTGCGAAGATGTGACCAAGGTGGGGTGGTTAAGGTATTAAGTTCAATGTTCTAATGGGATGCGTTAAGGGTTGAAACGAGCCTTGTTAGTCGCGCGACGATTATCTATATTTAGAATCATTTCACTGGTGTCACAAATATTGTACAGGTGTGCAAAAGCAATTATAGCAGCGGTTGGGCCATGCGCTACTCGCGTGGGCAGGTTGGTTTCGCTGCTTCCCCTAAGGCCACCGATGTGGGTTTGAGGGCCTCATCGGAGGGCCGCGTGAGATTCTCCTGGCCTTCTGTTTCCGTAGGGTTTCGGCAGGCCATATCCCGAGCGACAAAGTCGGACCCCACTTCCTCAAGCGAGGCCGAGATCGAGTCTCCCTGTCTCTCTTCTTCCAGCTTCCTATACTTTCTTCTACTCTTCTTGTCGGAGCTAGCGCGCTTCTTGCGTTTTAGGTCGCCGACGATGGCGGTTCGGCTCTCTCCACCGTTATACAGCTCGTCGAGGCGCTGGGCGAGAACTTTGCGAGCGATGGCACGATTCTCGGACCGGGAGCGAGTGGCTTGGGATTTTACAACAATACCAGTGGGTAGGTGTTTGATTTGGACCGCGGAGTTGGTTTTGTTCTGTCTCGGAAAAAGATAGGATTAGGAGCTGTGCTACCGGGTGGAAGCGGGAATCCACTGAATAGAGGCAACGATGGAGGTGGGGAACGCAGAATAAGAACCGAAGAGGGGGCTTACAATTTTTGGCCGCCCGGGCCGCTACCTTTGACGAAGACCTCCTCGATCTCGTCCTCGGGTGGCGGCTTGGGTCTGGAAGGCAGGGGATTCTTGGGGAGGGGGTAGATGTGGTGAAGAAGCGCGTTAGAGGTTTGATGGGTTGGGAGGATCGGGCCGCGGAGAGGGGAGCCCGAGCCCGAGCCGGAACGGGACATCGGAGAGGAAGACGGAGGCAGAGACAGGCCGAGCTACGATGAGCGGCGCCGGATAAAGCGCCTTGTATCATGAGGGCGGATAGCGCGAGGACATTCTTCCTTGCTCGGAAGGAAAAGAGGACACGGACTTCGAAGTATGGCTGGGGAGTGGTAGGGCCTAAGCTTGGGCCACGGGAAGACTTTGGACGCGCCTTTCTCTAGAGAACCGAACGTGCAGGGACGTCGCAGCTCGCTGTGTGAGATGTCCCAGAAGCTGATGGTCTCGTATCATCGATGAATGGTGAAGGTGAAGCACCTATTCCTCCGCCTGCCGATAATAGCCCCTCAGGTCGCAAAAAGTGTTCGTCACGTGAAGACGCGGTGCCCGCGCCGTCGGGATCCACACCCACTTCCGGGCTGCCTGTGCTTCGGCGCGGGCCACACTCTTTCCTGTGGGAACACAACGCTTGGTGTTTGTATGAAGGGCCCGAGTCACTCACACAGGTCGAAAATTCCATTTTCGAAACTGCGATACGAACATGCGTAGACTCTCTGTGAGCACCCCCAAAAACCTATGCTTTGCATCAGGTATCACCACGTTTCATGACCTGTTGACCTCGTCTCATTCGTTCGTGTTATTCCCGAGAGGGCGAAGAAGGGAAGCAGGGTTTGAGCTGCTGAATCTTACTGCCTTCGTAAAGCGCGGGAGCCTCTTGTAGCTTCGACGGCTGCCCTCTTCCTTTGAGCTTCCAAACTCGATAGCTATCAACACCCTGCACCATCTCGCGTGGCTCTTTTGCTCAACCCCGGGCAAGATTCAATGGAGCTAACTCTCCCAGTTCAGAGATACTCGTGCGGAGATATTCGTGTGTGAAGACCACTTGCTCCATACATTAAATGGAGTTGTACACCATTCCGGATGCGACACCCTCAGGCAAAGGATTGAGTGTATATTGAGAGTCTGTCTGCTGAATCAATACTAGGACAGACCCTCTGCAGGTCTTTCTTATCCGCCAAGCTATCGAGATTCTACATCGAGCTTATGAAGAAGAAAATATCGAGGGCGAAATGTCTAGCCCTCCCTGTGGCGCGTGCGTTCTGGTTACCCCATTTCAGGAAGCTCTCCCTTTGGAAATGTAGCCAAGAGAGAGAGATGACAAGGCAAGTAGAGGAGTTTTCTCTTGTATCATGAATTTCATGCGATTTGATACATCAAAGCGGACTGGAGATTGATAAGATAGGGACGCATAGGATACGAAAGCGGATGCTTGGGTCTGTTTGATGTGGCGAGCATCTGGTTGCGGTGGCTTCCAAATACCGGAAGTTGCCGTGATAGCCAACATGTGAAAAGTCGAAGTATTCAAGTTTCCTTCATCAGGGGAAAAGTGGGTCCTAGCGACATTGTGACAATTTTAGTCTTCTCCTCTCTTTCCAGGAACCAGTAATAGATTTCTGGAAGGAATTTGAACTCGACCACTATTCTCTCCCTCCCGCTACGCAGTGCGCTCTGTGAACAATACCTTTCTTCTCCCTTTTGCATCCTGGTTTCTTGCGCCTTTCAAGACTCCCGAATTGTGACTGCATTTCCTCACGACAACAAAATCGCATCCCCTTCAAGCCCCCACCTCCGAGGGATCCGAGTCCAAACACGAGCGAACCAAAAACCAAGTCGAGGGAGCCCAAGGACGTCGAACTTGCTGCGATTTTTCTCCGCCACGATTCGCGATCTTCCCCCATAACCGCGCCTTTCAATATCCCTCTCCGGAAGCCTACCGTCTCCTAGTCTACGCAATGGCTGTCGTCACTTCCTTCGTAAAATGGCTCGAGCTCAAGAAGTACCAGCTCGAAGTCACGTTCAGCGTTTACATCTATACGCCAATTGAAAAGTTCATCTTCTGTACGGTTTCCCCGTTTCCGCTGCAGGCTACTCCTTCCCCTCCCTCGCCCGTGTTGGGAGAGGGGCGATGGGGGCCAGAGAGATGAATAACCCCTAGTCGAGGGCGATGTAGGCTAATCGAGATAACTAGGGTCCTTTGTTTTCCTCCTCGCCGGTCTTACCGTTATCACCATGGTCCTCTACCTTCCCCACCACATCATCTTCCTAATTAACCGCGCGTGCTTTTATGCCCGCGGCGACTCTGTTGATGTTCTCGAGATGACCAAGGAGGCCTTGGCTCAAGGCGCGCTCAACCCAGGGGTGGCGGATACGGCGACCACGACGATCGCATCGGCGGTAGAAGCAGCAACGGAAATGGTCCGAGATCTATAAGGAACCAGAGGAGTGAAGAGGACCATTGCCAACTTCGGATGCGGTGGAGGAATGGCGGAGAGGAGACCACGCGCGAGACTCCGGCTAGGGAAACCCCGCAATAGTGGTGGTGCAGACATATACGGTCGGCGTTTTATTTGGAGTATGATTCCTGGCTTTCCACGACGAGACGAGACGAGAAGAGGCGATTCTAAGAAAGATGGAGATCAAGAGTGTCTCCCGTGTCTTTTGTTTGATATATCATTTTAATTATACCTTAGACGCCACCCTTAATACCAATGCATACAGATGGATTGCCCCCGTTTTCTTTTTTGGCTATTCCCTCAGCCGCCCCTTGTCCCTCATCGTCTTCTTCTTCTCCCCCTCTTTTATCTCTTCTAGGTGGACTAGATTTCTTCAAAGCGGTAAATTCGCAAGCAAGTGTCCTCGCTCGCTATGGCAAGAGCATGGCCAGGCGGCGCATCACCCTTTGTGGGTTGCCATGCAAGCTGCAGAATCGACTTGGACGGACAAAGCCTGGATTAAAGTTGAGGTTAGCTAAAAGATTACAACAACACCATAGCGATGATCAAGTACCACGGGAGGATACGCTTACGATGGGTCGAGGTGCTGCTCCGAAACAACTGTTAGGTTGAGAGGATCGAGAGTGTAGACCGAAACTTGACCAGCCTCGTTGCCTACGGCCAGGACATAATGACCGTCTTTACCCCTCGATCTTAGGAAATCGACGGCGGTGACCGGATGCTTGGAGGATAGTCGCCGCCAGCGAAAACTCCAATTTGCCCTCGCTCTCCGCAGCCACCCACGTTTTGGCGGCCTTGTCGCGCCCGGCAGTGGCGAACGCGAGGGCGCGCCTTCCGAGACAGGAGCCCAGGCTCCGTCGAGAATCATCCTCGCGTGGCCCTTGGGGTTGAGCTGCAGCGGGGCGTAGCGGACGGGGTCCGCCGGGTCGCGGGCGAAGACGGCCCACTGCCTGTCCCTGCCCACGCTGAGGATGTGGCGGTCGTCGGGCGAGAAGCGCACGCGCGTGGTGGTGAGGGAGTGCGCGACGAGGGGGCTTGACCTCGGTCCAGCGCTCCGTCTCGAAGAGGCGGATGACGGCGTGGTTGACGGAGCTAGCCTTGCACGCGCTGGCGACGAGCGTGCCGTCGTGGCTGGTGGCCAGGCACGAGATCTCGTAGCCGTGGCCGTAGAGCTTCTCCGTCTCGGGCCAGAGGGTGTATTTGGAGAGAGCATCCTCGTAAGGGGGTCGGTCGATGTCGAGCGCGGAGCGGAGGGCGGCCGTGGCGGTGTCGACGGTTTCGGAGGCGTCTCCTCGGTTGTTGCCTTGATCATTGCCGGCGCCGTACGAGTTGGGGATCTCGGGTAAGGCGTCGTCGGGGGCGTCGACGGCTTTGTTGGAGAGGCCGAGGACGGGGATGTTGGCGGCGTCGGGCATCTCGTCGACGCCCGTCTGGCCGAGATCGCAGAGGCGGTTCAAGAGGTGGGCTACGGCCCTGGGTTCCCGGAACACGCGCATCAGCTTCTCGTCGGCACCGGAGACGAACTCGGCGTCTCGTAGGGAGTCGATGCAGTTGAGGTCGTAGCCGTGGATCTGGGGGCGGGACATCTCGTGCCAGGTCGGGTGCCGCTCCCCACCTGCCGTCCAGGCGGCGTGGAGGCGGGTCGTCTGGTCGGAGCTCGTCGATAAGAGGTACTCCCCATTCTTGGACCACGAGATACCCGTGATAGCCATGGTGTGGCCGGTTACGGCGATGGCGGGCAGCCACCTCTCATCGGGCTCGCTGTAGTCCCAGCGCCGCCAGCTGCCGGTGCGACCGAGACATACCATGGACTTGCCGTCCGCCCTCCACAAGCCGATCCAGAAACCGCCGATGCTCCCCGTAGCGGTGGTGGCGCCCTTGTCGCGGCTGATTTCGCCGAGGCGGGTGGTGCTCGCCCAGATGCCCGTGACGGAGTCGGGCTCCCAGATGGCGAGGGAGTTGTCGGCGGAGGTGGAGAGGAGCTTGGACACGCCGTCGGGGCCGAGGTGCCACCGTACCGAGTAGATCCAGTCCTCGTGGCCGAGGAGGAGCGCCTCAAAGGTGATGGAGAAGTGCTTGTCCCTGACCTGGAGCCTGTGAGCCTTGTTGGACGGGGCCTTGCCTGGGAGATAGGCGTTGCGGAGGGGGTCCGAGGCGGCGGCGGCGGACAGCTCGGGGAGTTGGGTGCCTTGGTGGAGCCTCCAGAGTCGGATATACTTGTCTTGGCTGGCGGACGCCAGGAGAAGGTCTCCCGGCGCGCCTTGGTTCGTCTCGAGCGTGAAGTCGAGGGATCGGATCCAGTCCTCGTGGCCTGATAGGGTGGCCTGGGCCTGGAATTCTGGCGCCTCGCCGCCAAGAGTGCTAGCGGCGAAGATGTGGATGGTCTTCCTCGTGCCGGCCGAGGCGAGGATCAGCGTGTTTGGGTCGTCCCCCAACGTCGTCAAGGCCAGAGAGAGGGGGAAATAGCGGGAATCCCGGGAGGTGTCGATGGTCTGCAGGTGGTGGATGAGTCCCGACTCAAACTTCCATATCCTGATAGTGTAGTCTGCTCCTCCGGACGCTAAGATAATGGGGCCCGAGGCGGACCAAGTCTTCAAGACTGCGAGGCAGGTCAGTGCAATAGAGTGGGAGTCGACAGTCTGAAGACATGTGAAGGTGGAGAGGTCATCGCTGATTGCCCATAGCTTGAGCTTCAAGTCATCGCCGCCCGAGACAAGGTAAGAGGTCTCGTCCCCTTCCCGCCTGGGCAGAAACTTGACAACCTTGACGGTTCCGGTATGCCCGCTCAATATGGCACTTATGCCTCGAGGTTTGGATGGCTGCTCCTCCAGTTAGTCTTCAAGGCAGATATAAATTTTAGAAAAAAAGAATTTCTCCTGTAGATCAGAATCGCCTTCTCCTTCCCTAGAAGAATTCCAGGGCATCTCGAAGATGGGAGTGCTTCTTACCTCTGGGCGCCACAGAGCAATGTTAACATCCGCACCAAAGGCCAGTGTTCCGTTTGTGTGCCAGTCGGCGACGGCGCTGTGCCTGTTTGCGCCGGTGGAGAGATATTCCACCATGGGGGTAATTTCCTTCATTTTGTAAGAGAATTCTTTCCGTAAGCGCTCTATACAAATATTCTCCCCCTTTTCCTTTGCCTTTTTGAAATTCTATTAACCCCTCCTGATGGGGGCAAAGCTTCATGGGCATGAAAGAAATCTTTCCTTCAGTCAAAATCGCTTGTCGATGAGAGGTAAATTCATAGGATATGATTGGCTCCTCACCGAGAACTCGCTCTCGGTGAAGTTGAACCAGAGTCAGCGAATTGCGCACGGGCCAAGTGGATTTTTCCTGGCCTTTTGCGAGGCCAGCGCGCGTGTTCATCAAATTTTAGGGGAAAAAAGATTCCGAGTCCAACCTTCAAGCTATCAACCATCCACCACCCAACGCGATATATCATCGGCCGACGCAACCGTCGCATCTCCCAACCGTCCCTGATCTCTAGTCCAAGGATCCGAACTCGGTCGACTTTTCAATAGTCACCTTCCCAGCCTTTTGCGCACGCTTCCAACCACAACCACCGCCATCATGTCTGCCGTCTTCAGCCTTTCCGAGGAGTCCAAGGTACGCTGGGGAGACGATGGGGGCTAGGTGCTGCCATGCGATGTAGACGTTTCTAACAGTATTGGGTGTAACAGGAGCGCATCGGTCGCATTATGGAGATCTCCAGGGTCGCCATTCACTAGTATGTTCTCTTGCCCTTTTCATCTCGAGCTGTGACGAGACTCGGGAAACCATTAGATTCTAACATCTTGGCTACAGTGGCTACATTCCCTTGATCCTCTATCTGGGTACGCACGAAGAAGCCCGTCGGGCGATGGAGAATCGAAGGCTGGCAAACTAACCCTTTTGCGAACAGGCTACACCCGCAGCGAGCCCCGACCCTCGCTCATCCGGTAAGATTATGTGGAAACACTGCCTACGAGGACTGGAAGTCTAACACGATTGCAGACTCATCTCTCCCCTCTTCTAAATCCTACGTCCGGCCACCCACTACGACAGCCGTAATGAACAACAGAAGCTGCCTGATCCCCGAAACACCGGCAGCGGACTAATCGAGGGAATAATAACGAAAATAAAACGGAAAGGATTGTCTCGATAAGGATAAAAGGGAGGACCTGGAGGAACCCTCCAAAAGAAAGCCGCCTAGGTTGATGAATTACCCGTCCGTCGCGGTGCAAAAGTCGCAGGCGACGGGCCTGTACAATAGTCATGTTCTCTCCATATTATGGGATGTAGTAGATTTCACTCTTCAGGAAACACTCTTTGGCAAGCCTCGTGACAGTAAAGTTCTTTCATTTGTTCAAAGTACTCCTTTGCTTCAGCACTGGCTGGTACCTGTAATCGCCCTTAGAAAGGATGGGGAAGCCTCTTGACTTGCGCCCAGTATCCGACCATAGCTCACGAGCGAGAGGGAAAACCCCGGCTCGGCAAAACTGGCCGGCAACTTCCGTTCGACGTCACCTCTACCTGCGCCGCGCCCAGGCTTTTTTGGCGCTGGTAAGCTCGAGCGCAATCAGTAAAAAAGAACCAAGGACGTCACCTCCCAGATTTCTAATATCCAAGCCAACCGGAACAAGTAGGTTGCGTGCAAAGTGGGATTTGCCATCCCACCCCGGCGTTCCTTCACCCAAATCCCGTACCGGTGGTTATCACGTCTTGTCCTTCTCTTTCTATTCCTTCTTTTCATTTCCGAAGGGTATGGTAGCAAACCCGGCGTTGACAATGCTTCGAGCCGAATTGAGGCAATAGGGCGATTTTCGTTTCCCTTTTCTCTGCTTTTTTCCCCCTTTCTTTTTCCCAGGAGAAACCCACGCAGTCCCCCTCTTTTATCTAGATCCTCCATGGTATCATCCAGTCATGCGGGACTCTCTCCCGCCGGAGTCGAGTCCATCGCCGGCCTCACGGCCGGCTCGGTAGCTACACTTGTCGTACACCCCCTCGACATTGTCAAGACAAGGATGCAGAGTACGTGAATATTTCTAGCTTCTCTGCCTCAACCTCACCCTCCCCCACCTCCACACTCCTGTCCTATGCTTAGCACGTTACCTTCACCTTTCCAGTTGAAGGCGGGATGGCGCAAGAACCACATGCGTGTGTTTGTCCCGGGCACTGATCGTTGCATTCTCACACCGTCTCTAGTCTACCGGACGTCGGGCAGCCAAGGAGCGCCAATCACGACCAAAGCCATCATCCAGGATATGGTGCGCAGCCCGCACCCGATCGCATCCCTTTACCGCGGCCTGACCCCGAACTTGATCGGCAACGCTGCGAGCTGGTCCATCTTCTTCTTCTTCAAGGCGCGCGTGGAGCGCACCATCGCGGCCTGGAAAGGAGGTGCCATGGACACGCCGTCCGTCAAGGCTAGACTCAGCCCGGGCGACTACTTTGTCGCGTCCGGGCTCGCGGGCCTGCTCACGCAGGTCATCACCAACCCCATCTGGGTCCTCAAGACGCGCATCCTGTCATCGGATCGGTCCGCCGAGGGGGCCTATCCGGGCATGCTGTCCGGCGCGCGGCGCCTGCTGCGGAGCGAGGGCATCGCCGGCTTCTACCGTGGCCTCAGCGTAAGCATGCTCGGCGTGTCGCACGGCGCGGTCCAGTTCGCCGTATACGAGCCGGCGAAGCGAATGTACTTTGGGCAGAAGCGGCGGCGGCAGGGCAGCGGGGAGGGTTCGCCGTCGCCGTCGCAGGACAAGATGTCCACCGAGTCGACGATTGTGATTTCGAGCTTGGCCAAGCTTGTGGCCGGCGCCGTGACGTACCCGCACCAGGTGCTGAGGAGTAGGATGCAAAACTACGACGCCGATGAGAGATTCGGGCGCGGGCTGCGCCAGGTGGTGGGGAAGATTTGGAGGGAGGACGGCGTGAGAGGCTTCTATCGAGGTCTCATGACTGGGGTCGTCAGGGTGCTGCCGGCGACCTGGGTGACGTTTTTGGTTTACGAGAACACCAAATTCTACTTGTCTCGATGGGTTGACGTCGAGTAGGATCGCCGCTGTCACGCGCCTCTTGTTCGTCCTCTACTAGTCGCCGAGTGGACAGGGTGATCAAGGAGGCGAAGGGTCTGACAGGGCTCGCATGAAGCCTGCGGTGATAATCGGCGAACTGCACTTGAAACGGATGCTTCTGCCCCTCCGCCGTCTCGATCATCCTCCTTTTACCTTTTAACGTCACAACACTACTCACGAGACCTTACCCGGGTCCATGGCGGCGCAATCAAATTCTTTCTCTTCACAGTCTCGCCCTTCTTCACACATCACTTACCCTCCACTTCCCAACTCTCGAAAGAACGGCGTGAGATCGCCTGACACTTCCCCGAAAAGTCTCTACAGTGACCGGGAGAGGTCTCACTATCCCTCACTCTTATCCCCCACAAGTCTCATATATGGAGCCACCTCGGGTGTCCCGGGTTGAACAGCGGGACATATTGTATTAATACTTAATTCTCTTTATTTGGCCCAACCAATACCCGATTAGACACTGGATTTACACAGAAAGAAAGGATGGGGTGATTGGCAGGTAGCAGAGAAGGCGCTCACGCGCACCAACTACTGAAATATATGCTCATCTTGTGAGTCCTTTGCGCAAGTCCCTTCTTTATCTCTTTTGGTGCTTTGCTGTGATGAGACGCAAACCAAGAGCATGCCTAGGAGTATATGAGATGCGAGAAACTAGAGGGAGCAAGGCTTCTGCTGCTAATGTCGATGTCGATGACGACGGCGGCGACGGCGACAGCGACGGCGACAGCGCCGGGGCAGAGGGGGTGTTTACCCGCCAGTGTTTTATGTGTGCGTGTGAGTGTGTCACTGTGTGGCGAGTTGAGTCAGAAGGCTAGAGTTTCTCTTTGCTCGTCAAGGCGAGGTATAGTCTCACTTTCTACAGAGGTGGAGAATTCAGAGGGGGTGGGGGAAGAGGAAAAGAAAGACTTGGAGGGATGCCATCGGCGACGTGACGGTGTCTCGTGTCTCGCCCCCGCCCAAGGGAGAATCACCCGCCAACCGACCTCGCGAGTTTTGTTCCATTTCGTCGACAACTCGCCACCACGACCCCAGCTCCTTGAAACTATCTGCCTAAACCAGCCGACTGATGACGGCAAAGGATGAACCACCCAGCAACGCCTACAGCTTGACCCACATGGTCAAAAGGTTGTGGAAAGGAGGGGGGGTACGAGAGTGAAGCAAGCCGATGGCAGAGGCCGAACGCTGGGGAAGAGGGCTGAGGTGGCCAAGAGAGGAGCTAGACGGACTGGTTAAAACGTGCAGACGATACAGTCTCGACAGGAAGCCGGACCGTGAGAGCATCATCCGGTCTTGAATGACTCCCGTCCTCGGAGGCTCTGGAACCTACATGCATATCTCTCCCCTCTTCCCAAGAAGCGCCCAGTGCCCCTATTCGTGCATATCCTCCGACAATACACTTGTCTTCGCCCTTCCCGTCCCTTCCTTTTCATTTTTTTCGCCTTTTGCCTTTCAGCTCTCGGGAAAGCATCATCGTAGTGGCCACAGCATCTAGGTCGTGGGGCCTGCCAGATAAGCCGTGGCAGATGCGAAGAGTTGCAGTTCCCGCAAAAGGAAGAATCTAACCAGGGACCGGACAGACTCTTTTATTGCCCCCCTTCCTCGTCCTCAAGGATGCGAACATCCCTGGATGGCGTCCACCAAGGGAGGGACATGCTGGGTGTTCCGGGTCCGGCCGGCCTGCGCGGCCATGTCGTATGCGATGGAACCGATGCCGGGGCTGCAGTGGCAATTGTTGAGTCGAACGAGAAAAGTCCTAGCCCGGATATAATGTGTTGTGTGCAGGAGATATCTCCCAAAGGATTGTGTGTTTCAGCGCTATTGGCCGGCGTGCGGTGGTTGAAAATTGCGAATGGGGTCTTATTGCTTGCCCGACAAGGTCAGGTCCATGAATCCATTCGCCTCCGCCATACTTCACCTGGCTGGGTGGGGTTTTCCCCATGGGTTTTATCCTTTCTTTCTTTTCTTTTTATTCCTTCTGGTTCCCGAGCCTCCCAATGGCGATGCACCGGGAGCAAGATCGTGGATGGATCGGACAGGACTCGACGAGAGATGGCGCCAACGGCAACGTGAGAAAACCTTGCTATTTTTTCCGTGGAGAGGCTTACTTCTTTCTTTTTCACTCTCCCTCCTTCTCTTTCTCTTGCTCTCTCTCTTTGCCTTTTCCGCTGCACTTTGAACAAACCCCCGGCCTCGGATAGCTCCCATCCCAGGATTCTATTTACTCTTGGACCTGCATGCACCAGGATGTGACAAATCGATAGGGCGCCTTGCCGGCTTCCCCCAGCCTTACTATCCCTACCCTTATGCTTCCCTCGCCCCATTAGCGACGTGGGCGAGGTCGCTTATGAATCTTGGCCATCTACCCGCTGAAAAAGGCTTTTATTACTTACAGGAGCCAGGGCAAAACAACATGGACGAACCTGCAGCTCGCCCGATTGTGAGTTCCCAGCCACCGCTGTCTTTGCTGGCTCTTGTGGGCCTTCAATTTGATCTTTTGATGAAATTATATCTATCTATTTGGAAAAGAAAGATTAGAGAAAAAAATTAAGGAGAGATAAGAGAAAAAAGACTGAAAGAGAACAAAGTCTAGCAAGGGAAATATGCTGCACGGCGAAGACCCAGGAAATGAGTGGATGATAATAACTAAATGAGGAATTCGAGATTGACAGTCTGATAGGTAGGAATCCAAACATATCGGATGGAAAGACCTCGGAATCCAGACGCGTCGCTTCTCGCCTGTTTATTTTCTGCCCGTGCCAGTGCCATTCATATTGCTTTTTCTCCCTCTTTGTTTCACGATATCCCTTTCAATTTTTTTCCCGCCTGCCTCCCCCATTGCCCTCGATAAAAGAAGGACGTATGAGCAAGCAGAGTCAAAGACATTGAGAAATTGGATTCTGCAGCGAGCAGAATTGAGGTCGTCTTCCCCTGTCCTCCCTCCCCACATTCGCTTGCCTCTGCTGCCTGAGCTTGACTCGCTTCCCTTCCTTCCCTGAGGGAGTGCAGATGGCGATGGCGGCATTCCCGTGCCGCTGCAGCTGAGGATATCGAAAGGGAGATGACGGGTGTTTTGAGTTGTCAACCTCTTTGATCCTGGCAGAGTCCAACGGGGATTCGGGCTCGACGAGGCGAGGCGTCGTCGCCGCCGCCGCCGCCGCCGCCACCACCAACAGAGACGGGAAGGGCGACCATGCTTGACGGCTGGCTTGCACCGGCTCCCCTGTTCCTTGACTGACTTGAACTCTTGCCATCAGCTTTCCCCTAGCTCGATCCCCCATCGCCCTTTTCGCCACCCCTCGACATGGAGGAAGAAGGAGAGAGAGGGGTGAGGGCGACACGACAGAGCCTCTCTCCGCATAGGAAGCCTCGGTTGGGGAGGCTCTCAGCATCTCCGAACGATACTCGACTTCGAATGCTACTGCATCTTGGTTTTGATTCCCGGTCTAGTGCACTAATCCCATCCCCAAGGTGCTTTCTTGTCGGTTGGGGACAACTTGATCGACTACCTTTTCGGTTTCTTCGTGGATACCATACCTGCTTCACTTCTTCTCTCCGTTGGCCGTTCATCTTGTCTCTTTCTTTCATCTTCACAGTCTCTCTTTTCTTCGGAGCTTACCCTCCTTTCCTTCTTCTATTTTTTTCTTCATCCCCCATCCCTCGTCTACACTACACTACACTAGTGCGAGGATGTGTGCGTCCCCGCTCGTCTCGCTCTGGGCCTAGCACGGGGCACTATCAAGTTTGTGGTGTGGTGGCTGCGGTCATGAAAACAGATGCATAAGACACGATTGAGACTTCCACGACGCCTGAAAGAAAAGCAATATGAGAGAGGCCCTCGAACCAATAAGCGGGCTCGGATTCCTTTCCCTTCTAGTCACGGATCCAAGTCATACATCAACCTCTCCGTCTCGCTCTCTGGCTCCCTCACCTGGAGTCCAGTAACTGTATGGCCCGTAGTACACATCATCTACTCTTGGGGCTATCTCGGTACGCGTATTAGTGATTCATGCCCCCGGGTGCTTGACCTCTTGCCCCTATTCCCTCCCATATGGCCTGTCAACCCACTGTTGTCGGCCACCCGTCACCTGTCTATCAAGAGGCTACGGCAGACTGTACTGTACAGTATTCTATCACGGTGTCCTCACTCGCATTATTGACCCCTTCACTTCCCTTTTGCCACTCACACTCACACCACCCCCTTCCTCCCACTCGCTTCATCTCTCCCTTACCCATCTAGACACACACCCTCCCTGCCTCGTCTCGCTGTTTCCCCTCTCATCATCTCCCCTTCGTCTCCTCCTCCTCTCATCTCACCTTCCTACCCCCTTCTGCCTCTCTGTATATATATATATATATATTTATGCGCATGCTAGGATACCCATCGTTGACTCCTTCCAGGGGCCCCATGTTCCCCGGCGGGTCGATCGTCGATGGCATGGTAGCGAGACAGGGAATAGGAATCCAAGGGAGAAACGGGATAAAAAATAAACAAAGCGCAAAGACCCCGGGTTCCCTTTGCTCTTAAATCGGTGGCGCGAGGGTGCAGGCACGGTTGATGTTGGAAATATGCACGGCACTGCATCCGAATGGCGCCCGGAGGCGACTTCCGTCCAGTCCTGGTCAACATTGAAGATGTGCCTCAGCCTCTGTGGCTCCCCAGCCGCTTTTCCCCTCCTTCTCACGCGCTCGAGTGCCGAAAGACAGAGTCAGTGAGAGAGAGATACGGGGAGGAAGAGAGTAATGATACTGAATATGGAAACGGGTCGAGAGAGCTTTCCCCAGCCCCCCTCTCTCTCCATCCCTCTCCGTTGCTCAGATGGAAGCAGCTGCTCACTCCCACTTCCCTCCCTTCCCCCTCGTCCCTCGTCGTTGTTAGCATGTCGCAGGTCCCCGTCAAATACGGTCTCGCTGGCTGAGTGGAGAAGGGTGTCCCGATAAGCCCAAGAGAGAGAGAAAGAGAAACGGAG